TAAAGAAGGCAGGTTACAGATTGTAAGTATCTCTTATTCATGTTTTTGTTCCTGTAGATACGGCACCGTAACCTTGTAAACTAAAATCTTGTTTCGCATATTAAAATTCTTTGATGGGTTTGTAACTAACATAGTGTTGATTTTGCTGGTATTCATACTTGAACAAGTTGAATTTGTTACAGATGGATGTATGGATTCTGCACCTTTCCTCTGCCACAACCTTTTCTGTAGGAGCGCAAAATTCAATCCCTTTTGTATGGTTTCAACTTTCAAGCAATTATATTTATATATATAATTAATTTTTTATACTACCAATAAAAATTTTAAACTTCATAAATGAAATAAAATTAAAGTAACATATTATTATTAATTATTATATAAATTTATTAATTTATTAAATATACTCTTAATAAAACATGTAATAATCTAATTTTGCTAGGTGAAATTTTTAAATATATGTTTATATAGTTTGGTCAAATGTCACTTTTTCACGAAAGTGATTAAATTTTTCGGGCACTCTGCAGTCAGACGGTAATGTATTTTTTCTTTGTCATATTTAAGAAAAGGACATGCGGATCTTCCTTATACGTTCGTACGCTCACAAAGACAAAGGTAATTAATGGTTTGGATGGTACATTTCATACCTCGCACAATATTTTTAGTTAGCGTTAAAAATGCTGCTGCCTGGTTATTGCAACTATAAGTCGACTTCTTTTTTTTTTCAGCCGAAGAATATAAAATTTTTTTAATTTTATATTTATTAAATGTTATTTTTATAGATATTTGTATAAATTAATTGAGTTAAATTTCAAATTTAAAGATAAACTTTGTCTCATTATAGTTTCATTTCAATGTAACAATACTAATAAATACAAAGAAAATGACAAGCAATATCTAGCGTTACAAAAAGTTTCATTTTAAGTAACAAATGTTGTAAAATATCTCTCTTTTGTATTATAAATAGTATTATGTTATAATAGACTAGTACAAATTATACTTTGCAGCAAATATATATAATCATTTTTAATACTCTTTACAACATTATTATTTTCAGCATTTTGCTGTAATTTGTACAATATGTTATTGCTACATAAAAAGTCTTATGCTGCAATATGTGTTGTAAATTAATTTTTTTTAAACAAAAGTATGCATATAATTATTATCCATACATTCTGTAACATAAGTAATTAGCAACATAGCACTATTTTTATTGTTAAACATTACATTTCTTGCAGTGTAGATCTAAAAAAAGGTGTATATGTTGAATAATTAATTATGTGGGTTTTTAGATAGTGCTTTAGGGATGTCTATTCTATTTGAGTCAAAGTCAAAATTTTACATTTCAAAATGCTTCAAATGAAGACTTAAGGAGTGTTTAATTACTATTAAAACAAACTGCGATAATTTCTTGGACATGTGAGGAATTAATAATTAAAAAAAATGAATTTCAAGGAAATTACATAGTAATTTTGAGTAAGATGTTCCATATTTAAATTGAGGGTTTACCACATTTTTGGCATGAGATTTGTCCAATTAGGACCTTGTCAAAATGTATATAAAACATGGTTTGCAAACTTGATTTCATTGGTGGCACAACTTTCTACCATATGTATATATAACAGCAAAAACAATAGTTTAAAAAAAATATATTGTTGAAGATGACATTCATAACCAAACAACCTATCAAGACATATTGTTTGAAGAACAGAATATTAATTAATTAAATATTCATCCAATGGACATTATTTGTTTGCAAATATTTAAATTTCAACAAGTTAAAACATCTCGAACAGAGTAAATATATATCATACAAATTCTTATATATATATATATTCACTTTCAAGTTACAACCATTACAAATAGCTACAAATGAAACCACCAAACCTATATGCTACCATCTATGACCTATATATACCAAATATATGCGTGATACTAATATTAAAATAAAAAAAATGGTCATTTTTTCAATGATTTCTGTTCTCTCATTATTATAATCACCCTCTTTTTACCCAAGTCATGATGTTAATTCTATAATTATAATATTTTTTTTAACATTAGTGTCATTATTGGTACATATTTTTTGGGGGTACACGTCATTATTGATATAATATTGCTTGTATACCAAACATTTTCCCGATAAATGCGAGTCAAGTAGCATCAACTACTAGTAAAGAACTTTTATCTTTGAAGGGTGACTATATTGACTAGTAGTAAAGAATTCAGTCTATGATTGGGTGGCCAAAGATTAGGTTTATAATAAATCTCTCTTTCCCATTGCTTGGGGTATACGCTCAAAAAATAATAATAATAATAGTAGTAGTAAATTACTAACTAGCTAGTACCTATTTGATATATAGGTAACCTAGTCAAGCGGGAAATGTAAATCATAAGAACTATTGATTTGAAAAAATTGGCTTTAGTACTAAAATTGTACAAAATAAATTTGGTTCGATCATAGGTGTTTATATGTATGCTTTTGTTTAAAAATTGAGTTCAAATTTCTCTATTTACATAAAAATTGAGTTCGATGTATGTGAATATAGAAATTAATCCTGATCATCGCTTTTCTCTATATCTTGAAAACTAATTTTGATGACAACAAGTGATATGTATTCGTTACAAATATCTTCCTACAATGGAAGATTGGTGGATGTGGAATAGCATCCTGAAGAGGGAAATTCACGCGTTTGGTTGGAATTTTTAATGGAATGTTAGGACTAGGATTGGTGCAGTCGATTGTCCAGAACAAAAATGCAGATAATGTCACGTCATGATTATGGCGGCTATATTGACAACCGTGAGAATGCCAATCCTGAAAAAAAAATACAAACTGAGAAGCCAATTGATCTTTTGATTTGTTGACAGTTGGAAATTTAAAGATTGATTAAGAATTTTAAAAAAATACATATAGAGAAGTAGGAAATGGGAATATATACATATGTGTAGATAGATAAGGTTTTCTCATCCATAAGATTCGACCTAAAAAAACACATGGATATGGGATAGGATATAAACAGGTTGTTTGGCAGGCAAAACAAAAGGTTCCAAAGAACATGACACCTCATTGATGTTTACAGCTAGTAAATAAAAACATGTTTGTTTGTTGAAAGGTCACTGTGCCTTAAAAGTGACAATAATTGTAATGAATCATATGAATTTTCAATTTGGACAAACCAATCCATCAGACAGACAGGAGTGAGTGAGAGCGAAGGAAGCTACGTGTATCTGTAGAATCTCAGTGACTTGTTTTTTTATTTTATTTTTTTCTTGGTATACACTATCATTAGATAGCATACAGAAACATATAAACTGAAAAAGATTGTAAGATTCCCAGATAGAGGTGTCCCCTTCTATCCATCTCTAGTCCTTTCAATGGTTTCCCATGCAGCAGCTAAATGGCAAAACTCAATGCCAGTGCTCCGAAGTGATAATATTATAGATTATTCATTATTCAAAATTTTGAAGCTTGTGGACAAGCTTCATTTCCTTATCTTTAACGTTTAAAAGGATGGAATCAAAATTTGCCTGGAGGTGTGCCAGTTTTCTAGTCACACAATTCTTTTTTGTTTCCTTGCCATTAACTTTGCACAGATTTTATGAGTCATTTCATCTTAAAGATATACATGCATGCACCAATCCAAGGCTTTGGTCCCACAGCCAGTCAAAACGAACTTGGCAGAGTTCTAAATGATGTCCAAGCTCTTGAAAACGTACTAGGTTGAATTTTAGGGTTGAAGTAATAAAATATTATATTAGTTCATTGAACTTTCAAAACATTTTAACTTTGAAATATTGAAGCCTTTGAGCGTGTTGAACATTTTTTATAAGCAGTCAATTTGGATATTTTTCCCCCAAATTGTGTTAAGATTTTTGGAATCTAATTATTACGCTAACGTGGTTTGTCTCTACCTAGTGTAAAAACGTGGATTTTCCGAAATTTTGTTTTGACAGACTAATTAATTCCATTTACTATTATAGTTCAACTCAAGACATTGAAGAATTCTTCCTACATGAAAGATCCTATTATATGTAAGTTGCCAAGAACGATGATTATAGTTGTCAATGGAATTCAGGATTTGATAATTAGCAGAGGCCATATTGTGGCATTATCAGAATCTTTAAATCCTTAAGGCCTTTGCTTTAATTTGATGAAAGTTCGGGCAAACAATGTTTTGTCTTGAAGAAGAGGACACAGTAACAGGTCATAATTCCAGATTAATGTTTTTCTGACAGCTGAAATTTCAATCTATGGAGAAGCAAATTGAATGGTCCCAGTTTCATGGTACGACAAGATACACCTTGTCTTTTCTTATGTATTTATTCACCAATGTCAATTACCGTGTGCCATGAATATACCTTTCATGAAAAAGTGCATTCTCTTTATCGATATGGGCTGATAAATTTGTTGACAGTAGCAGAGGAGGGATATATGGACCAGCTGTAAAGATGAAAAACACAAAGTTACAAAATTTTCTTGTAAGAGATGTAATGGAAATAAAAAGGCAGAGTGATGGCTATTAGATGCAGATTAATTTCGATTATTGAACAATTTTGATGACATTTCCTAACCTTTTTAATTTCAATTTCCTGATTTTGCTTGAGTTTACGAAGTCTGAACCCGATTTACACTACTGCTTATACATTTCAATTTTCGTGTTTGACATAAAACAAATACAATATATGAATTATTAGATCTTTACTTGATTATTTGATTGTAAAATAATTAGCACAACCATTAAAATCCCAGATGGTCAGATTCCATTTCTTTTCTTTTCTTTTCTTTTCCCTATCTTTTTCCCTTAGGCACACGAGCATTACTCATTTGTATAATGCTAAAAGAAAGGAAGTTAAAGGGCCTTTATCTTCAACTGTATTACTCATTTGGTGCTTTTCCACAACTGTCACTGACCTTTTAGACCCCATTTCAGAATTAAAAAAAGAACTCATAAAAGGTCGTTTCCTATGGGCTTTGAAAAAGAAAATTATTCTGGCTCCTTTGCAGGAGAGGTGGTGGTGAAGAAAAAGATGCCATAATTTGTTATCATCACTAGTTAATACAATAATGAATAAATTTGTTACCAAAAACTGTGGCATAATTGGCTTAGGCCCATCAAAGGAACTGATTATTATAATGCCTGCAATAGGCTAATTCACACCCTGCAATCATGAACAAGTAGAAGAATAAAAGGAGGATTAATCTACTAATAATCATTAAGTACTATATATTTGTACCAGAAAGTAGAGTTCCATATATAATGTTGGCCCTTAAATGGGTCAGAAAGTGATTAAATCCAGGCAAAATCCGAGCTAAATCTGGATAATAAACAAGGAAGGATTAATCGATTGCTTGAGAAAAATATTAACTACGCTGGAAATTCCATGTAAATAATCCTACTAATTAACTAGTACCATATATGTTCCTTCATCTTGATCAGCCCGAACAACAACGACATGGTTATTCGTTCAGTTTCTTTTTGCTTCCAAAGTTGTCAAGTAACTCTAATAGGTCTGATAAGGAAGGTTGTTGGGGATGACTTGTTTTCTTCCAAAGGCCTTGGGGCGGCAAGCGTGAGCTCCAGATCAGGTGCTACATTTGAAGACATGGGTTGTGCTGCATTTGATATTTTTGTCTGAGAATCTGTGAAGTCATGCTGCAGATTAACGGGTATGGGATGATGATGACGATGATAATGATGATGCAAACCTAATTGAGGAATTGTATGACTAATCAGGGAGTTAGAGCTGTTAACATGAGTCCCAACCATTCTACTGCTTCTAACCTGTCATGTTCCGAGCAAGAAATAAAATCTTAACAGATGTTTTTCGTAATCAAGGATATGAATCAATGAACAAACTGGAAATTATACCTAGAATTGAACAAATTAAAGCGGCACGTACCATGTCAAACAAGCTGGAACGTCGGTTCTTCTTGTTGAGAGTTGCCTGTCGAAGAAAGTACTTTTGAGCATGACTTGCGACTTGGGTTGGAGTTCTTGTAGTCACAAAGTTTCTAGAGATGCCTCTCCAGTCTCCTTTCCCTAGCTTCTCCAGCCCAAGTAAAAATATTCGGTGTTCCTCTTCTGTCCATGGAACTCCTAAACATCCAAACCATATATGTAACAATAATATTCTGATAATAACTATGGATGGCGCTATAGCCTTTCTAGGGAAAAATCTTACCAAACAGAACATGATAAATTAATAAATATAAGCGTATGGTTCTTTTTAATCAGTTTCTTTGATTAAAAAAAAAGATAAATTTGATGACCAATTTCTAGTCAATAAACAGGCTGAATAAATGTGGTGAAAACAAGTTAGGTGATTTTATGAACAGAAACACAACAAAGATAAAACCGAAATGGATGCCAAACAATGATAAAATTAAAGGATATAACTTAATTTGCGAATATAAAAAGGTGATTTAAGAACTAACCCTTCTTCCTCTCCGGAGATTGACACATGAGACCATCAGATAGATAACCAATGGAAGTTTTATCAGAATTTTCATCCATGGAAACTCTAGAGGAAGAAGGAGAGGGAGATGAGGGAGAGGCTGAAGACAAGCAATCCATGCTAAAACTCTTTTTCATTGCAACAGAAGACGAAGATATGTCAAGTTGAACACCAAAAAGCCTAAGTCCTCCCACAACAGTCGCTCTATAAGTGGTGCAGGTCCTTGAATTATGGCCTATGTTTCCACAATGTGAGCACTTCCTGCCCATTTTCTTCCAGACCAACAACCAACACCCCAAAGACAACAAACTCAGAGAGAGAGAGATAGAGAGAGAGAGAGAGAGCAAATAATTACTGATATGTTTGGTGGTATATATGACGATGGACTTGGGTGGGGTTTATGAAAATGGAGGCATACCTAGAGAAGATGATTGGATAGACATAGTTTATTGTTGGATATTTTTCTAACTTGGGTTCAAAATAAAAGAAAATACATTCACACTTCTCTTTCTAGAAATCTTATCTTTTATTATCTCATTCTCGGCATCTTTCTTTTCCCTTTTTCCACCTCTCCGGAGAATGTAGCTAGGCTGCTACATATTGTAATTGGGACCCTCCAAAATATACAGTGATGCATTAGACAAACTCTCACTCTACAGTCTACATTCACATATACATAAATACATAAACATTTATAGGCATAATTTTCCTCTAATTGCAATATTTATAGGAATAATTTTCCTCCAATTGCTTGCTGAGACAAATAATAACACATACAAACCAATATGTTGCACTCCAAAACTAACAAAAACATAAAAACAAAAGGAAAAAAGTGATAAAGATGTATGAGAAAGAGAAGGGACAGGATGCTCCAATGGTTTGGAGGTAGACTTGGGTAGTTAGACAATTAGATGACTTGAGAGAAGGGATAAGAAATATCATAGAAAATCATAAGTTTGAAAGTTTGATGTTGATCAACCAACATAAATCCGTGTGAATTTTGAATATAACTAACCACATGTTGTCAACGCCCAGGGATATACTTTCCTTTTGATTGTTTCAATTCCTTATCTCAGCAAAATTCTGGGGAGACACTGATGAAAATTTTTTTTTTCATTAAGTCAAGACATTGAAAAATAAATGCTTGAAGTTTAAACTGTACCAGAATGCAAAAAATTCTCATTCTTTATTTTTTTTTTAAAAAAAGTTGAAACCAACTGATCAATGCTCAAAAACCACATATATTAGATGATTGATTATCAAACGTTTCCCTTGTGTCCTTGGGATTGCTGACCCCATTAATTGAGACTTGAAACTCCATTCACGTGTGAAAACGATTCATTTGAAACTTCCTCTTGTATTAGGCTGCCAACAACCAACAGTCAGATTATATTTACCCCATTCACATGTGAAAAAAAAAAAAAATTTGTCTCACCAAATTCTTCTTCTTCCTTAAAAATTATGGTTCAAAGAAATTGGTGGCAGACAAAAAAGGAAGAAAACAGGACAATCTCAAACTGTTTGGCATATCTCACCTAAATCTTTTCCTGGGTAATTGCAGCCCATGGCTTTGGCAAATATACCATTTGCCACTAATGGTTAATCAAGAACTGAAAATGGAAGGTATTGAATAGTGTATATATTCCCTTTCCCATATAAGTAAAGTTAGTTTTAATAATTAGTTTAATGAATTAATCAAACACTTAGATGGATATATATTATATTGGATAGATATCTTACCCACTAGCATTTGTCTTATAATAGAGTTATTACTATATAATTTTAATTATTCACCTGATTGTTTAAGTATATTAAGCTAATGTGGATTAATAAATCCTGTGCATCCAATTGTCAAGTTGAAGAATTTTTTTATTAGTCATCTCTGATTGATGATATAGAAAACAACTCCATTTGCAAATTTCCAAATAGACTTATTTGGCTTTATCATATAAAAGGAATCTCTCTTGTTGAAAAGATAAGATAATTATTTTTTATATAAAAAACTTGACAAATATTAAATCTGATTATATAAATCAATTGAATTAAAACATATCTATTATCTATTAAATTTTTTTTATTATATCTTGTTTGACTACACATTATTGCAAGTGCATAATGTTAATTATTTATGATAAAAATGTGAGATGTGAGAGATCAATAATTAAGTTCATTGAATTTATTTTTTTATGTGAATGCAACCAGACTACATGATGCATCCTAGAGTCTACTCTAGAATATTTATTGATTAAGAAAATTATAATCAGAAGTTCAAAATCAAACAAGCATCAAAAGCACATATATATATATATATATAATCACTAGATTTTTCATATTTATAAATCCATTAATCATAAAGTTTTTGGATTTGATGAGATGCCTTAAATCATCCAATTACTAACAAAAGGGTATATGCCAAATTTTCAAGATTTTGAATGCTTAAAAATAATCATAATTTAATTACAACAAATAGTGGGATCACATGAAATCATCAATCAACTTGCAAGGGAATCTCCAAATTAATCTGCCTTTCATTTTTAATTTTTGTACTAAAATCATTTACTAGCTATGGCTTTGTACTAACCCTATATACATAATCTTCAAATATTATAATAGAGTTTAATCTATGGTAAGATTTGCTTTGAAATTGCTCTCTTTCACTAATTTGCTTGCTTCGTCACAAACCCAAAAAGCATTGACTTTAAAGCTACATGTTTTTTCATTTGCACCCAAAAAGTGAAAAAAAAAAAACATGAAATGTGGTGTTTGATCAAAACTCTTCATTTAAGAATATGTAGGAAGGGCACTTTGTTAGAAGCCTATTATTGGGCACAAAGAAAATTTTGAATTGATAATGGCGAAATTGACTCTAGGTAAAGAAATATTCTAATGGCTCGTGAAACATGATTTATTCATGAGAGTTGATGATGAAAATTAATCAAATATGAAATATGAGTTTTAATTCAATTGATTTATGTATTTATTTTTAAAAATAACATCTAATATAGTTGAAAATCAAATTTTAATATTTATAATTTTATTTATTTTTAAATTATAATTTTTTTTTTGTAAAAAAAAATTAATCCAAATGGAGAAGAAATAAATGTTATGTTTGTAGTTTGTAGGTCCACTTAAGGATGAATTATTTATTCAAGCATTTATATTGTTTTTATAGGATCCTCTCCTTCAATCTTAGCTTCAAAATAAAAATTTCAAGATGCTTGAAAATTCAGGCTACTTCGATTTTATTTTTTTTAAATTGTTCATCAATTGGTTGTGTCATGGTCACATAAAAAGAGGTGATTAGTACTCTTTTGTCTCCTATTCCATTTAATTACTTGCAACTGTATTTTAGTTGTAAGATTTTAATTTCTTTTGATAAATTAAAATTATAAGATATAGTCAAATAAATATTATTAAGCAAAATCTACTTAATTTTGCCTACTTTAATAGTTTGGACCAACAAAAAAAAAAAAACTCTTTTTTTAAAAGTTCCAGTTCTATGATTATTAATCCAGAAAAGGAAGCAATTTCATTTGTAATTTGAAAATGAAAAAAAAAAAAAAAAAGCAATGAATGAGGACATGGCCACCACAAATGTCTCATTCAATTGAAGGACCTCAACCACTAATTATAGCTAATAACATAGTATGCATGTATCACATCAAGCGTTTTAAGGGGGAGAAAAAAAAAGTTTCAATTTGACAATCGAATGGAAAATAAACAATCGTTGAATATATAAATGTAGATGTTACATCATAAGTAGATCATAAGTAGATTTTACGATAATAGGATAATAACCTAGTAACACATGCTCTTTGCTTCTTTTATCAGTAAAAAATGCCTTTACTTTTTCACTGTAACATATAAAAATATATATATGAAAAAATATTTAAAAAAAAAACAGAGGTTGGTGAAAAAAAAAAGGTAAGATTACATCATAGAACATAATCCAAGTTCAGAACTTCAGCAATTGTTGAATGTCTAATGTGTAAAGCACTTTCATATCTATGTTTCTTGTAATAATTAATGCTTTCATATCTTTGTTTCTTGAAAAAATTAATGTCACTGATTTTGAAACCGAAACATAGGTTGATAGTTGATTTTGTTTTTGAGTGTTTTAGAAATATTTTTTTTTAAACTAATTAACATAGTATTTATAATAATATTTTTCTGATATAAGAACTTTAAAATTATATTAAGAGGTTGGTTAGCAGATTTTTTTACATAAAAAAAAAAAAAGTGCGGTTCTTGCTTGGTAGAGTGTGCAGGTGAAGGAACAAAAGTATAAAAAAGACAGTTCAACTAATGATCAGTGGCTTTTTAATGGGACAAAAGAAAATACTGAAAAGAAAAAGTGGGTTGTTTTCCTCAAAAAGAAAACCTGCTTATATTCAGAGCAGGATCATGCTTTACCACGAAGCAAAACACATCAAGCAGATGCTATTGGCTTGTTTCAACAATGAAAACGCCATGGAAACCATGAAAGAAAAGGGACCATGTTTCTCTCAAAGTACGATTTCATCATTAAATTATCCCAAAACCAAATCGTGTAGAATACTTAAATGTAACTATGACATAAAAGGCAAGAGAACATGATGAACCTTCTTCATCCATCTTCAATAAACCAGACATCATTTTGATATAAAATGAGCGAACTTATGGAACACAAGTCAGCAACTTTGGCCATGTAGTAGTACATAACTACAAACTGAAAGAAAACAAGAAAAGAAAATTCCCAAAATTTGTATTCTTGATGTTGAGGGCAGAGGTAAAGAGTGCTGAAATCTGCTTGATAAGAATACGGACTATATCTTAGCCAACAGGTTGACAAATGTGTAGCTGAATGTGATTAAACCAATAGCAGCTTCACTCAATGTGTGTGTGTGTGTCTATATAAATATATATATATATATATATATATATCCGAGAACAAAAGATCAAACCACTGCGAAACAAGCCAGAGCTTCTTGGACTGGTATTCATGCTATATCTGCTACATGCTAGAATACAAAGCTTGAAAATGTGAATGTTGTCATGTGAAATCTGCAGAAAGCGGACCAAAAAATAAGTCCAACTGCATCCATTCCAAAACAATAGTCAAATGTATAAAACTATTGTAAACCAAATGGAGTTCTCACTCTAGCTTAGATGCCATAAAAGACTTTCACAGGACAAAAATGTAACTAGTAGTAAGTAAAAAATAACACAAAAAGGTCAAGGCTAAACTGAAAATCACTCTAGCAATGCTTTCAAGAACTGCTCATTGCCCAAATTTACATATTCCACGACGATTTTCAGTAAAAGAATCACGAATGGACTGGAGCATGGAACACACAGCAGGAACAGTGCCCAAATTTTCATCTTGCTCCTACAAAGTTAATTAAAGCTTTCTTTAAGAATATCTTAGACTGTAAATTTGAATTTGTTTGCGTTTGTGTGTGTGTGTGTGTGTGTGTGTAAGAGAGAGAGAGAGAGAGAGAGTTATTATTACCACTTCAGAAAGACGCTCATCAAAAGCCATAGAATTTGAGTTGCTGGGCATGAAAATTTTTCTGTAAGCTGTTCTCAGACTCCTAATCTAGAACCTTGCCCAAAAAGAAAAAAGTACAGCACTTTTAAACAGGTGACCAAATTAAATCGAGTTATAAAACAATGTAAAAAATTTATCTCCATTTATCAAGGGTATAGAATATAAATGATTAACAACCCAACCAGCCATGAAAAGGCAGAAGTTCACTACCCAATGTCATTATTGTGCTAAAATAAAATTCCAAAAGGCTGCCTGTAGCATCCTCCAAGCAATAAAAAGATAATAGGGACTAGCACTCATATACAGGTTCCTTGCAAATTCTATACATTATGGTGTTTAAAAAATTGAACATCCAGATAGTAAATATTGATTTGAAAAGCAAGGAAGCAAATGTGAAATTGAAACTAGAATAATCTTGATAGATTACAGCAAAACTCGAAATCTAATTAGTTCCCACTTAATATCACTAATCTATTATAGGATAAGTTAATCTTACCATGTCTGTCATTTCTATACATTTACCCAATCAAATTTTCTAGTTTTGGAGTTTAGACTCCATAACATGCAATTTGGAGAAAGGCATACCATAATAATGCTTTCAGACTTATTACAGTAAACATATTAAATCATAAAAAGGTGATATATTTAGAAACTTCAACACAAATGCTACTCAAGAAACAAAGGTAGAAATAAAAACAGAAGTAAATGCAACTTTGAATAGTTTTCTGAAATTTCACCTACATACCATGTTGGTAGCCAAAAACCTCAAGCAAACTTCAAAAGACCATGATATGCAATTTTAAATGATGGAAGACCACATTAACAAAAAGGATCTTTTTGCAGTTTTTTCCATCCTACACTTATAATATGATGGAACTAAACTATAAATCAATCAGAATAAAAGTTGAATCTTTCCACTAACCTCTGTGACATGGAATCCACGACGACGAAGACCCTCCAAATTCAAACCACGAAGCTCAGCTCTCCCTCCAGACACCATCATGTATTTTGGAACATCTTGTGAAACCTTCGTGCATAGATATGCATATAAGGAAATCTAGTTGAATTTTGTTGTAAATGCAAAGGAATGTCTGAAAGTCTTCTGCTATATGATTAAGCTGCCCTAAAGGTCGATTATACAACTAGTGGACTTATTTAGCATCTTTTTGCAGTGTAGGGCACATATAGAACTAAAGGTCATACCACAGATCCACCACCGATGAAAGAAAACGAACCAATATGACAAAACTGATGAACAACAATTGCTCCTGCAGTGTGCACATAGTCCTACATTGTAGCACTTGAATTAAAATTTAAGCAGAGACTAAAATGTAAGAGAACAGAATGACATTTTCCAGAACAAACGCTAAATGAAGGACTTACCTCCACAATGATATGGCCTGCCAAGAGAGTACTGTTAGCAAATATGTTATTGTTGCCAATTTTGCAGTCATGTGCAATATGACAAGACCCCATGATAAGATTGTTATCACCAATAACCTGATTAGACATGCTAGTTAGATAAGGAAGGATATAGCATACACCTGTTTCTGACTACAATATAAGAAATCAAATATGTGGGTATTTTTATATTCTCATCTACCGTTCTATCACTTGACTTTGAAGATCGGTGGATCGAAGTAAATTCTCTGATCTCATTGTTATCCCCCATATCAAGAAAACATTCATCCCCTAACTAAAACCACAGAAATATGATAATAAGTGGTCATATCTTTTCAAATATTTAACATTTGAAACATAGTGCACAGCTTCTATCACTTCTAACCATTAGAAGGATGCATTTGATTATGCATCAAAATCTGAAGAGGATAAGTTACCTTGTACTTCATGTCTTGGCATTTAATACCAACCACAGCATGATGCCCGATGATGCTATTGCTTCCTATTACAGTACGCCCAGGAAGATCATCACCAACCACAGCACCACTGCCTGATAAAGTTTCTAGTAATTACATAAATTACAAATAAACTACTTAATATAATATATATTTCCAACAGCTCATAAGTCATAAAGAAGAAGAAAAAGAAAAACAACGGAAGAGAAACTCACGTCATCAAAATGCAGTGGTTCCCCAATTCTGTATTTCCAAAAATATGGCTTGACGGATGCAAGTGACATCCATTTCCTAGTTTTGCAGAAGAACCAATTGTGCAAAAAGGACCTACTGAAACACCCTGTGCCATCAATTTTGAAATTTTAGTGATGACTACAAATCGTTACGAAGAATGCAGCAATCTATACCCCAACTAATGACTAAGCAAGAACGACGTGGAAATTTTTATTTTAACATTCCTGGCTACTACTTCAAAAAAATGAACTAAATTTAAGTCAAAACAAAAAGCTTTTACCCTTTTTTATTCTTCTCTGTTGTTTTTACCTTGGTGTCAAAAGACAATTCGACATGCAGAAAAGAGAGAAGGGGTAGAAAAGAGCACCTGGCCAATCACAGCCTTTGGATGAACGACTGCAGTTGGGTGTATAAAGCTCGTTGCCTCCTTTGTCTCCTCAAAAACATCTGTTTCACAATCAGAACCAAAAGAGATTTAAAAAAAAAAAAATTTAAACTTCATAGTAAGATTCATAAAAGGAAAAAGAAAAAAAAAGGTTTACAATTAAGAGTCGAGGAGAAGCGGTGCAAAGATAGAGAGGTGAGATAAGAGCTTAAGGGCTTTCGAAACTTGAGCAGGGAATTCATGGATTGGCGCTCTAAGTCTCAGACAATGGCCGATCTTTTTCCGACCTTTTAACGTTTTTTATGTAAAAAAAAAAACACATGTGAGTTGAGATGTGAGAAGCTTCAGGCGTCGGCCGCCGCGGCCGCGATTCTTCCTGTAATCTAAAAGAGGTCTGTCCTGTCTTGTCCTCCTCCTAGATTTCATCCGTTTGTTTCGACGATAACTCGCATTTCGGTTAATCTAGACCGTTCGTTTATCTGACCAGATGCTCGATGTACGTGGATTTTTTTTTTTTAAAGCAAAAAGAACCCATTTCCCTTAATTATTTGGGCCAATGGGTCCTCTCAACTTAACTTAAGGCCCAAAATTTACTTATGGCCCTAGATAAAAGCCCAAAAATAGATAACACAGAATTCTGCAATTCTGACAAAATATGGGTTTTTTTTTTCTTTGCATGTGAAAACATATAATCTGCACCGTTGAATTTTGTATGAAGGTAATTTTTTATTGCTGGTATAATATAATTGAATTTCTGACAATAAGCACTCTCCGTTAATTTTTTTTTTTTAAATGAAGAAGCTGAGCTTGAAATAAGTACGTGAAAATTGACATGATTCAGTGTAAACAAAAAGCAGCAAATGCAATTAAATATTAATTTAGATGATATGTACATTAGACAGATAGACATGTAAAGTTCTTCTCCCTGAATTAAGTAAATAAGACTTTAGAAGTTAAGGATAAATTATAAATAAAAAAAAAAGGGCAAATGCAGTAAAACTATGTTTCATCTCTAAAAAAATAACGGTAAAAAATGGGCATAAGAGAGAAAAATGATGTAATTTACAAAATATTCACTCAAATTTACAGCCATATGAATCTATACCATAGTTAATGACAAAAGGTGACATTGTTTCCAAATAATATTTGCCCCAGCCCTCCTTGACTCTTCAAGAGTGAGCTGCGTATCTACTCTTTGTGCACTGTAGCTACCAATATCTTTCTGCCTAAATCAAGATCCGATCATGCAAAGGTAGGCATTGCTTATGAATATGAAGCAGATATTCAGTCCACATGATTCAGCAATTCATGCATTGATAGTCGAGTTTGTGATTACGTCCCCCTCCAACATCCGAAGCACCTTCAGTATATACAAGAGTGAGTTAACTGTAAATTGTGAAAGATTAACATGGAATGTTTATAAGAATCGGCAAGTTGTTTCAACAAGCAAGTGAAGTTTGATAGGCTCATAACCAACTACTGTAAAGAAAGGATCTTTCAACTAGTAATTGTTAAACATGAAATGCAAACCAGGTTTGTAGCAAAAACTGCTGAAAGAACTAGCAGTGTCACAGAGCAACATAGCCAGCAGACAAAACAATAAGATGCACATACACATCTAGAAGTTCTCTTTCAGAGTTTCAGTAATATTGGCGTTAGGTGAGATTTTTCACCGTTTTTGCTATGATCGTGGAAACAATGATGACCTAATAAATGTTTTTTAGAAGGGATTTTATGATGTAAATTCCAATTTCCCAACCTGAGACATGCGAGGCCTTGAATGAGGATTCCGCCTGATGCACAAGGAAGCACAGTGCAGCATGCCGTAAACCTCTTGCTCCGCATAGCAGTTCCTCAAGCGGGGGTCAACAAGTTCGCCAATGGCATGACTTTCTAGTAAAGGGCGTGCCTGCTCCAAATTTGAAACAGTGAGAAAATCAATTTATGATAAATTTTAAAGTAATAATTGCTCAAGAAAATTATACAATTAGTATCAAGAGACAAGATAAAATAGAAGGTGATCTGTTGATCCTCTTATGACAAGAAGTAAATCTAACTTTTATCAAAGAACTCTGCAATTACCAATCCACAAAATTATAACCTAAAATCAAGTCAGACTCGTACCCATTCTGTAAGGCACTGCTGTCCCTTTGGTCGATTGATGTCCATAGCTTTTCGTCCAGTGATGAGCTCTACCAATACCACCCCAAAAGAGTAAACATCAGCTTTTTCTGTAATTTGGCCACTTTGGGCATATTCTGGAGCTAAATACCTGTCAAGAAGAATGTTTTCCTGAATAAATTTGTCTTTGCTAGATGATAAAGCAACAAGGAAAAGTAAGTTATATAGGTGTACCCGAATCTTCCAATTATTCTAGTTTCCACTCCCCTGTCTCCATCTGGCTGCCACCTTGCCAAGCCAAAATCTCCAACCTAAATGATCCAGAAGCAATAGTCAGTTTGCAGTCCCTTTTAAGGCACATACTATATGTGCCTTTTGTTTCATACAGAAAGAAGAACATTCACACTTGAATGGGCCATGCAACAAGGACAAAATACAGCTGGTTAAATCAAATTTGAAAATTTGTTCACATAGAGCTTAGAAGACGTGACATACTAAAGGTTCAAAATCATGGGTGACAAGGATATTGTTAGGCCGCATATCACGGTGTACTATACAACCAACTCTGCATTCTTCATGAAGGTATCTTAATCCTCTAGCTGCTCCAACAGCAATCTTTTGCCTTGCAGACCATTGCAACGTATCATGATTATGCCCTGAAAACTTTCAATGTCATGGTTAAGTTGCCTATTCAGAGGAGTAATTATCAATGATCATTAAGGACAACAAACATGTTAGACTCATATACAACTTGCTCCAATTTGAGGACCAAACAACATTTCCCATTTAAGGAAGTTTTGACCAGTGATAGTAAATAATTGCAAACACTTCAACCAAAGTTATCCACGAAATAAATAAGTTGTGACAAAATTATAATGGTCTTACCTCGAAAGGCAAATCTTATGTAACTACACACACCAATCCCCAATATATAGTCAACAGAAAATAAAAATATTCATTCAAAGTCATGACTTTAGGAGATTCCCAGTAAACTCATGTTAGTCAATGGAACAATAGTTTCGAAGTTGGTCAAACTGAAAAAGTGTGATAAACATTTCAATTTCAATTCATAAGCAGAGAGGAAAATCTCCCTTGATTTTCTAGCAATTTGCTCACATAGCAGTTTCATGATCAAGATCAGCAAGCTATAACATAAATTAGGTAGAAGGAACTTACCATAAAGGTGAGAATCCAGAGAACCATTACAAATGTACTCATAAACTAGCAATCTTTTTCCATCCTCGATGCAGAACCCAATTAGCATCACAACATTGCGATGCTGTGCACAACTTAAAACCTCAACTTCTGAGCAAAATTCTAGATCACCTTGAGAACTAGCCAACTTATGTTGCTTCACAGCAACCACCTGACCATTTGGTAAGATCCCTCTATGAACAGAACCAAATCCACCTTCAGCCAAGAAATTCAATTGTGAAAAGCCATTTGTAGCATGTTCCAATTCAACATAAGTGAACCACCTTGGAGGGTGCCCAAACACAGGGGCCTTGTGCCGACATATTGAACATAATGGAGGAGGTCCAGGAGGAGCATTTCTTGACAGTGAGATAGCTTCCCTGACACTTTTGCTCACCTTCAGATCAAGCTTATAATTAAGGACCCCGACATCAGGTTCTCTATTCAATGCAGATAATTTCTCCAACAAAATGCTATGAGTTGAAGTTAGAGATGAATCATTCAGTCTCAGTAAACCCTTGCCAAGATGCTTAGGGTCAGTGCCAGAATTATGAATGTCAGCCAACCATGGATGGAAATATGATCTTGTTTTAGGAGGATCTAGCTCACTGTCAGAGTCTGAATCAGATTCAAACAGATTTTGGCTTTCTTCAGTTACAAATGAATAATCTTTCTTCAAGCTCTCATATAATCCAGGGAGGAAAAATGGTGAGGCCCCTGGATCTGAGCTTGATATTGATGAAGTTCCAACATCAGTAGCTGTCAGGAATGATTCATGATCGGGACTACTGACAGGAGTCACAAATGGCCCTTTAGTTTCATCTAACTGGTCATGCTTGCTTTTCTTATGTTTAGGAGATACTTCTGACTCAAATGATAACGGCCAAGCCACATCAGGTGCCACGCTCGGTGATCCAACCAAATTCAATCGGAGAACCTTTGGCTGAGATCGCTTCATGACCACAAGATTGCATTGCAGCTCTTCCAAGCAGTGTTTCTTCTCATGTTTTAAGCTTCTGTGCAAGGATTAGAAAGCAATTATAACAATAATTAATTGAACAAATAGAAGAACTGAAAGGAAACTAAAGTCAAAAGGAAGTTTCAGAACAAGATAATGTTGTCCGCTAAACAAATGAGTTAACTAAGACCTTGTGATATTTCAATAATCACACAGCCAAAAGCAAGCCTTTAGCTAGAGAACAGAATGTGATACATCATGCAAGAGGACAAAGTTTACATTGTATATATTACTTATCCAATATAACCCAGTTGGATTGAGCTTTCTTGGCTTCAGCAGTCACAATTCCATACGGTGATCCAGGCACAATTTTTATCCGGATCTTTACCTGTAAACAGGAACTTAAAAACTGAATACTAGGAAAGAAGAATTTAAAAACTAAAGAAACATCTGAAAATAAAGTAATCCACTAACCTTCTCTGGGTCATAAACATCCTGTAACTGAAAAATCAATTGGGAGCATGAATCTTCAATATCTTGTTTTTTATCTGAATCAGTCCCCGAGAGAGACTTCCAATGACCACTGGTGCAATCACTAGTAAATCTTGAAATCCCCCATATCTTTTTACCTGAGAATGTACTGGATTCTAATGAGTTATCAACAGCAAATATTATGAAGTGAATATAACAAAGAAGCAATACGCTTAAACCACATTTTCAGCTGTAGCAATTATATATAACTGAACCTGATAATTGCATATTAAGCTGATAAGAAAGTATACTGAACATAATCTTAGCCTAAAGGCCTTGAGCATTTTCACCCTGATAATAGGTCAATTAATTTCAATAATGTTCTTTCTTTTGAACCATGCATGCTAAGTGGTCATTTATAATCTGTGAAGCAACTGTATCAAACACAGAATGAAGAGGCTAACATTAATAGTTGTGAGCCAACCAACAGCCAAGTTCAACAAAGGAAGAAAGGAACATTATACAAATTCACAAGTTCTCTACTATTTACTCAAATTAAGTGAAATTAAAAGACATCGCCAATTTTCAGTAACAGAAAGAATTCAATAGTTTTCCCGTGTCTTAGGGCTCATTTTCATTTTCCACTGCAATATTTACAATGACAAAGGACAAGATCATCAATAGGTTCTCCAAAACTTCTTCCTAATGCACTGCAATATTTTGTTGCAATGATTGCATCTTGCCACTTGTAAGACTTAAAGGTTTCAAGATCCAAACCTGGCAAAATCTCTATGCACTGAAATATATCCTTTAAGCCCTAGATCATCTAGCAATAATTCTTTCTTTAAACAGAAGAAAGTGATGTAGAACAAATTTGTTCTTAAATGAATGAAAGAGAATCCAGTGCAACTTAGCTCTTGTGTATATAATTCTACTAGATGACTCCTCTAATCCCCCAAATCTGCTCTATGAATTCTATCATCATTCAAAAAGTAAGGGGAAAACAAATAAAAGTGAAAGAATAAGTGTTCGCGAGGAAAAGTAAGTTACTTGAGGAGTAGGCAGGAATAACCACGAGCAGCTTAATGCAATCCCCAGCCTGGACAACATGAGTCAAAGCCCAGACCAGAGCAGTCCTGGGGATTTCCCTTGCCGCTTTAACAGCCACAACCACTACCTTGCCAACCAAGTCTGAGGTACCCTTCTGTTTCATCTCTAAAGCCAGCTAGAAACTAAACCCCTAAACACCTTCCACACACCCCATAATCAAAACCCACATCCCATTTCTCCATCCAAACAAAACTCTTGATAAAAAAAGACTGCAGTTTTGCTGATTCACAATAACCAAGATGCCTTTTTTTTTCTTAGAGGTGCCCAGAAGAAAAGTTTGATTTGAAAAAAGAGAAGCAGATGGGGACGTGCACTTCAAGAACTTTTATCAAATCAAGTAAGCGCTTTTTCTTAAAAAGGACGTGTCAAGACTCTAGCTATCAAGTCCCTCTTTTTTCTCTCTCAAAAGACAGCTTTGGAAGCAATGAAGGAACATGTATCAGTTCTTGCAAGAACAAGCTCAGCTTTCTTTCACAGAAACTGAGGTTGCCTTTTCTTTTAGTTCATTTAACGTGCGTGAGCTTTCTTTTAGAAGTAGAATTTTGATTCTTGTGAAACAAAGCGGGTGGCCTAATTTAAGAAGCCTTCTTATCAACTGGTTAAGCTTTTTACATTTTTACCTCCTGCTTTCAACAAAATTACAAGAAAGGGTAATTGGCAGTATATTATACAAATTACAAACGACAGCAAGAAACGGGCTATGTTAGGAAAGGACGAACGTTTAATATTAAACCACAAGTAATCATGTAAAAAATTAGCTGCATGATTGAAGGATGGCTTCCCCTTTCCCGTCCCCTTCACCTTTCTATCTCTCTTCCCAAAAAAAATGAATTTTTAAATGAAATTAGAAACTTTCCATGAAGCCCTCAAATGTGGACTTTTTTCTATTTGGTCTCAAATATGAACTTCACCAAGCAATGTAATTTGATCCTTTTCTTTTAGACATAAAGTTGAGAGTAGGTATTGGGAGGAAGAATAACTCTTTAACAGTTTTGAATCTGTTAGTAGTGTTTGGTCATTTGCCTTACCTTCCATTTATTTTGGTAAAGACTAGATTTAATACTAAATTCTTTTGGAAACAACAAAAAATATACTTTAAGACTATTGGAATTTCCCAATTTGTTATTTGCGATTGGTTCATTATTCTATCACCATTTTGGGATTTACTATCTATCTGGGATGCAACAAAACTGCATATTTCAGTATTTCTTGCCCATCGAGGTTTTCCCATTGTTTTATAATCTGGAATTTTTTAGGCATTGTCTGAACTTAAATATGAACAGCAGATGGCACAGATAAACTAAATATGTCACTTAAATTTGTGCTGGAACATCAATTAAATTTCTTTGTTTTGTGTTGCTCTGATATGGCACAGCATGGCAGATTGGTAGTGTGGTAGGACAAAATATATGAGCCCTAAAGGTCTACACACTTGACAAATGAAGACAAAGAGCTTTGTGGTAGGGCATGGGATGGCAGAGGTAACATTAATTATGAGCTTGCTGTCATTTGAATACAACTGCTCACATTTTCTTCAAGGGAAATGTCAATTTCTGGCCAACAAAACTTCAGCTTATGGCGGGCTCCCTCTCCTTGAGCGGATTTGAATTCTGTAGAAAATGAAGAAGATCAGTCAACTAGAAATCTGCACATTGAAGGAAAGGAAAAGAAAAAGGGGGGCTAAATTCAATATAAATAATGGGAAATCACATCACTCTTTATTTTTGCTGAAAATAATTTATCTTAAGCACTGCTGTGAAAAAAACTTTATTGTTTGTATATCCTACTATAAACAACGAAAAAAACCAAAAATAAATTAAGACGACGTAAATAATGTTGAACTCTTAATTTCAATGATTAGGATTTAAATTTTGATAATATTAAATATACAAAAAAATTTGAAAGATGGGTTGGATTTAAATCCCAAAATAATTCTTTGTGGAAGTGGGATCTAAAGTTGGCTATCTAGACAGCAATGACTAACTTTACTAAAGATACAAATAATGAAAGAAACTTTAAGATATTCCCTAATGTTTTTTATGCATATAATACACTTGATTGATGGTTATCCACTTCAAGAATTGAGATATTTCCAACAAAACCATCCAAATATATTTCATATATACATTCACCAAAGTATGAGAATTCACTCTAGAAAGAAAAGCAAACTTTAATGATACATATGGCAAAGAAAACGACAAGAGTTAGTAACAAAGATGAAAACTTTTGAGGTCACAGCTTTGGCAATGAATGGATATAAAGACAACTGAATGTCACAATCACAGATAAATATAAAGCTTTATGTTTTCTTATCTGCAACCCACAAAAAAAAAAAAAAGAAAACCATGGTGAAGATGCCTTTTCTCTTTTCCCTTCTAGTCTAAGATTCCAATTTGGCTGAGAGCAAAATATGTTAAATAGTTTTCTCATCTTAGCATTTTGCCAAACTAAGATGGATTCTGAGTCTGATTATAATACACTAAATTATTATTTAACTTTGAGTTTGGCAAGCCATGGGGAAAAGAAAAGAATCCAATTTTGTGGAAATCTCAGTTAGCATGTATACCATCAGAATTAATATTCATGTGTAAAAAAAATATTTAGCTGTTATATGTAAACAGCATGATAAGGAAATCATCTTTAAATTTTAACAAGCTTGGGGGCTTAAATTCTTAATTGGATTGGTCTTTTAAGTTTCGGAATTTAAGGGAATTAAAAAAAAAAAATTTCCATTAAAGTAGCTTTTGGTATTTTTGTAAATTTATTATAGTAATGTAATTTTGAACTAATCTTACTATTAAGTTAATCTTAACACTCGTAATTTAAAATTATTTTATTTTTTTAACAATGATTAATTTTTAGAAATTAAATATTATTATATTTGATATTATTAAAAATTAAATATTATTTTATTTAAAAATATGAAAATAATTATACATATTATAATAGTTATACAAATTAATAATTTTAAGGTTATTTAAAGATAATAATTTATAAAATATTAATAATATTTATTTTATAACAAAATATTATTAAATTATTAAATTAATAAATATATTTATCGATAAGTAAATTAATTTTATAATATAATTTATGTAAAAAATTTTGAATTAGAAAATAAAACTTACCTATTAAATTTATAATAAAAGAAAAATAAAAATTATATTATATAAATATTAAAAATTAAAAAATATCAAATTATTTTAAATTTATTATAATAAATATTAATTTAAAAATAAAAAATTTTATAATATAAAATAATTATAATTTTAAAATATAATAAATTTTAAATTACATATTAAATGAATAAAAATAACTATCATTAATTTTACATATGACTTTATCTTGATAATAAAAATTTTATATCCTTTTATATAAAATTTAAATTATTCTCTAAAATAATTATATGATAACTCTTCAAAATCATCATCACATTAAATCGTAAATACTTACCTAATACAATAAACTACCTAAGGTAATTTTAGTTAAGGGTAAATTTCGAGGGTCAAATGTTTTAGAAGCTTCGACAAGAAGGAAAAGGCAATTTGGTCTTTTACTAACGAACACGCCCGTTATAAAGTGGAGCAAGCAAGACTACGGTCGTTATCCAGTAGGAGGTAGATCCAATGCCAATGGCAGAGGCTATATTGGCAGCTGTAGACACCCGATCGAAGCGAGAAGATCACCACCGGACCAAGGACGGCTCCCTGTTCTCCAAATGGAAGGTTCCCTTCAAACTCCAAAATCTCTTGTCCCCCTTGTTTACCTCTAAATTAGCATTTAATGATACACAAACTACTGATCTTACCAAGCTTCCTTTTTCAGTTAATTACTGCTAATCAATATTTTTATCCAGTTTGTACTTGATTATAATCCTTGATCTCTTATGGGTCTTTTGTATTTTCATGTGTTCAGGTTCTTATAGGGCCTGATGATTGGAAAGACTATTCAGTGGGAAAAGAAGGAGTGGCCAGATACAGGTGTGAAAATCTTCCCAGAAGTTTAGAGCCAGGAATCTATGAGCTTGCTATTTACTGTCATGGCTCCGCGAGCAGGGACAATCGTGGCAAGCTTGATCCGAACAATGATGTGGTGGTTTATCTTGGGGTAGCTGACAATGTCAGGAGAAGACTCCAACAATATGGCCGTACAGGTGATCATTTGGGTAGCGGTGGCTCTGGAGAAAAAGCAAGTGGATTCTTTGAAGACATGTTTTCAAGAGGCTTTTCGATTGCGTACAGATGGGCTCCTGTGAGTATATTTTCTTTTCATTTTTTGCTAACTTCAACGTGCTTGGTATCCTATGAGTCTTCAATGGTAACTATTTGATAAGTTTGAAATATAAAAATTGGAATAAAAGTTCTAAGCATTGGAGGCTATAAACTTTTGTTATTTTTTTCCTGGAGTATACTTTTAGTAGTAAAAAACAATGGTAAGTTCATATATAGTGAATGAGATATTTGTTCTGGTGACATTTCATTGATCTTCTAGTTTGCGTTCCTTTGAATTGTTAACAATCCGTGTTTTCGAAGTTTTTCTACCGTTTCTGATTATGCTACAACAGCCTATAATTGAGAGTTGCAATATTCAGGCAATTAATTCTGTGAATATCAATGCTTAGGAGGGTGAAATAAGTAAGAATTAATGGAGAAACTAGTACCAAAGAACAGTAAAAGTATATATATGCAACTTGTTACGGTCAATTTTGCAAGTTGTGAAGTAGTATATATATGTTCTTCTTAATACTGTTATAAGCTGTTAGTCGTATATGAATTACAGATGGTTATGGAAAAGGACTTAAATAAGTACTCATTGAATTACTTCTGGACTCTGAACTGGATGAGATGGCTTTTTGAAAGCTAAATAACTGTGAAAGTACACTCATAATCAATTTTCTTATTACATGTTCACCCACATACACACAGCATAGCATGTAAATGATGCTGGATTGATGGTCTGTACTTTATAGTGTCTTCCCGTACTCATAGACAGAAGAATGCCTGCATTCAAATTTTGCTTTCTAATTTTCAAAATTTTAATATTCTTTTCCTTTCCCCTATTAAATAAGTAGATGAAAAGTACGGCAGATGCTCAGAGAATGGAAGCCGGGCGTCTCAAAACCTATGATTATGCATGGAATAAAGTTTCTAATGGTCCACGCCGCCATGATGATATCCTTGAGAAACTTGATAAATGTGCATCCAATTGTACCACACAAGCCATTTTCTCTAGAAAGCATCCGCCCTTCCTTCAAAAGCAATTAGGCATCAAAATCAAAGCAAGCAAGCTGCTTTCACATGACAATCAATTCAGCAAATATGCTGATGGAGAGAGCTACAACTTTTTGTCGCCAGTTTTCAAGTTCAGCAGATCACAACCTAGGTTAGTTTTGGATCATGGTGGCTCCAATGAGAATGACACTATCACTTGTGGGCTGCTTTTAGGGGATGATTCCATTTGTAGAAAGCCACCAGTTGAAGGAAGAAAAATGTGTGCTGAACATAAGGGCAAGGAAACTAAGGGATCCTCTATGAGGTTGAGTACAAGTGAGAAATCACAACTGCAAAAGGCATACACGGAACATGTTGTTCTTGATAATGGAGATTTCAATGTTCATGGAGCAAAGACTCCCAGCTTTGGTCTAGTGCCTTTATTGGCAGGGGGCAATCCTGAAATTGAGCAGTGCAGTCCTATTTGTGGAGTTGCCATGGATGATGGCTCTCTTTGTAGAAGGCAGCCAGTTTCGGGGAGACAGAGGTGTGATTTGCATAAGGGGAGGAAAATTTGTAGCTCCAATTCCAAGAGAGTGCCATATGTGGTTTTCGATTCAGATGCTGATGAAGATTCAGGTTTTTACAAGAGATCCTCTGAATTGTTTATACCTGGAAAAGTGGAAACTGGAGTTGCCCCACAAAGGCCTGTTTTCAGTAAGGGCTATGATACTATATGTGGGGTGGAATTAGGTAATGGATATTTCTGCACAAAGCAACCTGGTAGAGGAAGAGACAGGTGTGAGGATCACAAAGGGATGAGGGTTAATAGTCTCTTTTCTGGATTAGATAGAGAGAGCACATTGGATGTTTCTGACACGGGTTCAAGATTCAATCCACATAATTGGAATTATGGTAGCAGCAGTAGTAGCAAATCCATTTGTGGAGCAACCACATGTAATGGCTCTTTCTGCCAAAGGACAGTTAAGGGAAATGACAGATGTGAGCAGCACTTGGATTATGGTGGTCGTAGTAGTAGTAGTAATTCTGGTGCACGGTACTCAAATCATGGTGGTAGTAGTTCATCCATTTGTGGAGCACCAACCCACAATGGTTCTTCCTGCCAGAGGACAGTTATGGGAAATGGGAGATGTTTTCAGCACTTGAATTATGATGGTGGTAGTAGTAGTAGTAGTAGTAGTAGTAGTAATTTTAGTTCACGGTACTTAAATTATGGTGGTTGTAGTACATCCATTTGTGGAGCACCTACCTGCAATGGTTCTTTCTGCCAGAGGACAGTTAAGGGAAATGGGAGATGTTTTCAGCACTTGAATTATGGTGATAGTAGTAGTAGTAGTAGTAATTTTAGTTCACCATACTCATATTACGGCGGTTGTAGTACATCCATTTGTGGAGCACCTACCCGCAATGGTTCTTTCTGCCGGAGGACAGTTAAGGGAAATGGAAGGTGTTGGCAGCACTAATTGGTCAAGGCAAAGCAGAGAAATTTGTGGGAGTTGGCCTGAGCAGCACTGGATGGAGAGTACTCGCCATTAATTTCTTCTGTTTTGAAACCAAAGAGTTTTTAAGTATTTTGTATATTACATGATAATCTATTAATGTGTGTGTTGTTAAATCATGTTGTCGCTTTACATGTCTTATGAAGATGTTGTATGATGTTGTTTTCCTCAGAAGCTAAGCCTATAGCTCATGAACATATATTTACTCTATAGAAGGTCTGTTGTTAAGTGTGATTCTCACCTTTGTTTTTCTGTACAAATTACAATCTCCATGTTTATGGGGCTGCCTCAGTTTGAGCAGATGCAGTTCCAAAATGAAGATACTATTACATTGGATAAAGATGTGTGCATCCCCTAAATTTCTTTAATCAAATAAAAGGGAAAAGGGACACTTGAATTTATTTAATTCAGTAGCCCTTGAAGAAATATCAAATCTATTTGATAGTTTACTCTTTAACATATGCAACCAAATTCATTTTATTTAAATTTTTTTTTACATAAAAGTTTAGAAAAGTTTAGAAGAGGAAAGTTTATTTCATTTTAGGTCTATTTCATTTTGAGATCAAAGTATATGACAAATTATAGATTTTTAGTAAAATTTATATTGGATTTATAGATTGTTGAGATTATGATAGCAAGAATTAAATTTATATCTTATAAATAAAGTATTCGATTTTTACTAATTCAATTAATATCTTCTTTATATATTATTTTTAGAATAAAAAAATAATAGGTGTTGAAATTAAAAAAATTATAAGTAATAGTTATAATTTAATTTAACATATAAGTAACAACTATTCTTTCATTGTTCTTACCCAAAAAAAATTATGGAAGATACGGATATTTCTCAAGTAAAATAAAATTTAAATGAAATTATTTATATGAAATTTATAAATTTTTTTTAAAATGATTTAATAAAAAAATTTAAACTTATAAATTGATAAAATGAAAATTAATAATGTATAAAAAATTAAAAATATAATTTATAATTTAAATTTGATCTGTGTTTATTTAATAATAAAAATTATATCAAATTTTTTATTAAAAATATCTATATAAAAATATTTAAAAAATTAATATTTGTAATAAAATATTTTAATAATTTTATTATTTTTTATAAAAAATTTCATATACTTCACGTAAGAAGCATGCAAGTTTTTCCTCGGTTGAGGCAAATCTTCCACGTGTCACCTCCGTGAAAGCCCAGAAAAATCTTACATGCAAACTTAAGCGACTCCCAAAAGCATTTTTTTTATACCATGTCATCACCGTAAAAACTCGGCCCTTCTATCCTGCATTTCCAAATCATCGAGAACTTGGCAAACGTACGCCACTACCGCAAAAATGCCTGCTGGAGAAATAAGGTACCCTTCCCAGACCCTTTCTCCACCGCCTTCTCAAGCGATGGAAACACCCGTGGAGGAAGACGAGGCGTGGGTGTGGGCACAGATAAAAGCCGAGGCATGCAGCGACGCCGTCGGAGCCGGCTCTAGCTAGCTACCTCTACTCGACGATCCTTTCTCACTCCTCTCTGAAGCACTCGCTCTCATTCCATCTCGGCAACAAGCTCTGCTCCTCCACGCTGCTGTCTACGCTTCTCTACGATCTTTTTCTGAATACTATTCCCTCCGACCCCTCGCTTCGAGCGGCCGCCGTCACCGATCTCCTTGCGCTCGCCTAAGGGATCCTGCTTGCGTGTCATTCTCTCATTGCCTACTCAATTATAAAGATTGTTGGATTGCCAGGTAAATACATTTTCTTAATTCCCTCTGATTAATTGAATGTTGTAAAAAGTATCGTTAAAGAATTTGAGTAAAGCACTGATTTTTGTTAATAGAGTAGAAAATTGGGGGAAAAATGGAAAAAAAAAATTCATAATATTTGGGATTTTGTTATTATAGGCTCATCGGGTAACTCACAATTTGTGGGCTCAGTCACGCAAGCCGCTAGCAATGGCATTACACTCTCGAATCTCTGATGCTTTTGCTGTTGATGCTTGATATACATCCTGCGGCGAAGATTGAGAAAGGGACTTTGTTTGATCATGCCACTGGTGTGGTGATTGGTGAAACCGCGGTTATTGGTAACAATGTGTCGATTTTGCATCATGTTACACTTGGTGGGACTGGGAAGGCATGTGGGGATCGGCATCCGAAGAATGGAGATGGAGTGTTGATCGGGGCTGGTGTCACCATATTAGGAAATGTGAAGACTGGGGATAGAGCAAAGATTGGGGCAGGGTCAGTGGTGCTGATTGATGTGCCTCCACGGACCACAGCTGTAGGGAACCCTGCAAGGCTCGTAGGAGGGAAGGAAAAACCCTCAAGGCATGAGGAATGCCCTGGAGAGACCATGGATCACACTTCGTTCATCTCTGAGTGCTCAGATTATATCATTTGATCACCCAGTTTCAGTTTTGTTAATTGTTATTGGTAATACGTATACTTGAAACCTCTGCTGTTGCGCATGCTATGGTGTTTGAAGCTGTTAAAAAGTGCAGTCTGCTTCTGTCTTTTTACTTTAAGCTTCGATCATACAGAGAGGCCTTGACTTCCTTTGTGATTATGCAATGAGATATGCCGGTTGGTGATTGCAATATCTTTTTACTACTACCTGTTTCTATCCAACCTGACTTAACCCTCTGATCCATTGTGTGGCAGAACAAAACAAGATTCTTTGAATGAAATTTGTTTTATAAGGGGTAGTACATCAACTGGAAATTTGGATGAGAGTACGATTAAGACTGTACAAATTTTTGCTCCCTCGTTAGTCTAGTTTTGAGTTGATTACCATTTCTTTTGTCCAACCATGGTGCATCGGAGGGTAGATATTTGAATCCCAAATAGCCAGTTGAAGCACTGAAACAGAATGGCATTTGGCTGATTGGTTGTTAACTTTTGTGCTATCAAATATTTTGACAAGAGACATATCTTGTCATGGCAGGCAATACTATCAAGTGCTTCCGATTTTACTTCAATTTAAGAAGAGATATTAGGTGGAATTTCGAATCTCAATATTTTTATCCTCTATGTCATGGATAAAAAGAAGTACTATCAATTTGATTTCGTTCAAATTATAATTCTACTAATGACCCCAAAAAAATGAAGATTATACTTCCACATGAATATTTTAAATTTATTTTCATCTTTGTTCCCACATAAATTTAGTAGGTAAAGAGAATTGTATCCATAACTCTATAAAAAAAATAAAAAAATAATTTTTTTATTTTTTTATTTTGTAGATTTATATAATTCTTTTATAAATATATTTTTAAATAAAATGTATTAAATTTAATTAATCTAAAATAAAAATTTATATTATTAAATAAAAAATTTATTTACTAAATATATATTTAAATATATATATAAGGTAGAATTAAAAGTAAGTATTATATTATATTACTTATTACCATTCTCGTACTCCACAATAATTTTAAAATTATATTTATCTGCGATATAATTTAAAACTCATCCCATTCCCATTAGATGAAAAGTTAGGTTTACATCTCGTTTGGATAAGATTAACATCGGTAACTTCAAGTAGCAACAATAAACTGGTATTGACAGAAACGCTGTCGTTTAGGTCGTACATTTGTTTGGTAAGTTTATAAACATGCGAAACTCGGAAACGCCATCGTCTGGCCCTGCAAGTTCAAAACAATGGCGTCTCTGGTGTCCCTTCAAAACACGGGAAATTCCATCAGCCTTTTCCATCAAAACCTAGGTCCTCAGTATTACCGTAACTGGTCATAAATGAATGCATGTTGAACCCAAAGTGGCTAGTACCATATGTGACATTTGCTTCAATAAACTTAGACATGAACAGGGCGCTGATATTAATTTCTCAGTAGAAGATAGAGAAAAGCAGTCAAATTCTTTAATGGATTAATACCCTCCAATTATGTACATTGCTGATGAATCTAATCTTGGACTACTCACCATCTGTATCATCCCTCAGACCAATATGTAAGCTCCACCTCTTACAAAATTTATTTGGTGGGAAACTGGAACCTATAGAAGTCCTACTTTACAGCTTAAAAGAATGGACTGTACAGGTTAGATGGCCTGACTTGGTCAGTTTTATCGTAAGAATTTTAAAGGTGAAACAAAGCTCCTTGATGGCCAATATAAGAATATATGAGATGAATATTACTCCTTATTATGAGTGGAGAGATGATGTTTGGGTATTTCTTTTATTTGTTACTACTTCTATCACAGCTTCATCGTGGGATGGAACTCTCAGGCTTGATTTCATGATGTCATAGACTGTAAAACCAATCGCCACAGATGGTACAACCTGGAGTTGGCACAAAAGACTAATTTAACAAGAATGATTGATAATAAGCACGCAAATGGGAGGGGAGCTTTTCCTACCTTCAGGTAGTTGATGCTCAGCCCTGAAAATAATTGCTTCCAGCCTTGACTTTTAGCAATCATAACAAGCGTTTCCATTGTTCCTTTCAATGCAGGACTGTTGGACGCCAAGAGCCTTTGGACCTAACAAGACAATTCTTATTCGTTACATTGAAATTCCTGGCTTGATCACTTATCAATTGAAGGATTGGATCCAGGGAGAAAAATACCTGCATTTGCCTCCTCACAACATCAAGAGGATATGTGAAAGTTTGGCCCAACAGACCAGCTACAGATCCACATACTAGATTCACCATTATATTTTTCTTCTGCTCATCAGGGACGTGGCGTTTCATCTCCTCATAGAAGTAAAACTTCAAACCAGCATATGGGAAAATTCCATAAAGTGATGGAGCTGAAAAAAATTCTCACATATTAATAGGAAAATCCCACAACAAAGAAACCACCAAAACACAAGTTAACAGCAGCATGATTAGTTTTGATATTCGTACCCACACCACGATAGAGTCCTCTGAGCCCTGACCCTTTGTAAGTCTTTGAGAAACAATCAAGAATTCCACTATAAATTTGTTCTGTATTAACTACTCCTTTCACATTAATCTTTGGTGGAGCAACAACCTGCACTAGCAAATGTAACTAGATCAGAAAAACAGAAAGAGCTCAGAGGGAATGAGCCAAAACCAGTGAATGTCAGTGCTGACTGCCCTGGCACTCCAGCAAAATTTGCCAGCGCCTCCTCAGAGCCTCCAGCTTTATATTCAACTATTTACCTGATAAGCTAATTTAGTCCTAACCAAATCAAGAGGGTAAGTAAAAAGAACAGCAGTTCCTCCAGCAAACGATCCAGCCACAAGATCAAGTACAGGGCCTCTTCCGATGTCAGGAAAACTATTGATGATCCATCTACGGTACTGTTCGTAAGCCATATAATGAAGTGCTGCATAGGGGACAATTCGAGCGACACTAGCACCATTTCCTCTATAGACATCCCATAAACTAAGTAAGCAATTGAAGATAACTTTCGGAACAACATTCATGTAAAGGATAATGAATTGGACATTCACCTGTAGAAACCCATGATGCCTTCTGTCTTTGCAATCTTCTTGAAGGATCCAACGACGCCTATGCTGTGAAATTCTGCTCTTCTAGTCTGAAACAGAATACTGAATTAGTTCATTCTGCTAATGCAAGGTGAATCTTCACATGTTGCAAGCCATTAGCAGCTGGAGGCGCAATACTGAAAGCTACATTCTTTCATTAACAAATTATTTGTGAGGATATCAGTTTGTTATTCCTAGATTGCGGAAGGCATTCCCAAAACATTGGGAAAGATCAAAATATCAACATTGGTGGGGTTTGACATGTTAAATCTCCTAATCATCATCAGCAATTGATGTCCAAGAAAATCAGAAAGACCCCATTTTTGCGCAAAGATAAACAATCTTAAAACCCATATAATCTTCACCAACAGAACTTCATTGCATTAACAGATAAGTCATTCTAAGCTCAGCTACGGTCAAAACAATTCATTTTAAGCTCCAAAATCAACTATGGATGCAAACCCATTAAAAATATAAAATAAAATAAAAAACCAAAATCATATCCAAGAACCCAAGAATCCAACCATGACAATAGCAAAGAGACAGAAAATAAAGCAACAAACCAAGAAATCAAAACAAAGTGTCAAACACCGAAAAAAACAAAAAACCAACTTTACCTGAAACAAAATCTTGACACGCTCAAGTGGAGCAACAACGGTCTTTGCAAGGCCCCCAGCAACACCTCCAGCAACCAACTCCTTTGCAAACAAAGGCATGGATTCTATGATCCCATCAAAAAACGTACCCATCTCTCTTTCCTCTCCCTTCTTTGCCATTTTTACTACGCCTTGAAGCCCCAGATACAGAGAAGAAGAGAGAAAAAGGATTAGTTATTAAAAGAACAGTATAGGAGGGAAGGGAAAGAAAGAAGAAAAGAAAAGAATAGAAACGTTTCTGTTTGTTGGGGTCAGAATTCGGTCGGAAAATTGTGGTTTTTATATGTTTTGGACAACTGACAAGTCAGACGAGTACACGCCTTCCCTCCTCGGTAGATTCCCTGTTGTGCAAGAAAAGGGTAGGTAATTGGCTCACGAGTTTCGTGGAACTGCCTTCAGTTCTATTTTATTCAGGAATGATAGTGGCTTCATTGCCTGTGTTCGTTAAGAATCTTGTAATCTTGGCCGTTCAATCTAACTTTTCTTTATACTTTGAAGAGTAGTTTAATTATCTTTGCCGTTTCCCGTTGCCCATTGGTTCCAAGTTGCTTGCTTTGGTGGCCACTGGCCAGTGGTGGTGAGTGTGGAATGATAATTTAAAACGTTGACTACTGTTGGCGGTTTGGCCCATTCTCCTAATTTTGTTCTATCTAGTGTGGTTCACTTGGACGTGCATGGAATTTAATGTCATTTTGATTTTTAATTGCATTGGGAAGTGTATTTGGATAACACCATCAATGCAGCTGAGGGCTTTCGACTACATTACTTTTTTAATTTTTATTTGGAAAAGGGTTCAATCAACTAATAGTGTAAAATTGAAATAAAACGTATTTTTCCAATTAATGAGGCAGTGCACATATTCGATCTCATTACAGTTATCATTATATTTGCATTTATATATATTATTTCATAATCAATTTTAATCTCATCATAATAATATCTAATCTTATCATTGCAATAATTAATCTCATTATCAATATTATTCTTAATAACCATTTTTATCATCCATGCAAATAGGCATATATTTATTAAAATAACTTACAGCCAAGGATTCATGAGGTAATAAATATTAAATGCAGTTTTTCTTCTTATCAGCATAATAATAATAATAATAATAATATATAAAAGTACTAGTACTGAATTCTATCTTATACTCTGTCCTAACAAAATTTAGTTGTAGGTTTGGCAGTAACATAAATAGAAAACTCAAACCATTCATAGGTGGGTCCTGCACCCTGCATCTACTGTGGTTCTTTGAATAATCGAATTCTTCAAGTCAGAGAAGTTGAAGGCCAATAGGTGGAGGAAAGACACTGAAGCTAGAAGTGGGATTGGAAGTTTCTCAACGGGTAGAGATGAGAGCAAGAGGAAATAGTAAATAGTATTAAGCTATGCATGAAGAAATGAAAACGCGAACGAATGCGGGCAGAAAAGCTGCTTTTAACTAAATTACATGAGAATCGTGTTTGAAAAAATATTTTCAAATTTAAAATTTAACTCAATTAATTCATATAATTAATTTTAAAAGATAACATCTTCGAATTATCAAATTAGCATCCATAATCTCTTCTCCTATTCTCCTCATGAGTTACAAATAGATTATCAGAATTCAGAAATAAGGATAAAAACTGAATCAGATCAGATTCCTAAATCATGTGGGCCGGATCTAATGACATAATCAGATCAGATTCCCAAAGAGAAAGAAAAATTCTACATTTGTCAATTGTTGCTTGAGCTGATAGTAGATTAGAAAGCAATACGAGAACGCCCACCACTGTTAATGGTATCTGGTTTTGACTTAAAATGCTTCAGGTGAAGACACTGACATGTGGAGCTTGCAATCAGATGAGTTTGATTGAGAAGAAGAATTGCTGCCACTGATGCTTTGTTCTGTGGAGATTGTGTCAATAAGGTGGAGCAAGATCTTCTCAAGCTCTTCACCGGTGCTCCATTCATGAACTTCTGCTTTGACAAGGGCTGGGTCACTGGAAATACGGTCCCATAAAGGATAATCCTTCCTTGGCATCACATAATCACTGTCTTGAAGCTTCAAAGTTGGGCAGTAATCACCTCTCCCATCTCCCAGGTAGATAAAAGTGCGCCTTTCTCCTTCAGGAGCAGAACCATAGATAAGGTCAAGTACTAGACCCTACAAATAGAAACCACATTTAAAACTGTACTTGAAGATGAGGAATGAACACTCAAAAGAAACTATCTGACAGCAACACAAGGAATATAATTCTGGGATACAAACATATAGTGATGATTAAATCACCAAACTTTTAGGTCCTGGAAGGAATTGAAGCATATATCAACCAGTAAAAATAAGCAACCAAACTGTAATTTCTATTGAGCTATTCTGTAACATTGTAACAAAGTTTGTAACTTTCAATATTCTGTCCACTTTTCAATTATTTGAGGATTATTCTTTACCTTTTGTTGGTGAGGACTGGGTTATAGTGCGCATTAACTAAATCAATTCTAAGGAATGTATATCTTGTGATGACTGATGATGATGTGGCAAAAATTAACCACTTAATTATGCTTAATCGCAAAATATTTCACTGAACAACCTAGATGTCAAACCATTATAATTCAACATGCATGGCAAGAATTGAAAGAAACAAATCAATCCGATTTTTCTGTATGCCAAAGGTAATAACATTGGCACTTTGCTTACTTCAGGATGTAGGAGAAGATTGACAGTACATAAACTTCATGGTAAAAACCCTTTTAAAAAACACATTGGACTAATAAATTCAGGTGCACTAGAAACAAGGATGAATGACCATATTTCCTTGCAATCCATATAATCCCCTTAACTCTTTGCTCAAACTGGAAGGAGCATCCAGAACCTTACCAGGGAATAGGACCGTGCAGACTAATCCACCCCAGCATATATCAATATATCCAGCTATCAAGATAAGTAAGTCTTTATGTCTACATAATGCAAATGTGGAACCAACACTCTTAACTAGCTTCACATAAATTCATAACTAATGAATCACTGATTGAGAAATCATCACATAATTTGATAAATATGCATGCTCAATTACTGATCTTGTTTACCTTGCACAAATTGGAAGGACATAGAATACATCCATGTGGAGATAAGGCAGAGTCACGATAAGGGAAGATCCTAAGCCTTGCTTCTTCATCTACAAAGCTTGGGTTTGTATAGATCTTCGAAAAGCAACCCAACAGACCATGATGTTCCAAGATTTTCTCAATGAAAAACCGATTTGCATCACTGAGTATCCTCAAGTCGCAACTGAAATTTCGTACCAGTACCATGCAACCAATATTAACATAAGAACTTTACAAAGAACAAACATAAAAACATTGTAAAAGATCACAACCCAAGCGCATAGGCAGATTTTATGGCAGCAGCAATTCTTGGATGCAAAGGAGTCCGTTTCAAGCATTCTGCAATCTCCTCAGCTGTTCTCCCTAGGAAATGAAGTTCCTCCATCATCCTATCCTAGAATTAGATTTAACCTATCTATTAAATTCATGACATGAAAAAGCCCCTATTATTTTCCAGCAATACTTTCAAAAATACAAATCTTTACTGCAGCTATCAATAAACTATCACAAATCAAACCCATTTGACATAACGTAATAGGCTAAAACAGAATTTTGAAGCCTTAAACTTTCATAGTAAAGGAGCAACATAGTAGCATACAGAAGGCAAAATTCGATTCATAGGCCCAGTAATCCAATTTTTTCCTAGGAATCAACATATTTATTTTTAACTTGAAAATGGTAAACGACGCTCAGACGCTGAAATTTCCATTTCGTAAAGAGATTAACCGGATTTTCCCAGCAACCAAACATTGGGAAAAAGAAATACTATAAGAAAAGCAAATGGAATGGTAACTGAAAAGAAAGTTAAATCAAAGGCACCGAACCATGAGGGAATTCCAAGGCAAGGTAGAGCGAAGCCGATGGAAGAGGTCGGAGAGTCCCATCTCTGTCACCACCCAACTGTCGCTGTCCCCGTCTATTATCGTCCTGTCAAAGTCAAAAATCACCACTATACCCGCCATTTTGAGACGGCTCTCCGACACCTGCCGCCTCAAAATCTGTTGATTATTTGGTGGTGCGGAGAAGGTATCTGGTGGGGACGCCGAGTTGGGTTGCTGGTAGTAACTGAACGACAGACCTGATCGTAAGCGTAAGATATGGGCTAAATGGTCACTTTAAGGTATAATATTTGGAACTTTTTTAATTTGGATTAAATGTTTTTGGATTAGTTTAAAATAATCCTGTTTTCAACTAACTCGAAAACATTTATTTTTAAATTGAATTAAATAAAAAATAATATTTTTAAATGAAAAAATCCAAATATTATATATTAAATTAAACATTTAGCATAAGATATATAACAAGGCTAATCTAATTCAAATCATATGCTCCGTCCGAAATTTGAATGTTACCTTTTCTTTGGTTAAATATTACTAATTTTGATTTTTTTTAAATCACATATATTAGAAAAAAAATTGAAAATTTCGAATTTAGGATTTTTCAAAACTTACTTTTAACATTTTAATTACAAAAAATATTATAACAAATAATGATGAAAGTTCATAATAAATTACATATAAATGTAATAATTTTAAATATAATATAAAAATATAAAAATAATATAATTTAAAATTTTAACAAAAATTATACATAAATTTAACACAAAAATTTTTAAAAATAATTTTATGTTTTACACATGCATGATAAATAACAACCACAACATAAATATAAGAACTATTAAAATCCTTAAGTACCTCCCATTTACATATGCTACAACCCCAAGCTAAATGTATAAGAATCATCATATATATTATTATATTAAAAAATACATAGATTTATCACGTAAATGTTTATGTAGATAATTTCTTCATATGACATAATTTTTTTTTTAAATAGTATATCTTCTTTTAATTACAAATTGGATAATATTAAATTCATTTAAAAATCAAAATTATTTAAATTATAATTACAAATCAAATTAATCTAAAGATACTTTTTTAAAATTAAAAAATAGAAATGTGAATTTTATCCAAATAATTTTAAATTTTTACCAGATAATTTTATTTTATAAATTATTTAATTATAAAAATCTTTCAACATGTTTTAAAACTATAACAATTAAAATCTTTTAAAAACTCACTATATATCAAACAAAAATTACCTTTTTAAAATTTTACATAAAATATTAAAAATTCAAATAATCTTTAAATTAGATCTCTAAATAATATGACCTCTATTCATCTCAATTCAAACTATCAATTTTATATTTAAAAAATAGACAAGAAATTTTATTTAACTTTTATCACTTATTATATCCTTTTAATTTTTTAAAATATCAATTTAAAAATTATATATTCAATCTTAAATATCATCTAAGATTTATTCTACAAATTTAAAACTATAAATATAACGTGTTATATCATTTTTTTATTTTTCAATTTAAAGTTTTTGAAATTCTATTGCTTTTGTAATTTATTTTTTAGATTTGCATCTTTATTTTTTCATAATATATTCTATTATTATTGCAAGTTTATTCTTATGAAATTTAATTTTTTAATTAATTATTTTTCATGTATCTCTTAATATTTTTTATATATTGTACAATAATTTGAATAAAATTACAGAAAAAAATGTCTATATTTTTTATTATTTAATTCATTATTTGATAATATATGTTTTGATTCTTTAAAAAAAAACATGTAATTTATTTTTATTTGATATAAATTTTAGATGTATAAATATTATTGTAAATAAAAATTGTGTAAACTAAAAACAAGTCAAAATTTTCTTATATTTCTTTAAAAATTTATTTTTTATTATAAGTTAGTCAAATATAAAATTTGTTATGCATTGTAAATTTTGTAATTTTAAATATAATTTTTTAAAAAATATTAATTTATATGTATATACACATAAAATAAATAAAATTATTCATACCGTGATACTAATTACAATCTAGTTAACATAGAAATCGGTATGAGAGAGAGATCCAGTAATATGAGAAACAAATCACGATATTCAACGGAGTTGATCGCCATTATTGGTTGCTCGTCATCATCGAAAAATAAATCCCAGTCTCCTTCGGAATTTACATACACAGTTCAATGACTCTTCTTTATGACTGACTACAAAAGAATGAATGCATGTTACCCCTTCCCTATGCTATATTCCTTCAGTTTCTCCCTTGTATCTACACCTCCCCATCTGCTTCTAAGCTTCTTGTAAATTTTCCTTTTGCAAAGGCAAAAAAGAAACAAAAAATTTTATTTAAAAAAAAAAAAAAATCAATCCAATCTTTCTCATCAAACTTCGAGCGCAACACGGGTCTTTATAGGTTTTAGCCTCAAACCCATGCTTTCTGAAGAAAGAAGCACCGATGAGATGCAAGATGGACTTAACGGGCTCTTCGGGCTACCACTCAACTGGCAAGGCCTATGCAATCCATATCCTATGAAGAAGCATTCCATAGGTATCAACATTGCATGCGGCTGCTCTTCTGTCAACATTGATCCGCAAAAAACTATGTACTACTTACCTCAACTAAGGCACTAACTCTTCTATCCAACTTGGATGTCATGTGGAAGGCCTCATAATAAAAAGGTGAGTTATCCCCAACAAATGTTAAGGTACGACATCTGAGCCTCTTCAGCCCGCTGGTAAGGTCAGGTCTCCTGCAGGTTCGCAAAACAAAGTTTTGAGCACTTGAAAATTCATTTTTTAATGTAATAAAGACAAGTGATATAGAAACAAAAGAAGTGACTATACGAAAGTAGTCACACTATTTAGTTCCTATTAATTGCTTGAAGAAATAGCATCACATTTGATCCATGTCTCTCATCCAGCAACTAAGTAAACAAACATGCCATAGGAATAAGTCATGTCAAATTATGAAAACTCACTGTTTAAAAGGATTGAATAGAAACAGAAAGAAAATCCAAATCCAGCATACATACTATGCAGGAAAAAAAAAAAAAGAAAAAGAAATGCTTAAACACTAACTCTTCTGCATGCTTGCACTATATCCGACTCAGGAACTTCTGCATTACCACAAACTTCCTGTTACAATTTATATAAATCTCATCATTCAACCTATTCAATAAGTGCGCATATAATAAAAAGAAACTTAGAAGATACATTACTAGGATGGAAATGCTAGGATACCTTGCTAAATTAACGTTGAAGCAAAAACTCTTTAAGCAGTCCAGTCCACACATTCCATAAAATATAACAAATTCGACATCACCTACGGATTATAAGGACGTAATTTCAGTTATACAATAGAAATTTGTGGACAAAGGATGTTAGTTATAAACAACAATCTTAGGAAGGAACCTTGGTACAAAACCATTCGGTCCAAGAGGGTGCTCTGCACAGAGGGGATATAAGTATCAAACCAAGAACACGTTCTCTGTATTTCATCTGCAATGCAAAAGCTTTGTCAAATGAACTAACATCAAAAACATTAAATAATAATACTCAAAGGATTCATACAGAAACCTACAGCAAATAGGGTAAGAATGTAAGCACCAGCTGTTACTCCCATGCAAATCACTGCACCAAGCCTGATGCCATCAGAAACGAAGTTAACACAGAAATCTCAACTATGAAATTGCTAACAAAGACATCTGCAGCTCCTAATGGGAAAAGAAACCCCTTTTCAACCAAACTATTGACACCAACCAAATCAGATAGCTCTCTACTAAGATGCCAAGTGACTTTATCTTAAGTCAGTTGGCAGCATCAGCTAAAAAAGAGTATTGTAAAAATAATGTAAAAAAGTATTAGCAATAAGATTACTCAAAAAAGTTGAGAACCTCAAGGATCTGATCAGCTAAGTCTTCAACACAATGTGCAGAAGCACTTGCACAAATTGGAGCAGCTCCCAACTGCAAGTAACTCTTGTGAAAGTGCCAGAAAGGAAACTATGTGAATAATAGAATCCGGTATTTTATTTAGTATGTTACCAGGAGATAAAATAGTCCATATACAACACAAATAATGCAAATAGGCATATGCCAACTAATTTACAGAACCTCATGCCCAGGAGGACTAATATGGTAAATGCAGAAGTTGTGGAGAAGCAAGGAGACCGCTTCTAGACAAAAGAACAACCCTTGGAAACAAGAGACATCTGAAGAAAATTATAAAAGTAAGGAAAAATGTAATTGTTAGAAAGCCAATTTGTGGAAGTACACCAACTAAGAGAAACAAATATGTCCTAACAAATTTCTCTCACATTTGAATGTACATGAATACACATATTCCAGTTAACAACAAAAAACCACGAATGAAATGGCTTGTATATTGAAGAATCAGCAAAAGGAGAATACTCCTGAATTTAGTATAACAAATACAAATTTATATAACTGGGGGAGAAAAGAAAGAGGCTATGGTATCTGACACCATTATACTTACGATTCAAAGCCAAATCAGGATATGTAATTAGAGCTGGCTTGTCTTGGTCCCCATATACTATAACATACACAGAACCACAGCATGTTCTTATATAATGTTCCTGGCAAATGTTTACACGAGCACAGATTATAAACAGATATAAGATGCATACTAATCAACATAGAGAGAGTTAAGTATTTCAAACAATCATAGAATAAATACATTTGAAACTTTGATTACCATAATGTTCTCTAACTACAGGAGTAGTTGTTCAATAGGAATATATTTCAGTTAAGACATATCATTTGTTTCATGTGACCCTTGGAAAAAGGAAGAAAAGAAAAGAAACACTTAAATTATCTAAATCAAATTATTCATCAAAAGCACTTCCTAAGTGCACTCACCCTTTTAGTAAAATAAAATAAATTTGCAAAAAAAAAAAAAGAAGATAAATCAATTAAGTGGTTCCTGATATCAATCGTTAAATTCTTCAAAAGAGATGACAGTCTAAAAGCAAAAATGGAATCTCTCATACTAAAAGGTGACATTGACATTGGGTTGACGTTAAAAAAATTTGTAACTTTACAGCTAGACGATTTTAATATAATAAAAAAATGAAACAATGAAAAAGGTTCAGCCAAGGTTTCTTCAATAAACTGCGAATAAACGTTGAATAATCCCAAGGAATGAATAGTGGGAAGAATCCATTTCCTTTATAAACATAAGGAAAAGGACAGTTGAAACCAGAAATGGAAACTCGCAAAGCTTACCAAATATGTAAAATAAATGAAAAAATATATAAAAATAAATTTGACCAAACAAGGAATACGCAAATGTAGTGATACTCATTTCGTTAAATTCCAAATATTGCAGAATTAAATTCAATTGAATTTCGAATCAAACCAATACTCCCCGATTTTCAAACAAAAACCAAAATTGGGTTCTTTTCTCATAACACTAAAATCCCCAATTCAGCAATCAAAGTGCAGAATAATAATAATAAAATGAAACCCCGAGAAATGAAAAAAAAAAGGTGAACATAATGCAAAATGGAAATAAAAAGGGGGGGGGGGGTAGAACCTTTCACCAAGATAGATCTTTTCTATATCAAGAGGAATGGAATCTTTTGACTCAGCCATGGCTGTGGCTCTTTCTCTGCTATCTTTAAACAAAGAAAGAAAAGCCTCTTTTTTTCTCAAAACAACAGCTTTTCACTTTCTTGTTTCTTCCTTCTGCTTCTTCTTCGAGAAATAAAAGACTCTGGCTTTGATGGCTTATAAATCAAGCGATTCTTTCGCCTTCGAAAGCTCTCTCGCTCTTTATTTGTTTTTTTAACCAGCGGTGAAGCTCCACGGACGCTTTTTGGGAAACCAACGGATTTACTTCTTTAAACGTCCCGACTCTAATTAAAAGGATAAATGAATACATTAAAACTCATGAATTTTAATAAAATTTAAATTTGATTTAATTATTTTTATGTGAAATTTAAATTTAAATCATTAAGTTTAAAATATTTTTATATTTAATTTAAATTATTTATAAATTTAATCAAATTTTTATATTTTAATATATTTTTATTATTTTAATTAATAAAATATTTTAAATTTAAATTTGAGTTTGAACATAAATAATTAAATTTTTATTAAATATAAAAAATAAATTTATTTATATATGTTAATCAAATAAATTGAATAATTTAATTTTTATTTTAAATTAAATTTAAATTAAAAAAACAAAATTACATCAAATTTAAATCAATTTTTATATTTTTAAATAAATTTAAATTTAATACTATATCAATTTAAATTCAATCAAATTAAATATATGATTACGCACGCGGCACAGTTTTAAAAAGCTGAACTTTATAAACAAACGCCGTTATGAACCGACGAAAGATGCGGATTTACCAAAATGGCCACTGTTATTGGTGATTTTTTTTTTTTTTGCTTTTTTTCTGTTCTGGCTACGATGCACATGCACACGTGACATGCTTCTTGCCTAATTATTTTTCATAAGATTTTCCATTTTCAAACCACTTAATTAACAAACAGAAATTCTTTTCAAAAATAATAATAATAGCAATAAATAACAAACAGAAATCGAATCTCCACACTAAATCAGATAGACAATCCATGCAAAATCTTTCAAAATTTTGATCCAACCAAAATCCAAGCCTGTATTTTAATAAATATAATTAATTAGTATCATGTTTTTATTTAAATTTAATGTAATGTAAAAAAATTATCATATAAGAAAAATTTTAAGATAATTTCTTCAACTATCAATAAAATTTTAAATTTTACAAACGAAATTAATATAATAATACATATGTTTAAAATATAATTAAAAATAAAAAATTTAATTATACACATCAATTTTTTAATTTTGTTTATAAAATTAAAAAATATATTAATAAAGCATTAAAAACGAACTCTTATTAAAAAAATGAAAATTTCTTACTCTAAATTTTTGAAATTTAAAAACTCAGTTAACTTGTATAATCCTAATTTATATTATTATTTACTGATAATAAATTCTGGAGCCATAGGCTGATTTGGGCTAACTATTTGAGGCCTAGGGTTAAAGGCGGTCCAACTTGATCACCCACAGATCCAGCCCATGGACATTTTTTTGGACCAAAAAACAGAACCGCAAAGTCTTGTACGCTGTCTCTTCGTCAGTGGGAGGTAGAAACAGTTATCTCGCTTCTCTACGCACGAACCAAGCATGACTCAGTTCCGCTTAATAAATGTTAAAGCTTGAAGAATGAACCATTGTTTTGAATACTATGGAAAGCAATGCTTGGTGTGTTTTCGATTCAGTTGAGAGAACCTGTGCTGAAATTGAAAACCTTCCCAACAAAGTGGCATTTCACCGCAAGAAACCTTACTTCATTCCAGTACTCTGGGCTGCTACGTGATTCTCCTTCAAATGGATCTCTAAACTTAGGGAAGGCAGTTCATGGGCAGCTGGTAAAAAATGGCCTGCCTTTGTGGAGCTTGTTGCTGAATTTTTATACAAAATGCGGGAGCTTTGGGAGCGCTTGTCAGGTTCTTGATGAAATGCCAAATAGAAATGTTATATCTTGGACTGTGCTCATTTCACGGTTAGTATCCGAGGGACATAGTTATCCTGCTATGAATTTGTATTGTAATATGAAAAAAGATGGTGTTAGGCTAAATGGTTTCACTTTAGTGACGGCCTTAAAAGCTTGTTCTATGGGACTTGAGTTATATTTTGGAGCGCAGTTGCATGCAGAAGTTATTAAGATTGGGGTTTTATCAGATAAATTCGTTGCTTCTGCTATTGTTGACCTTTACGCCAAATGTGGTGAGATGGAACTCGCAGAAAGAGCATTGTTTTGCATGCCGGAGAAGAATGTTGTGTCATGGAGTGCTTTTCTTAATGGTTATGCAAATTTGGGTAATAGCCAAGAGGTTTTGAAGTTGTTTTGTGGAACGAAAGGAACAGAATTGAAGTTTAGTAAGTTCATCTTACCGACTGTGTTTAAGAGTTGTGCGCAATTGGGAAATTTGCAAGGAGGCAGGGTTATGCATTCTCTTGCAATTAAGGTTGGCTTTGATATTGATGAATATCTGGGTTGCTGCATTATTGATATGTATTCCAAGTGTGGGGTTGGTGAGGATGCAAAGAAGGCGTTTGAGGCGATCAAGGTTACCAATGTGGTTGCCTGGAGTTCAATGATCACCTGCTTTGATGGGCAAGGCAAGAGTCGAGAAGCAGCTGAGATGTTCTGCTTAATGAGACATAAAGAGGTGAGACCAAATCATTATACGTTTGCTAATATTGTTTGTACTGCATCTAATTTGGGTGATTTGCGCTACTGTCAAAGCATTCATGCTTGTGTACTTAAATTTGGATTTGAATCTGACAAGTTTGTAAGTAATGCACTTATCACCATGTATATGAAAATAAAATCTGTTCGAAATGGTTGGGGAGCGTTTAATGCTATGAGTTCGTGGGATTCAACTTCATGGAATTCCCTTTTGTCTAGTCCTCATGAACCTGCAACTTATGATCAGGGACCGAGAATCTTCTGCAAGATGCTTGAAGAAGGTTTTAGGCCTAATAGTTACACTTTCGCTAGCATTTTAAGATTCAATTGCACACTGGGAAATTTTGACTTTGGAAAGCAAGTACATGCCTATATAGTAAAAAATGGCCTTAATTGTAATAAGTTTGTTGGAACATCCCTTATTGACATGTATGCCAAAAACGGATGCTTGGATGATGCCGAGTTACTTTTTAATGAATTGAATGAAAGAGATCTTTTCAACTGGACTGTCATCATTGCCAGTTATGCTCAAACTGATCAGGGAGAGAAGGCTCTCAAATGCTTCAATCAGATGCAACATGCAGGATTTAAGCCCAATGAATTTACTCTCTCAAGCTGTTTTAGTGGTTGCCGCAACTTAAGAATGCTGGAAAGCGGCCGGCAACTCCATTCCGTGTCAATAAAGTCTGGACTTCTAACTGATACCTATGTTGCAAGTGCACTTACTGATATGTATGGAAAATGCCGGTGCATAGAAGATGCTGAGGCTGTTTTTAAGGACATAGATTTGCCTAACACTGTCTCATGGAACACAATTATATGTGCATACTCTCAGCATGGACAAGGAAAGAGAGCTATTGAAGCCTTTAAAGTTATGTTAGATGAAGGTTTTGCTCCTGATGAGGTTACATTTATAGGTGTTCTTTCTGCATGCAGTCAATTGGGTTTAATTGAAGAAGCAAAAACGTTTTTTGATTCATTGAGTAAGGTCTACATGATTGCTCCTGCGATTGAACACTGTGCTTGTATGGTCAATATATTGTGTCGAGCAGGTAAATTTGAAGAAGTTGAAAGATTTATGGAGGAGATGAATCTAACCGAAAATGCCATGATATGGGATACCGTTCTTTGGGCTTGTAAACTGCATAGTGATGTAGAATTTGGTAAAAGAGCTGCCAGAAAGCTTTTTGAGCTTGAACCTGAACTGGAATATAATTATGTGACATTATCCAACATGTTTGCAGGTAGAGGAATGTGGGATGATGTTGAAAAAGTTAGAGCATTAATGTGCAATCAAGGAATTAAAAAGCAGCCAGGGTGCAGCTGGCTTGAGATCCATGGTGAAGCCTACTTGTTCTATCCACAGGATAATTCTTATCCAAGCATCAAGGAGATCAATATGCAGTTGGGGAAGCTGATAAAATGAAGAATGAACATGGAATTGTTTCAGATTTCGAGCAAAATTGAAGGGCTTGAATTCAGATTAACCATCATTCGTGCAGATTTTCGCTCAAAAGTTCGGGCATGAGGCCTTGGTGCTGCTCACATCAAATAGCCATTTTTTTCTTTTTTTTTTTTGGAACCCGAGACGATTTGTATATCCTTGACATGATAAATGATAAAAACAAAAGAATGTAAAGTGCGTGTCAAAAAAATATAAATGAGAAATAAAAATTCTACCCAAAAAACAGTATGTTTTTGAGAAAGTTTGTAGTTTTCACCTATCAGAAAATTGGGTTTTGGGGAATTCGCATAATCTTTCACAGTTAAATCCATGGCGTCGGCTACAAACTTACTAAAATTTGTGAAATTTAGGGGTTTTTATAAGGGAAAGTTTGAAGAGATAAACCTTAATATTCCTAAAAGCTCAACCCCGCAGGCTCTGGATTTAGGGTTTTAGGCAGGTTTTCAGATGTCCTCCGGTTTCATTGTCTCCAGTTCATACAGTTGCTGCAAAATTCTGCCACGCAAGCATAAATGAGTGGGGTCCCAATATGAAGTTTAGACGGCTCTGATCAACCAGAGAAATTAAGTCAGCGAAGTCTTCCTAGGGTTGAACAAAATCACCTTAAAACCAGAATTACGTATTTTCTCCAATTCTATTGGTTGAAAATAATGGACCCCATCTTTTGAAACCTCAAAGCAACCAATCAGATGCAGCGAAACACGTATCTATTTTTCTTTTTCAAAACGCTGACTTCAAGTCTACTTCAATCAGTTCGTTAAAAAAAGGATCTTTTCTAATATCTCTCTCAGTTCAGCTAAACGTTCGTTAGAATCAAGAGAGAATATGAGAAAGATGGAGAAAATTTTAGTTCTTTTAGTTTCAGTTTTGTTGTTGTCAACATGGGTGCCTGTCTCTCTGTGTGCCAAGAAACCAGTGGCAGTTGCTAGAAAGGAAGACATTCCTTACATTAAATGTCAAGTTTGTGAGAAGGTGGCATCACAGTTGTACCAACAAGCACAAACGAAACAAGCCCAAATCTCTCCCAAGAAGGTCTTTGTATCATCTGGGATTTCTTTTTATTGTATAAATATTCTTTCTTTCAATTCTGTTTTTGGTGGTTTTTTTAATTTTATTTTGATTTTGATTTTTCTGTTTGGTTTGGTGGGGTTTAGATATCGGAATACCAAATCATCGAGATTGCAGAGAATGTTTGTAATTTGAAGAAGGAGGAAGCTGATTGGATTTTGAAGATTGATATAGTAGAGCAAAGAGATAAGCTAGAGGTGAGATGAATGGATTCCTGATTGTTTGAGCATTTTAAAGATTTTTATGCTTTGTTGCTTCTGGGCATTTTCTTGTTAATTTTACCATGCTGACTCATGAAAGTGCCATCTATTTACAGCTAATCGAACAGGATGCTGAAGGAATTTGCAATTCAGAGTGTAAGACAGTCGAGCGAGCATGTCAGGAGGTTAGAATTTTGATAAGTTTAACATACGTAAAATATATTTTGGATTGATCAATGCAGTCTAGTGTCGCTGTAAGCATGTGAAATTTTGTGCATTTTCCTTCCTTAGAAAGTTCAGCTCATAATACTTGGTCTTTGATTTTAGCAGTTGTGATATGAGACTGTTAAGTCGGCCTGCTTATGCTTTTTCAGGTTATGGGATATTCTGATACTGATGTAGCTGAATATATATACATGTCCAAGCCGGATATTGAGTCACTGGTGAATTATTTATGTAAAGACCTGACTAAGACTTGCAAAACCAAGCCTCCTCCACTACCAAAGGTACTTGGATTCGCTATTCTGTACTGCTTTCTTTTCGTTAAGTGTAGTCTTCTGACTATTGTTAGAAAGCACTAATCCTGTATAAGATGGATACTTGCTATTCTGTAGTAATAGCTGAACTTTGTTTCAAATTTGGCTAATCCTTCTTGCTGTTTTCGATAGGATAGGCTATTAATCGCATGTGCTTCTTGATTCCCCATCTGTAATTGAATCTCAAAAAATCTTCATCTCCAGGAACCTTGCAAGCATTACTTCTGTATCGTCATTTACTTTCTGCTATGTTCTTTTGTTATAGTACATTCCAAAGTACATCTTTCTGTTTTTGTAGCGAATTGCTGGTAGGCAATCCTTTTTGAACTGAACCTGCATAATTTGGATAATATGAATCTAATTTTTGTGGACTGACTTGTTTTATTTAATCATTATCTTTCTACTAGTTCACTCTCTCCATAAAATGCTTTGAATGCCGTAGTCTGACTCCTTGTATATCACAACAGCTATTTTACTTTAGTACAACAGTGTCTTCAAATTCTAAAAGCTTCTCCTGTGTAGAACTGGTTTTTCTGTAAGGAGCTTGTTGTTATATTGTTGTATGTCAATGTCCATTGATCAGGTTACCTTTTAGATCTGGTGTGAGGAAAAGATGTGTCGAGTTTATTAACTCAATCAAATTGTTTTCTCCTCATTGATATATACAGGATAGGACTCCAGGAGAACCTTTTGTACCCAAGCCAACTAAAGAGGCTGAAATGGAAAAGATGTTACGATCCATGGAGGTGATTAAAGATTTATTGCTAATTATTATGGTTTGCATACCTGATGTTTTTATGTGATATTTATTTAATTGTTTAATTTTTTTGTGATTCAGGGAATGCCAGGGGCACCCAGCATGAAAATGTATTCAAGGGAGGAGCTGATGAACATGAAGAACTTGGGTGAAGATGATGATAATGATGAAGAAGATGAGGATGAGGAGGAACAATTTTCATCTAATTTGGTACTTAAACAAAACTCTACAATGGATTAAAATTTTCATAAGAGTTTTGATTTGATTATGATTTATTTTTTTCTCAGGGAAAACTTTTGAGAGAGAAAGAAAGTAGAAAAGGTGATTGGAAACAGAAGATGGGCAAAGGAATAAAAAATGCGAGTGAAACATTGAAGAAACATGCAAACAAGGTGTCCAACCAGGTACAAAGGTGGTGGAAAGGAATTAAAGCTGCCCGTTCAAAGGCCAACAAGGCAGAGCTTTAGGATACCATGAACTAAACGTGTGAGAAATGCCAATGGTTAGCAGTTCTTGTTTGTTTTCTTCCACTGTATTAATATGCTTTGTTACTCATTTACTCGGAAGAAGTTGATCGAGTCAAAAATCAAGTAACCATTTTTCCCTGAACTTTTCCTTCCCCGTCCTTGGGGAAGTTTTGATGATTCCCTTCATCCGTGGTACTCTCTTAACAAGTAGCAACTTCATTTATTTGCTGATTTTCAATACACAAAATCTGTTGAAACGTCTCTCTTTTTATCTACTGTTGAATTTATGAGTTTAAATAAGGAGTTTCTGATATTAGATCCTGTTGTTGTGCACCAATCCCTACTTTCATTTCCCATGCCTTATGCTACTTCAGACTTGTATCAATGAACCAAGGAACCCAACCCATATCAGTTGTCCACTCTTAACTAGGTTGCTCAGCCACCCCTCCATATTCAACATGGATTCAGCAAGTGGCAGTATGCTTTGGTTACAATATATATATATAGTGCTTGCAACTTTATCGATATAAAAGCCATAGAGAAATGCTGCTCAAGTTCTCATCAATATAACTGGATTTTGGCATTCCAACTCGTATCAGAAATTTATAGATTAACACTAATCGTCCCACCACTCATCATAACCACCATTTTGAAAATTCAAGTGTCAGTACGACATTTATGGTAATAAGGGCTCTTTTGGATTGGGCTCTTTATCTTTAATTATTGGGCCTTTTTTAGATAACACAAGGGAAGATATCACTTGTTTGAACAAATCAAACCTTTTGAGTTTTGACCTCCAAGGACACAAAATTTTATTTATTTTCACATTGAAAAGAATTAACCATGTATGCAAAATTTACAAGGTAGCAGTTTGGATAGAAAAGATATGACAAAGAATTATTATTATTATAAAGCAAGTCATGAGTTTAATTTAGTTGGTCCATATGACTACCTTTAAGATATACAAATTTGGAGTTTAAATTATCAGCAATTGCAATCTCTTCATCTATTCTTAGGTTGTGATCACTTTTGTATAAAAAAAACAAGTCATAAAAATGAGTGTATTATAAACATGAAGACCACTAACAATAGGAACTATTGTCAAAGCATATTACTCCATTAATTTACTCCTAATTTGTACCAAATATGGATTTTGACTTTGAGAATTGTTATTGGTTGTTTAATTTAATTAATTCGCATATTCTCACCCCAAAAAAAGTTGGTATAAGTTTAATTATGCAATGCAAAATTAGCATATATATTATCACTGATAAATTAATTTTCAATTCAATATAATCACAACGAAAACACAATTTCCTTTACATATATGTATATATAACTGCTAAAAATTAGATGGGATTGAGAGAACATTAAAGATTATTAAAGAAGATTTAGATGAAGATATGAATTGGGTGATGTTAATTATAAATAACCCTCTTTCTATTATATGCATGAGATATGAAGTGTTTGTTATACATGGTTTGATCACCTTCTTAACACCCAAATCATGATAAACTTTACAAATAATTATGCCATTATGCACTTTTGCAGAGGCAATTAAGCATAAAGTCAGCAGTCAAAAACAAGAATAATTAACTTAAGAAGTGCAACCAGAAATGAAGATCTAAGCAAAGCTGTTAGGAAACTACAATATAAAATAATAGGAGTTAAGAATCTAATTAATCTGATTATGATTTGGTATGAAATCTCCAAAGATTACTCATTAAAAAGTGAGGGAATATAGTAGGCAGCACAGTATTAAATTAATTGCTCTTAACTAAATACTATCATATGAATATAATAAATTTATGAATTTTTTTAGTTGCATGATGAGAGATTTTTCTCACGCTGTAAGAATCCTTTGGTGGCGTGGTGAGAGTAATTCTCACCGTGCTGTAAGGATTTTTGGTACCGTGATGAGAAGGATTGTCATCTTGCTGTGATGTCGTTTTGTGATAGACGCGGTCAAAGGATTCTTAGTTAATGTGAATAGGAGATGATTTAGAGACTTTAACAAGAAGATACTGATTTCTTTTCATATTTAAAGAAGTTTTGTTTATATTTTCTTTTAACCAGAACAGAGAAACCAACACTGTAAAAAATGTGTGTGTGTGTGTGTGTGTATATATATATATATAGTACAATAATTTCCACCGATGAATGTATAAACCAGTATAATGGGAAGATTTTCTACAATATTCTCTCCATTTTAGATGATGGTAACTCAAGAATGTTGTCATGCCAGCACAAATTTTGCAACGAAGCTTTTTAAAAATTTTGCTTGGCGTTTTTGTCAACATTTGATGCTGACAGAAGTAGGTTTCTAAAGACATAGGGGATAGAAAAAACGAGTTTCCTTGGGTAAATTGATGGATTCTGAGGCAGAAGCTCAGGATTTCTGGAGTTTGTCTTATCATTTTCTATGTTAAAACTTTCTTTATGGTGATTATTAGTTGGGAGTTGGGACTCATAACATATCTTGGTAATTAACAATTCAATTAAGACTAGGAGAGCCCTGTCCTGTCCCTTTTCTCTGTCCATTTGAACTTTGAAAGTCAAAGAGGAACCTTTTCCTAACTTGGTAAGCTACAGCAGAGGTGTTGTAGGGGTTTGTTGCATTGCATGGCTGGCTCTGTGAGGAAATTGTTGGATATTCAAAACTTGAAGATTTATGTTGATTGCTTGTAGCTTAAACCTTCTTCAGCAATGCAGTGCCAGCAGAAATATTTGACAATCTTTCACTTTTGGTTCTCCCGTTTTTAATCTTGTTCAGATCATTCAAACAAGGTTTTGAGTTCAAATCCAATCCTAACCCAAAAAAATTAAAAAAAAAAAAAAAGAAATATGTAACCTCTACATTCATTATCTATCAACATATATTATTCTTAATTACAACTCCAAATTGATGGCTATCAAGTTATTGTCAATATGAGAAATGAACTACCACATGAAAATTTTGAGAGTAAGAATAAGGCATTAAATATTATTGCTCCAGGAGTCTATATATAAAAGGAAATTTCTTTTTCTTTAGAATTTCATCTTTAGTGTGCCTCTTGCATTGAACTACCACTCAGCTAGAGTTGGTGGGCAATTTTATTTAGGGTTCTTATCTTCTAGTCATATTTTGCGAAGAAATTAGAAGTGAAAAGGACCAACCAAAGCTGCTTCATTGAGCTGTCTAAAATCTAAATGTTGAGTAGATTTTGTCGACATGTGATGGTGATAAGAGGTAGGTGTCCAATTACATGGTGGAGAAAAAGGACACGAGTCTTCCTTGGGCAGATTAGGGGATTCTGGAGCTCAGGGGCTGGATTCCTGGAGTTTGTCTGCCATTTCATCTTACTTTATGATTTTAATTAATTTGGGAATCAAATTTTTCTCTTCGAAATTTGTCTGATTAACGTGACTCTTTGAGCTGGTTAATATTCCTTCAGTTACCTCTAAAAATTACTATTGTGAAGTCAATGAGCATGTTTTCCATTGACTTGGCAATTGGAGGCAGCAAGTTGTTCTTAGGCCTTAATTTATAAGCTATAGCCTCTGCATTACCAGGCTTACGTATTTTTTAACAAGTCTATTAATTTGCAAAGTAAAGCAATCAGGAACAGTACTATTGCATAATCTAAACGTGGTCCTAGCTTGGTGGGTGGAGGGTGATGGCATATGTGGATCTGAAAGCTGAGATAACTTAGGGTCAAAAAAATCTTGAAAAAAATTTACTTTCTTTTTCTTGCATTTCACCCCTCCAAGTCCTTATTGTACAATTGGCTTACCCAGTTAGGGACACTGATCACATTTTTTTCACAAAAAGAGACACCACTGTGGAGATAGGAAAGTAAATTATAGATATTGAAATTTAAATTTTGAACTTATTAAATGATACTTGATGATTGAATGAATTAAATGAATTTAAATTATGGATTCAGAAATTGATCATTTCATAACTCATTGGAGGAATATTTTCTATTTAAATTTAACTTTTCTAGGGTATCATTTCTTAACTCTTACATCATTTTGTATCCATCAACTTATTTGAACGTAAGTCTACGTTCAATAATGTTCACCATGACTTATATAATCACCACTGCATCGAACGGGTTCTTAAATTAAGCAGAAGTCCCTTTTCCTTTACTGATATTGTTTGATTAGGTTTCACGGGCGCAGTCATTGATGATGCAATTCGCATTCTTCTTTCAAAGGTGTTCAGTAAATATTTTACTACTTAAAGATATCAAGTTGCCAAAGCATGTGTATGTTTCACCAAGTTACGAGGTCAACATCTAATCTCTAAACAACCTAAGAATATTTATATAAAACCCTATATTTCAAGAGTTCCAATGTAAGTAATGCTGCGTGGATGATTGTGATCGATGCTGCTGCCTGCGTGGTTTGCCTGGTCGGCCAAGGGGTGGATTTTACATGCATTTAAGCAGAGAAAAATCAAAATCAATCCAAAAGTCGGATAAACAAATAAAGAACAAACTGAAATGTTCAAGAATTCGAAACAAAAATTATATATAAATGGAAAACTTATGATCTGATCTAGGGCTTGTTGGCTGTTCAAGGATCACAATATACTGATTAAGGGATCATAAAAAATTTGCTAGTAACAAATCATTTGACTCCAACAGGTTGAGGTGAGGGGGAAGAGTAGGAGAAAGCACATGGAGAAATATAGAAAATTCTTTCATGAAAAAGGCCACTCTTGGCTCATGTGTTGCAATTATTTGCTAAGTACTCCTTCAAAAAATAATTCATTTATATGGGGAAAAGAAATAATATATATATATATATATAAAAGATAAAACTAAGTGAAAAAGATAATTAAGATCTTAACTTATATAATTATTTTTAAAATATATTATTTAATAAATTTAAAATTTAGCACCTGTAATTTTTTTTTATCTCCAATCTACGAGTTTTTTTGTAAAATAAAATCAAGTGAAAGAAATAGTAATATAACTATTTTTTTTATAGAAGTATATATTTTTTTCTTTCTTACAATTTGAATTTAAGATTTTAAATTGAAGTCGCAAATTTTTAATCGATAAAATGTTTTTGAAAGACAAAATTAATGATATAAAATAAAATTTCATAAGTACAAGACACTAATGATAAAGAATGATTTTGAGTAGTCTTGATCATGTATATTGTTAGTAATCAAAATTCAAAAACCTATGAGGATGCCTGTGGATCACATTTTGTTATACTTTATCACAACAATTATATAGCAATTCATTAATTAGAAATATTCAACAAAAAAACAAAAGTCAAAGAACATTTTTCATGTAGTACTGTATGTAGGGCTAAGTATCATAATTTTACTCGCATCAATCAACAGGAAATTTCCAATATGAAGACAATGATGAGCAGGTTTCAAAGAACATTGCATGCTTACGGGGTTCACAAAACTTGTTGTACCGAAACGAATCTTACATAAATATATAAAAAACAAAGAACATATTAAGTAAGTATGGAATTTATATTTATACAAAGTGAAATTTAAATTCAGTTGATTTATATAATTATTTTTAAATGATTATTTAAATATAAACAGTGATTTTTAAGTAAAAAAATGAAAAAAATAGTTTAATAATGAATAGAAAGGAGGGAAAGAGAGAGCACGTATAATATTTGTTGAAGCATGCAATCTTATTGGAAAACCTTATTTTCTTACATGTCCAAGCGTTGGTAGCATTAATAATCTGAACTACCCAATATTCCACTATTGTTTCTCTCTCTATCGACATGAACTTAGCATGATTATTAGAATAAAGATTCCGACGTGGCATGTCCTTATTGGCATTATATCTTCCACGAAGATTCATGACCGCTAATAGGGATGCAAATATACAAACATACACCCCCTTTTATCTTAATAGTTGTTTGGTCTGATCTTACTCCTTGGGGTTAAAGTTGGAACAGAGAGCCTGTAAATCTTGCAGAATTTCAATGGTGAAGAGTTTTCCTTCAATTATGTAATATATACGAGTGATTTCTGACATTTTAAGCGCATGTTGTCGGTAGCAATTGAAGGCAAGGCTATCGTCTGGTGAAGCAGCAACATCAAATGCAGAGATCAGATATTGAAGAACATACTCGGTTGCTTTTTTCACTTTCTAGTCTAAATTCAAAGTATGAAGTGATAAACATGGCCCTTAATTATATGATGTTGACACAGTTAGCTTATTAGTGTGTTAAATGTAGGATCAAAAGGTATTTTGAAATTGAGGGTGTCCAGTTGTAAGTTCCCCATAAAACCAATTGGCCTGTCATTTTCCTTTCTGAAATCCCAATTTCTGGGGTGCTTCCATATCCAGTTGCTTATCAGTTGGATTCCACTACGCACAATAAATTTAAGCAATTAGACTTTAACGTATATTAGTGGATAAGACTGCTTTTTAGCAGCTTGCAGTTACCTACCATACTGACAGTACTATTTTATTTATTTTGTGATATATATGATGTGGTAGAAGCTGGTTTTGGTGACTTCCATGCATTAAAAAATTGGGTTTACTCTAGAATATGTGATTTAATTGCTGCGTAACTCTTTATTCTATAATCAATGACAGAAGCCAATCACTTTGCTCTTACTGCAGGGTAACCCCGTCAGTTGACACAGTTCAAGAATGAGTTTTATTTTTCTAATACGGTCGAAAGTGTTTTCAATTCTTTTTTAAGTTCATTTCGTATTTCTAAAAATTTTAAAATAACATTCTTTTTTATTGATTTGATATATTCAATATTTATTTAAAAAATTTACTTCATATCTATTAAATATAATATTTAAAAATGATTACACGATACTTGTGTCTCTTGAAACGGTGGAAGTAGCGGAACAGTCGTCATCGACCACTCCACTCCTTTGATGTTCTCTATTTTTGCACTGTTAGTATATATGCAATCTATTAATTGCGAATCTCATCCTGTTGAATTCCCGCACATGATCTCGAGCCCCACGTCGATGATCATATATACAAAGAAAAGCATATTCTTCTCTTTGGTTTCTGTTATGAGGGTTTTGTTTAATGTTTATTCTCTACGTTAGTTAGTTGAAATCTAAAAGCCTTTTTTTTTCTTTGTTTTTCTTTCCCAAAAAAAAAAAAAAAAAAAAATCCATCATAATCTTGACAAATATCTTAACTCTTACATGTGGGCATATTGTATACCTAGATATTAGTAACAAAGAAAGAAAACCAGACATGTAATTAAAGTATGTCATTATAATTAATGAATCTAATTAGCCATTTACAAAGTTAATTAGCTTTCAAATCATAATGTAATCGAAAGTTTATAATTAGTTATTTGTTTTATGCAATAATTTTTAAAAGTTAGTACCCACAATTTTTTTTTATTCCAAACTACGATTTATTTTGTATAAAAAAAATCATAATATACCTAAACGTTTTTTTTTCCTTCTGCATATGTACTTACGAAGGACTAGCAGAATAACCAGAAGCAAAGTATTTGACTTTAATAAGCACTGATGATCTAATGATCATTTCGTGTGTATATATATATGATTAACTGAATGATTAAATCATAAACCCCATGATTGATTTTGCTTAAGATTACCTTTGATTAAACCTAGATTAGATAAATGATCATTCATAATGATGAAATCCTCAAGACCCTGAAGAAGTAATAGGTTCTGTTGCTTGGAACTAATGCATCAGTGGGACCATCAGATCTTCTCGGAGCTTCTGTTTTGTCCCAACTTTGTTTGCAAATCAGAATCTTAATCTTCAGTAAATTGGGATCTTTGTCAGGTTATCAGAACTTAACTACTCTTAGATCTCTCCACATAATTGTGTTGTAATATATGCATTTGATTTTCACTGAGGAAATTATTTTTTCAAACAGGGATTTTATTAGTCATAGGTTGGGAAGTGGAGACTTGCAAAGGGAACTCAATCACCATTAGTTTAAAAGGAAATTAGTAATATATTATAAATCAAGAGAGTAATTGCTTGAAGATAGTATGATAAAAGAGATAAGAACCTTTGTATATTCTAACGAAAAGAAATTTGAGAATTAAAGCCTCAATGGGCACCAACCTTTCCTGTACAAATCAACCACCATATTTGGTATGGATCTCATGGAGATTGAGATAAAGAAAGATTTGACAAGATGACAGAAGCTAACAGTTGTCACTGGAGATAAATACTATCTGTAAAAGGTGACCTTTGATTTTGTTTACACTATAGAATCAATCATTGATAAATATTTTTTATTTTCTATCTTCTGAAAGAACCAGGCAAGTTGTAAGGCCTTTTTTTCTGTGTCAAAGGGCTTCCCGGATCCTATATATATAAGGGCAGGTCTTTATTCATCAGCATATTCATCTCCTTGAAGCTCTCCTCTCTCTGTCCCTCTCTCTCTCTCTCTCTCTCTCTCTCGTCTATCCTTGCCTTTTTTTTTCGTACTCAACAGCTCCCTCACAGAAAAGGCTTTACTTATTCAGTTAGAAAGATAGACATGGCTATAGAGATTGAGCAACCTTCTGTTGGGCTATCAAAGGTTGCGGTTTCTAAAACTCATGGAGAAGACTCTCCATACTTTGCAGGCTGGAAAGCATACGACGAAAACCCCTACGATGAATCAGACAACCAGTCAGGAGTCATACAGATGGGACTGGCTGAAAATCAAGTAAGTGACCGGGCAAAACAGTTACTTAACAACAGCAAAAATGAATCAATTAGAATTTGCATGTAATTCTCTTTCTTGTTCCTCGAACAGGTTTCATTTGATTTACTGGAGAAGTTCTTGGAAGAGCATTCGGAAGCATCTAGCTGGGGGAAAGGAGCACCTGGCTTTAGAGAAAATGCTTTGTTTCAAGACTACCATGGACTAAAATCTTTCCGACAGGTACTTTTCTTGAACCTCAAGATTGTTATCCTAACAGAAACAGGTTTCATATATAAGCACAAGTCAGAAAGTAGCTAGTTTTTCAAGCCTACTAAAACATGTTCATTTTGCAACAGGCTATGGCAAATTTCATGGAGCAAATTAGAGGGGGAAGAGCTAAATTCAACCCTGATAGAATAGTCCTAACTGCAGGTGCAACTGCAGCTAATGAGCTATTAACATTCATTTTGGCAGATCCTGGGGACGCTTTGCTGGTTCCAACACCATATTATCCGGGGTAGGAACAAGTTCCGATAATAACATTTTCTTGGAAGTTCATGTCCTATGCATTTCCATGCTCCTTCATGTTTTTACCCCAGCTCTAATTTGAACTGTTTTGCTTCCTTCAGATTTGACAGAGATCTGAGGTGGAGAACCGGTGTGAAAATTGTCTCAATCCATTGCGATAGCTCAAACAATTTCCAAGTTACACCTCAAGCCCTGGAAGCTGCATATCAATGTGCAGAATCCATGAACTTGAAAGTGAGAGGAGTACTGATAACAAACCCCTCAAACCCGTCAGGTGCAACACTCCAAAGATCAGTCCTGGAAGAGATTCTTGATTTCGCCACACGCAAAAACATCCACCTTGTCTCAGATGAAATTTACTCTGGATCAACCTTCTCATCGCCCGAATTCATAAGCATTGCAGAAGTTCTTGACGCTCGTGACTACAAAAATTCTGAAAGAGTTCACATCGTTTACAGTCTTTCTAAAGATCTTGGCCTTCCAGGTTTTAGAGTCGGAACAATATATTCGTACAATGACAAGGTTGTCACAACTGCCAGGAGGATGTCAAGCTTCACCTTGATTTCTTCTCAAACACAACATCTCTTGGCTTGCATGTTGTCCAACAAGGAGTTCACTGAAAACTACATAAAGACGAACAGGGAGAGACTAAGCAAGAGATATGACATGATCATTAAAGGGTTGAAAAATGCCGGGATCGAATGCTTGAAAGGCAATGCTGGGTTATTTTGCTGGATGAATCTAAGTCCATTACTGGAGGAACCTACAAGAGAAGGCGAATTGGCTCTTTGGAAGACTATCTTGAACGAAGTGAAAATAAACATATCACCAGGATCCTCCTGCCATTGCTCCGAACCAGGCTGGTTCAGGGTCTGTTTTGCAAACATGAGTGAGCAGACGCTTGGAGTTGCACTTGAAAGAATACATAAATTCATGGAACAAAGAAAGAGAAAAGAAACCTAGTAAAAATCTTCACCATCATCAACCAGTTTTTAGTGGGGGGTTTTACCCATTTCGGTTCTTTGGCCGACATAACCCGTCTGAAGAATTAGGTTTGTGTCTTTAATGTGTAAATCAAAGTATGATTTTGATATTCTTGTTTAGGTGTACATGATTATCTTCTTGTTTTCTTGCTTCTGGTAAAAGCAAGTTCCCTAAAAATTCTTCCATTTATTTTAATTGGAAGAACTTCGTTTTCTCTTGTCACCTAAACTACTTTTTAAATTATATATATATATATATATATATACACACACACACTATTGTCTTTGATTAATTTCTTTGTAATGCCTTTGACTTGGTCATTATCCAATTCAAGCAAGAAATGTGCTTGTTTTTGAATCCTTAGCTAAACATAATCAATTTTTCTTTCTAAAAGAAATTACTTAGTTAAATTGGATACCACCAAGGAAAGAAGTCAATTCAGAAGCTCCACCGTGTCATGAAATCATGATTATGTTAGAATGGTGGAAGATCATATAGTTTAAAATTTAGTTCATATTGTACAAGTTAAGATTTTTTTTTTTTTTTAAATTATAGCTTAGGTGAGGAGAGTCTTTCCCATTTCAAAATGCATTTCAAGATATATATATTACCAAATACTTTGATTATTTTAAAAATATTTTTTATATTTTTTATTTTTTTATATACATTAAAAATCATGAAACATAGTTTTTATAAAATTTTAACATACAATACTAAACGTAAAACACATTTCTTCTAATCTCTATAAAAATTAAAAGAGAAACATACAAAATGGGACTTGAGAAGTATTTTCTTTCACAATACACATATATGTAAATATAAAATTTTCATACATAATCTTTACATGATAATGATGTTATTACAAAAAAATTAAGATAAATTAATAACAAAAAATAATTCAATATAAAAATATTCTTTCACAATTTTGTTTTCATAATTTGAAATTATTGTATAATTCGCTTCATTATCAACATTATCAAATACAATTATTTCAAATATGTAATCAACCATTCCTTTATCAAACTAACTCTCATTCGATTATGAAATATATTTTTTATTATATTCTTTCTTGACAAATTAGAGTTTTATTAGAAAAAATAATGGATAATTAATTTTTTTTTTGTTTTTGTTAAATTTTTGGTTAGTTCTTTTAGAAACAAAAGACAATTATGTGACTTCTAACTTCTACTAACTATAAATTAATTCTTAATTTCTTTTATGTATTATATTGACCCCTTAAAAAAAATTTTTAAGGTCAAATTACCCTAAACTGTGCAATGAAATTTTAAATTTCGGACCCCATTGGTTAGACTATGGCTCCATTTGGGTCACCGACTGATACACAATTCATACCTTCAATCGTCAGTAAAAGTTATTTGGATTACTTGTTTCAGCACGATTCAACTTTTTTTCGTCGTATTGAAGTCTTCAATCGCCATTGCAGCTTAAGGGTCCAGTAAAAAATCGACCACTCCATTGCATCCCTTTTTTCCTTTTATGCTTCTGCTATCTTTTGTCCTTTACCCTCCAATGTATAGTGTAGAGATTAGATTACCCTTTGTCTTTTTTTGTTATTTTCATTTTTTATTTAAAGTTTTTCATATAATATTACTATAAATATATAATAAATCGTTTATATATTTCAATAAAAATTTTAAAATTTTAAATGTTGAATATATTAAAATGTATTAAAAAATAATTTATTATTATATTATTATTTTAATATTTTTAATGATTATTTTTTCTTTGAATAACAATTCACTTTATATCTAAACATATATATAATATAGATTTTAATCACACCATTAAAATAATTAATTTCACCTTCATTATTATTTTTAATTTTTTCAAAATCAATCCCATCACTTGTCCAAGCCAACCTTATAATTACGTGCTTGATTTTCTAAGCCGACCAATGATATAGATATTATTTGCTGCACCCAAACCATACAAAAAACATTCAGATACATATATGTGTATGATGTGACAGCTTTCATATCAAACTTATAGATGGAACATTATACCATTATGTTTGCCTATCCTATATTTGCATTTGAAAATTTAAGAAAATTTTGTCAAATTCCTTAAGAAATAGCGACATTTTCCCCTGGGATTTACAGCTACAGATTATCCAAGATTCACTCAAATATTAATCTAACAAGCTTTTTCTAGCAAAAGAAAAAACTTTCCATTATCACTATTATTATCCATTTCTTTTTATTTTTAACTTCTCGGATATTATTTATGCTTCTATGAAAGATCAAATTGACTATAGTCTATCTATATAAATTAGTATTGGTTCAACGAATTCAAAGTAATTAATTTACTTAGTTCATATAATTATTTTTTAGATTTAATAAATTTAAAATTCAATTTTAAATACTCGCAATTCTTTTTTTTTTTACCTTAGATTATAGCATTTTTTGTAAAAAAAAAAAAAGTGTTGGTTCATCTAAAATTATATTGAGCATTCACTTAACCAGAACCCATAAATTATCAAATGAATTTGTTGGTTTATCATTCACCACTTAGTAACATTAATGGTCTGAAAGATCACAATGAATAAAATCATCAGCCAACACCATAAAAAAAAAGCCCCCTAATATCATGGCTAGCTAGGTTGGAAAGCTGGACTTTGAACCTTTAACATTAGAGGTTTTTTGTTTTCTCTTCCTTTGGGGCCAACACATTTCAGTTGATCCTACAAATTGTCATAATCAGGTCATGCTCAATTAACACTAACCTTGATTAAGACGTGCCAATAATTAGATACTTTAGAGACTACAGCATGATCTTAACTATACACTAACCTTGATTAAGATGTGCTAATAATTATTAGATAAGATATTCTAGGCAATTCTATATATAAATTTTTTTTTTTTTTTTTGTGTATGATCTTAACTAAACACCCAAAACCTATGGGCCATTGAAGCTTAATCATATAGTTTAGTGTTAGAAAAACGACCGAGATTATTGGAGTGATTAGACCGTAATTTTTGTTATCTATGTATTTTTCCAAACATCTCATCGATAACTAACGGTTTGATGTTTATCTAATCTAGCATTATCATCTAACTATAGTTGATTGGATGAAAAAAATAAGTTAACGTCTTATTGATAGAATGGTTTGCACAAATTAAGCATCAATTTTATTAGCCTCAAAAAGATTAGTGGTCATTAATTATACTAATTTCTTTTTACATAAGATAGACATGAAAATAAGATCTTGATTTGAAACCAAAACTTCTATATTCTTCTAGAGCTCGTTAGCCACTAGTTAAAGATAATAATACTAATTTTTCGGGGTGAGACAAAATATTACTATTAAGCTTCCCTATCTAAATATTTTTTTAATTTGCATTAAGTTTTTTCAAGCAATATTTTACACCTTTTAAAATTGTAACCGAAAACCCAATAAAAATTATTTTACCATATTAATTTTAATATGTCTTAGCTTTTTTTTTTTTTTTCTCTTTTTACCAAAAAATAAAAACATTTTAATTACACTCTCTCAAGAAATTTTAGTCTCTTTAGTTTTTCTTTTTAACTCATCAGTTCGTAAAATAATATGTTTCGAATTAAAATTTTTGTTTCAAAGATTATGAAGTAAAGATGATATGCATGCTTTGAAATTAAAATTCTTAGATGAATATGTGTTCAAAATTAAATTTAATTCTCTCGAACCAAAACTTGTAAAATTAAAACTTCAAAAAGCATCAAATGGATTAAAAGAAAATGAAAACCTTAGAGAAAATAATGACAAAGATTGAATTTTGAATGGAAAAGAGCATATGTTGCCTCACATGCGAACACCTGTAAAGCAAAGCCGCTGTGTTGACAAATTCAACGATTTCTTAGTCAACTCAGCCAAAGACCAACAGTCGATTCGATCACATCCGTTGAGATCAACCCACGTGGCTGACGGAGACGGAGACAATCATAATCCATGATAAAACGACACGTACGCACATGATCCAACATAGTCCTATTCTTCCATCCTGGCTGCCAACCACCCTCCCTTCCAAGGCAATCCTGGTTGCGTAATCTGCGCTGCCATGGAAAGCCATCGGTCCACATAATCACGATTCCCATCACCTTTTTTTTTTTTTCTTTAATTTTGGGCTGAAATGAAACAATTTTGGTGGGAAAACTTGAAAAAGTTTGATGGAATGATTGTATAGGATGGATGTCATGTCAAAGATGTGTTGTTAACAAGATTTACATGGTACAATGATATTACTTATCCAAAGTCCAAACACGTTATTCCAACAATATATAGTGTCAAGCTAATCATTCAACTCTCCCCCAATAATACAACCTTTTTGCCACAAATGTGATGGAAGGAACAAAGGAATTTGATTGAGTTGGACAATAAGAATTCTAAGTTTTTGACTTATTATAAGCTTGAAAAAAATCTTGGATCCAACTTATTAAATATTATTTTTAAAAATAATTATATAAATAAATTTAAAAAATTTAATTACTAATTATATAGCTAATCAAACTTCACATATTGTTTAATCAAAATTATTTAAGCTCAAACCTATGGAATTAACAATATTTCAATTATATTGTTTAATCACTCTTTCGTATCAAAACTTCAGTTGGTTAGTTTTATTTTTGTAAAACCTAACTTGAAAAATATAAAAAAAATTTACACATCAACCAAACTCATTAAAAATTATTCCAAAGTCCAAATACATGCTAGAATGTGTGTGGATGTACTTGCTTATGTATGAACAGACGTAAGTGCTCGAAAAGGAAAATTTCGTAATGATATGGTGCTTTTGATTGAGCTAGATAGGATCAACTTCCATGGAGGAGGTTGGTCAAAATTTTCTTTCTATATGGGTCTGGCTAGATCTAGCTAGGCAAACAAATTAAGAATTCATCATGCAGTTAAGCCAAGCCCAACCTTGCATTTTCAACGCTAAGCTGCTAAACGATTAGTAACGTAGCCATTGGTTTCCTTGATTTATTACCTTTTTACTTAAGAAAATTAGTAAATTATTAACTATAATTTGTTATTATATTTTAGTTGTTGGTTAAACAAATTGATAAATTGTAGCTTATGTCATTGAGGCTAAATATTTCGTTGAAATGGAAAAAATTAGAACTATTGAATTATTGACCCATCTAATAAATTTTAATAATAAATCTTAATAAATTATTATTCATAATTAACTCATTGAAATAGGTCAACAACTACCTAATCTATTGATAGAATGTTGAATTTTTAATTACAATGATTAGTGCTCAATCTCTTGTAATCTTAAGTAAAAAAAAAAAAAAGGAAGACTTAATTATAAAAAACCTTGAAATAAAATTAAATTATCATATAAGCTGTTATATTTTTATTACAATCAATTAAGTTATGTTTTGTGCATAAAATAATAAATAAGATAGTATGATAATTATTTTATATTATATTTAATTTGTATCTAATTGAAATAGATATGATTACAAAGATGATTATTATCCTCTTGATATAAGTTGTTTCAGTCATTTTAAAGTAGAGATAATTATTTTTAATCTATAAAATTAGACTTATATGTAATATTATATCATTAAAAATTATATCAATAATATAAATTATATAAATTTTGAAAAATGATAATTTTGATCAATAAATAAATTATTATATTTTAATTCTTACACGTATCAAACATAAAATGGGATAATATTATTTAATTTAATCTTAATTATAATATCATCTTATCATCTCCTATCATAATCTTACAAACCAAACATGATTTTAAGTATCTAAATATTTATTTTTACCCAATTAAGTTTTTGATTTGATCAAAATTGGTTAACGACTTATGTGATCAATTTTTGTCCAATAAAGAGTTTAATTAAATGAAAATAGATATTTAAATTTTTAATTAATTATAATAAAATGATAAGAGTTTGAATGATAACTTAGTTTCAGTTCATATATATATTTTTTTATAATTAACCCATATATATTTATATATATATATATATATATGAATCACTTGCATCATGAGTAAAACATGGGCAACCAAAAGGACCCAAATGAATTTCTTGTTGTTGCTAGTTTCAAAAATGGGCCGTTTGAGACGCTCTTGTTCAAGACTACATGGGAAGGAGTCCAGTGCTGCAGCAGAAAACGCCCAATTGCAAAAGGGCCAGGCAGCCTTTTGTGAGGCAACAATCTTGTGAGGATGAAACACAAAGTTGAATTTTAAATTTGGTTCATTTCATTTTTATTTAATTTAATTTTAGAAACATTTGTGAATGTTATTCCTAATCTCATCTTCACTAAAAAATAAAAAATAAATAGATCATAACTTTAAGTAATGCCATTTTTTTATTGTAATAAAAATATATTAAAAAGTAAAACTTTATTATTGAAAAAATTTTCAATTTCTTTTTAAAATATTTTAAAAAAATAAGGTAAAAGTTGTTTTTTATTCTTTTAAGATTGTAAAAGTTACAAGCAAAAGATAGTAAAAGCTTAAAGCTATTAACAGATATCGACTTAAATGATAAAGAAAATTTTTTATTTTATTAATTGTTCGAATTATAATTTATTGAAAGATTATGAAAAGATAATTTTTTCAAAATTTTATAAACTTGGCTTATATAAAATTATTTATACATGAATTTACTAAGTTTTACTAAATAAGATCACTTAAAACAGTAAAAAATAGGTTTATTAAACAAATTTCAAAAGAGAGTTGCTAAATGCATCCCACAAATTTCTTTTTACATTTCAATTTTTTTTAATTTTTTGAAGTAAAATTATTTAGTTATCTCAAACAAGTTTTTAGAAATTCATTTTTAAAAATTTGAAAATGCACAAAAATATTTCAACACGAAATTTTAACACGAAAGCTTATGAAACTAAATACTAAATCAAACAAAAAACTAAAATGAATAAATGATTTGAGGTTTTTAAAAGTAAAAAGGTACTTAAAAATTTCACTCATTTAAAGTTAAAAAAAGTATAAAATCAAAGGTAAATTGTTTGTTATTTTTACTTTTTCATTTAATTTAATATTTTAAAGATTTTCATAAATGAATTTTTAAAAGTCTGTTTAAAAGAGAAAAATAATTAAATAATTTTACTTATAAAAAATTTAAAAACTAAAAAACTAAAATGTGAAGAAGAGAGAGTAGGGTGCATTTAGCTGCAATTAACTAAAAAATTCCTTACAATTAAAGAAAGAAAAGTAAAAGCTAACCTCTTTATAATTAAATTAGGAAAATTATCCTAAAAAGGGAAGTAGTTTGTTTAAATTGCAAAGTGACCCTGCAAATTACACAAATTAGAAACAGAATCTCAAAAAGAATTAAAAAAAACCCCGAAAGGGGTCATTAGGAAAATAATCCACTGATCCCAGAAATCTCACCCATTAAGTCTCTCGCTCTTCTTTCCAAGGTAGGCCGCGAGAGAAGCCAAGACAAGTCCGCCCCCAATTCTCCTCTAAGCTTTGACTCCGATCGATAATACGCTCTCTTTATCTTTCACTTTTTCTCTCAGTAAGATTACCTTTCTTTGCTTAGATCTGTAATTTATTTGATTTTAAAATATCTCTCGTTTTTCTCTTAACTTTTTCTCACAGATCTATTGATTTTACAACTCGATCACTGTTCAAAGTACTTTAATTTCCACCATTGATTGCTTTTTATGTTAATTTGTAGGGTTTTAGTTACCTAATTTCATTTTTTTTAATTTCAACATATTTTTTTTGTTATTTTAGGTTTTCTATGTCAATTTTTGGAAACAGAAATTAATTTTTTAATTTTTCATTGTGTTTTATATATACTGCAGATTTGAGGTGCGATTTTGATGGCGTCAAAATTGCAACAGTTGCAATCTAAGGCGTGTCAAGCGTCGAAGTTCCTGGCGAAAAATGGAACTGCTTATTACAAGCAGTTGTTGGAGCAGAACAAGCAATACATTCAGGAGCCACCGACCGTGGAGAAATGTAGCGAGTTGTCTAAGCAGCTGTTTTACACTCGCCTTGCTAGGTATTTGTTACTTACCTTTCATTATTTGCTTCTCTTGTTCTACTGCCAATAAGACCTGCCTTATATCATGTGTTTATATATCAAAATTTTTTTTCTAGAGCTCCCTAGATTTGAGGTCTAAAATAACAAAATGTTTAATTTTTACTCTATCTAACAGATGGACACAGTTATTAACAACTGCAGCGAAGGAACTATGTTATAACTAGTCCAAAGTACCAATCAAGTTGTCCTAGCCTAATTTCTTAAGCACGAACCAAGTTTTTTTTTTATAGGTGTGTAATATCATTTGTGAAAGTCAGATGATGCAGTGGTAACGTCTTTGGTCATTTGGTCTTAGTTGTCCACTGCTATTGTTAAGCTAATGATTATGGTGCTCTTTATTTGTATCTGCTAATTTTTTATAATATGAAACTATATGTGGTTGTTAGTAGAATTGGACGAATTGATGTGTTTATTAGCATGTTAGATGTTACTTGGGGCATGGCATTGGTTATCCCTTTTGCATTGATGGCAAAATTAATCTTCTCATATTTCCAGATTTATCTTGCATTATACATGAATTTCTATAGTTTTCCAGTACACTCAGGTGTTTCGAATTTTGATTGAGTTACAAAATTTGTCGATGAAGCATGGTATTAGGATTCTGGTATGCTAGAAATGAGTTTTGTTTGGCATGTTAATAGGAAAGTTTTGAATGGCCACTGTGAGAGAACATTTGTCAATAGGACAACTTGGATTTAATGGAAGGAAGTGAAGTTCTTGTTGTTGAAATTGAAAGACCTTGAATGGTCTTCTGACAGTATATTGCTATCAACATAGGTTTAGAATTCATTTTTAATCCATACCTCTGAGAAAAAAGGAGAAACCTTTTTCCGGAGAATTCTCTTGGAAAATATGTCATTTTGTTACTTCTTTCTCAGCATGTGCCTCGTGTTTGGGAGTTTCCCAGTTTCATCTTCAGGAGGATGGGAAGCGAATGAAAGCTGCCTCGCAACTTACTAATAAATATGTCAACTATTGAGTTCCTGAGAACCAAATAACGAGATTCTCTTTAACATTCTGGAAATTTTTGTGACTGTGCCTGTGGTGTCATATGAACTTCTGAACAGGAGAATATAAGAACAAAACAATGCGGCTGGTTGCTTATGATTATGCATGTCACAAAGAGTCAATGATAATGCTTCTAATATCTTCTTACTGTGTTTATTGGCACTTTCATTGTTGTTATATGCTGTCTCATTAGAAGCAAATATTAGTTTACTCTATGGAGGCATTAATAGTGGCTCAAAATCAGAATACAAGTGCGAAACGGAGTAACTCCTTTTGATGCAATTTTTTGCAGTATCCCTGGTCGTTCTGAGTCATTCTGGAAGGAGCTTGATTATATCAAGAATCTATGGAAGAACAGGCAAGAACTGAAGGTTGAAGATGCTGGTATTGCTGCTTTGTTTGGACTGGAGTGCTTTGCATGGTTTTGTGCTGGGGAGATAGTGGGAAGGGGTTTTACTTTCACTGGTTACTATGTCTAAGGGTGATCAGCCAGTGGAAGGTTTTTCAGGGAGTTAAATGTGTATGCTTTTATCATTGTTCGCATGATTGAATTGCGGCTACTCTAGATGCACAATTTTGTTGTTTCATGGAAATTTTGAAGCTGAGAAATCAGTGGTTAACTTGATAACCTGAATAATTTTTATAGTTGAAAATGACTTAGGTTGATAAGCCTTGCTGTTGTCTCGTTATCTTCACAGAATTTACCGCAACCAAGATTGATGATAACGGTGCAAATTACTCTCAACTTTTCTCCCCTAATCTTCCATTCTGTTTCTATCCCCAGCCAAATCGTATGTGGTGGGATTAGCATTCTAACAGTAACAGCCTGTACTTGACTTATTAGATTTAACTAGCTTCTATGACTCAGATTTTCTTTCTTATAGTAGCTTTTAACAGCTTTGGTGGTTGCTTTTAGTTGGTCGGCCTCTATCCATGACTCGCCAATAGTTTCTCTGCTATGTTTTTCTTAATTTGGTGGTTATACTTAAATATGTTAGACCAAGTTCAGAATTAGACTTAGATCTCCTATAGGCCTTTGCTCTTTCCGTGATATTGTGGCCGTCACCAACCTAAGACTTGTTCTTCGATTCATCTGTAGGCGAAGCTGCTCCTAAATCTTGATTTGGAATTTTAACAATGCAGCACGGTTGTGGATTTCTATCAGTCTAAAGTACAGTGGATAGCTTCGAGCTTGACATAAATAAATTGATACTAGAACATCAATTGCTCTTGGCATTTGCACGAATGAAGAATCAAAAGCTTTTCTTTCGGCCTAGAAAAAGGAATCGAAATTTTTCTGCGTTTGCCCTTTTCTTTTACGTGCAAAATTTATTTCGGCCTAGTCAATTCTTCAAAAAAAAAAAAATAATAATAAGAAAAAGGCCTCGACCATTGAACGGATTCATTGTTGGTATCGGAGGTCCAAATGCTTAGGAGGGGTGTTCTGGTAATTTCGAAATTCCTCCCGCGGGTTCCCCACGTCCAATACAAAAACAATGTTGAACAAAATTTTACAACGACTTGTATCACAAGGACAACTCGAGGAAGAAAGAACAAAAAAGAATGGCCTATATCGGTCAACGAATCGGCGATAGAATGCTGCCCGGCGCCGTTGTTCCTGGTTGGACACGTTTAGTAGCAGTATTTGCCTTCATCTTCGTCTTCCTCACAGTTTTCGCCGATTCCGTCACGAATGATTCCCAGGTACAATATTCCCAAAACCCTATCTCTATTTTTTTTCCGATTAAGAATGAGAATTCGAATGCCAATGATCGAATCCAATTTTTGAATTTTTATTCTCTCCATTTAAAAAAAAATAGTTGTAACAATAATTGTTATAATTACACAGCTAAAATGTAGCAGAACCTGCATAGCTGAAAACTGTAATTGTGAGCTCCTTCTTCTTTTCCTCCCGAATTACTTTCTTGAGAAATCAACTAGATTTTCTTATTAATTGTTTTTCGTAATTAATTAATTAATCAATTAATTTTAAATCTGGAATGAAGCGGTTGGGATCCGATACGGGAAATATTGTGGGGTAGGGTGGTCTGGTTGTCCTGGAGAAAAACCGTGCGACGATCTGGACGCTTGTTGCAAGATCCACGACGAGTGCGTCGAGAAAAAAGGTCCTAGTAATCTCTCGTCATCATTTTATATTGAGTCATTCACCAATTTGCCCAGTTTTCATTGAAATTTGCACAAATTTCTCTTTCTCTGAGATTGTTTGATAATAATGAAGGTAATACAGAATTATGATGATGAAGTCGTTCTTTTTGCAGGTTTGATTAACGTAAAATGCCATGAAAAGTTTAAGAGTTGCATAAAGAAAGTACAAAAATCTGGCAAGGTTGGATTTTCTCGTAATTGTCCCATCGAGACGGCTGTGCCTACCATGATGCACGGTATGGATATGGCCATCCTGCTGAGCCGGTTAGGCGGCACCAAGCTTGATGAACTTTGATTTCTCAACTTCAAAATTTAACTTGATTGGACTTCTCATTAACTGTAGATTTATTCCATTTGATGGGCTATGATTTTTTTTCTGAAGAATTTTATCTTCTGGAGCTTTTGATGAACTTTTATCACACTTCGATGCCTTTAATATTCGTTATGTATTTTTAGCGACGAATTAGTTTCTGGTTCTTTCTTTTTGTCAAAACAGTATCAAACTGATCCTCATCCAATGGGATGAAGTATTGGAGATTTATTTTTAAATCAGGCCACTAGTTGGTGGTAGGATTTTTTTGTTAGCCCAATTAGATTGTGGGGGCGGGGGAGCTTACACGTTACACCTGAACTGGTTATTTTGAATAGGCTAAAATAACTAAAAGAAATGCTAAATTTTATCATTTTTTATAATTTTTTATTTTTTTTCATTTAAATAAGTTCTTAAATTTTATTTTACATTTAAATAAATTTTTAATCTTTAATCTTTAATTTATATTTAAATAAACTCTTAACCTTTAATTTATATCTAAATAGAATTTTAAAGTAAATTAATATTTTATTTGAAATAAATATTTATTTTAATATAAATAAAAAATAAAAAATTATTTAAATATAACAAAAATATAAAAAAATATTATAAACATAAAATAATTCAGGTTAGTTTTTTTAATATTTTAGCTATTTGAATACAATAATATTTGTGGCATATATTGTCTGCTGACATAAAAACTATTTTGTGAAAAATAAACCAATTTAAAGGTTGGATTATTTGTTTAAATTCGAAGGTTTATCCAATTTTAAGAGGGTTTGAATAAGAAATTAAAGTTTATTAAATAATTTTGAAAATAATATTTAGACTAAATTTTGGATGGTGCCTAAGACAAAAGAATTAAAGTTTGATTTCAATTCAAATAAAATATACAATAACAATATTATAATTATATAAATGTAATTTATATTTTTATATTTATTTTATAAAATAATTTTTTAATATTTATTACATAAATTAAATTTAATAGATGTGTTTAGGATTTATTTTTCAATTTTGGTTGGATTTGAAAAAATTTTAAAATTTAAAATATTCGATCGAATCTGAATAAACATATAAGTTATTAATATTAAATATGAGTTTAACCCAATTTTGACTCGATCAAGTCCATAAACACCTTTATTGAAAATGTACATGATAATTTTTTTTTTATATTTAATGCAAGTTATTTATTGTCAGTAATCAAACAATAATGTTTTATAAAAAAATAATTTGAAGTATATTTTTAATAAGTGTATTTAGTTTTTGAGATTTTAAAATTTTCAAAATTAATTTTTTATGAGATGTTATAATGTGATTTATTGAAAATATATAGTATATATATTCTAACAATGTTCAAATATAAACTTTAAGAAAAAAGTAAACATTGCTTATAAAATTATAGTGCAAGCCTTATGAGAAATTTTTTCCTCAACAATAAGCTCAAACAATATAGATCATTGCAATATTTTTTGATAAAAAATACAATTATCATCCCAAAAATTTTATTGATTTTAGATTATATGAATACATTTCAAAGCATGTTAAAAGTTACGTGATTTATTAATAGGATATTAAACTTTCAATACCAATGAGATTTTATCTTAATAGTAAGGTGAAAACTTTAAAATATTTAGATTTTAAGTTCAAGTTTTATTATATGTGTTTTATTATTTAGTTATATTTTAATTTGTTAGTTGATTATTCATCATAAATTAAGTATGATGTAATAATTAATTATTCAATTGAATATATCAATATAATATTTATTTGTAATTGTAAAATTTAATTATGATATAATAATTAGTTTTTTAATTGATTATATAGATGTTATATTTGATTATGATTGTAATTATAAAAAATATTTAATTTTTAATAACTTCAAATATAATTTTTTTAAGTATATTTTATAAATTTCACTCATTCCTTATCTCTAAAATACATTTTAGAAATTTAAACTTTCTTATATCTAAAATGTAAGAACGAAAGGTTTTATTATGAAAAAAAAGAAAATATAAATGTATAATTGTAGACGGAAAAAAAAAACCTCTTGGAAAATTATTTTCTATTGCCGAGTTGAATTTTATCTACCATGAAAAAGGTTTACGAAGCTACTTGGACATTTTAGTTTTGTTTGAAGAAGCAATACTAAAGCCGCCCCGGTTTCACCGCAAGAGCATGGAAATTATCTGTGATCTAAAGGGGCAATCTGGTAAATCCAAAATGTGAACTGAGTTCCACGTCGTTCATTCCCCCGACCCCTCTCTTGATCAAATGTTTGACCCACAACTTTTCTTACGCTGTTCCCCAAATTGAGTGTTCTAATCAGATTCGTTTTCTGACAATTACAAAAGAAAACGCAACAACAAATTTATTTTTAGAAAAAAAAAAAGAAAAGAACAAGAAGGGAAAAACGACAATCCAATTTTGCGCGAGAGTCCAATCGACTTGTATAACTTTCTTCACTTCTAAGATACCGATTTCCATTAACAATCATCTCGCAAATCGAATTATCAGACACGCTCCGGAAAAAATGCTTCACAGGAGCTTCAAGCCAGCCAAATGGTAAATTCTCTTTTTTTTTTTTAATTTTAATATATGTTTCATTGATTGAATTTTGGGTTGTTTTTGGATCGAAGTCGAAGTGGTCGTTCGACTTTTTTTAGTTTTGATTGGTTTTGGTTTTACTGAATTTTGATTTGATGCAGCAAGATAGCTCTAAAGCTAGCGATTCCGCGAACAAAGCTAATGAAGAACAAGAGGGAAGCACAGGTCAAGCAGTTAAAGAGGGAATTGGCTCAATTACTGGAGTCAGGACAGGATCAGACGGCCAGGATTAGGGTATTGAATTTTGATCAAAGTTTCATAATCATAATTTTGTTTGTAATTGTTGTGGTATTAATTTTGGAGGTTTTTTTTCAGGTGGAGCATGTGGTTAGGGAAGAAAAGACTGTGGAAGCATATAATCTTCTTGAGATATACTGTGAACTTATCGTGGCACGTATGCCCATCATTGAGTCTCAAAAGTGTGTAAAAATACTTTCTTTAGTATTTCATATTTTGATTTTATTCGTCTTTTAATGTTTTGCCAGCATGCAAATGGAATTAGGGAAACTTTTGCTGAGTTTGCAAATGTTTGAAACAAATAGAGAACAGATTTTCAGTGTTGAAGCAGTTAGACTTGGTCTTTAAAAATCTTAAGTTGCCTTAATCCCTGGGGAAACTGACATTCGATCCAACTGCCAAAAACTACTTTGATTTCAACTAATTAGATTGGCACCTTCCCGCTTAAGTTATGAGGACCTGTTTATTTCACCGGCTTCGAATAGCTGCATATGCATGCTTTGGTCTTTCAGCCAGATTAAATTTTGTTGATTGCTATTGTTTATTATTAACTTTGGCTTGTGCTTTTCTGACCTGAATTATTCAGAAACTGCCCAATTGATTTGAAGGAAGCAATTTCAAGTGTCATATTTGCATCTGCAAGGTGTGAAGAGATACCAGAACTCAAGGATGTCTCCAAACATTTTACTGCAAAATATGGAAAGGAATTTGCTTCTGCCGCGCTTGAACTGCGTCCTAATTGTGGTGTAGGTCGTATGGTGAGTTTTTATGGAAAATCTACTCACGAATAAACAATAGTTGAAATGTAACTGAATTTTGATAGTAGTATTATTGACTGATCCTTATATTGTTTCATATAGTTGGTTGAGAAATTATCTGCCAAAGCACCTGATGGTCCAACCAAACTCAAAATTTTGACTGCAATTGCTGAGGAACACAAAATCAACTGGGATCCTGAATCATTTGGAGCAAAAGAGTCACAGATTTATGATGACTTGCTGGTAAGACTAGAATAGTGCCAAACAGGTTATTTTATGCCAATTTGTTATGATGCTTAGGACCCTCCTTAGAAAAATACTCGATTATGAAGTGATTGTATGTTGTTATTTGTTTGTCAGTGATTGAATGATTTACTGGACAACTTATGTTCTTTTCATTTGAAATTGCTTCTGCAGAATAGACCAAATAGTTTTATGGAGGCCACCAAAATTCCAGTGGATCCTCCTAATATCCAAGCTTCATCACCCAGTCATTATGAGCAGAGGCCTCCTAGCACTGAAGTTCCTAATCATGATAAGGGGCGTCCTAATGTTCAAGATCCAAAACACATTGAGAAAAATGATGCGCCCACAAGCTTCCATGAGCACAGCTCAAGATCATCTCCTCACCCAAAGAAATTTGATTATTCAAATAATAGTGCCAATAATTCAATATCCTCTGGCACTTATCCCCCAAATTCAAAACCTCATGGTATGTTAATTATTATTCAAACATGTTAATTGATCAATTCTTTTGGTCATTTTAAAAAAAAATTTTCACTTAGCTTTTTATTGTCCATTAATGATTAGCATATTTTGGGTGCTCTGTTTTGAAGGAACTGAAAATCAAGGGATGGAATTTAGGAATTCATATTCTGGGAATGAGAGAACTTTCTCTTCACCAAGGCAACGTTGGAATATGGAATTCAAGGATGCTACTGCTGCAGCTCAGGCAGCTGCAGAATCTGCAGAGCGAGCGAGTATGGCTGCCCGAGCTGCTGCTGAACTTTCAAGCCGTGGAAATATCTCCCAGCAGTATTCAACGGAGTCACTAATGTCGTCTCCTCATGGTATGAGAGATGATGAACCATGGGAGTATACTGGCTCAGCATCTCAAAATGAACATCTTGCCAGACATCCAGTTAATATTTCCCTCCATGGAAGGAATTCTACGAATTATGAACAAACTGACAGCAACGAACAACATAACCGGGCAGGAGAGTCTGAAAATGTTTATGGTAACAATGTAAGGAGCGGTGTTAAATCCACTCACAGTTCCTTTAAGTCAACTGCAGCTTCCTTCAATGAAGAACCATCAGTGAATAATCAGATCCTAGATGCATATTCTCTAAGTAATTCATCTGAAGGCAGGCAAATTGAGCATTTTGCTGAAGTGAGTATGAAGAGAAACTCAGGCGAAAATGGGATGCAATTTGTGAATGAACTGCATGATATTAATCCTCAGAATGTTGATCATCATGAAGTTAGGATTAGGGAACAATCACGCTATTCTTCTTCTCATTCTCAATCAAACTCTTTTACTGATGATCGTGATGTTGTCTCTAATTTAAATTGGCAGAAGTCAGAAAATGATAAGATAAACTCAGGCGAAAGCAGGATGCAGTTTGTGAATGAACTGCATGATAAAAAAAATTCTGATTTTGCTGATTATCAGGAAGTAAGGATCAGGAAGCAATCAAGCTATTCTTCGTCTCATTCTCTCTCGGGTACTTTTGCTGATGATCATAATGTTGTATTAAATTTAAACCGTCAGAAGTTGGGAAATAATTCTGGTGAGGATTCTTTTCTTCTCAATGATGAAGGAAGCCTTCAAAGAACCACCAAAGATACAACAGATTCTTATGACAATGCCTCTGCAGTTTTTGATGATTATGGATCAGATAATGATGAAGATAATTTTGATTTGGAGGAAGAGCATAAGGTACCTGAATACGGTATGAACTTTTCATCTCCTGGTCAAAGATCACCTACTCATCCATTTACAAGTACAAATTCTTGGAGCGTTGAGCAGGATGTTAAGTCACCTGCAAAGCCCATTTCACAATCACATATTTTCTCAGAGCAGCGGTCTACTCCTGTCTTCTTTGAGAGTTCAACTAGCTCTACAGTTCCTTCACATGGAGATGACTTGCCTGCAACTTTTGATAATTATGGCCCTAGCTCAGAAAGTGAAGAGGAGGTAGACAATTCTAAGTATGTTAGGACCCCTGATCTAAGTATAGGTAGTCATATAAAGAATATGAATTCCCACCAAGCTGAAAACAGTAATTTCTCTCCACAGTTGGCTGAAGGCATGGAAGATACTGAACATTCTAATCATTCTAATATGGAAGAAAGTAAGGAATTGAACTTTGGAAAATTGACAGGTGGCCTTCGAAATAAGGGTTATAGGCATCCACCATATTCAAAAATTCCTCAAGGCAATGCTTTATCCTCTGGAGAGGCAGCCAATGATACATCTTCTAGAATTAAGCAATCATCCTCTGCTGCTGCAGCAGTGGAGGCTTCAGTTAGTTCTGGATCTTACAATCAAGAGCCACACAGTTGGAAAGGGAGTGATGAGGGGAATAGAAAACTCAGCACAAGGGCATCGGTTACTCATGTTGATTCTAGTGATGATGACTCTGAGGAGGAACAACCAAAACAGACTTTTAGTAGCACTCAAGACCAATACAACAAAACGCCAAGCTTTGAAGAAAATAAAAGATTAAGCTTAAGGGCCCGCATCCCATATTTTGGTTCAGGAAATAGTGATTCTGATGAAGATATTCCTAAAACAAGTTTCAAGGCTCATTCAAACACTGGTTTTTCTAGAAGGACAAGGGCCTATCCTTCAAATTCACGGAGAAGTTCCAATCTTAAAAGTACAATTTCCTCTGAGCCAACTGTAGTTTCTAGCTATGATGGGGAGAAGAATTCCTTCTCAAGGAGTTCTAATGCTGATGAGCTATCAAAGACTCAGCCTCAGAAGAAGAACTCTGATCACTGGGAAAGTTTTCATCATTCCCAGTTGGCATCACAGGCAACTTCAAGGCTGGTTTCAGAGACCAAAAGGTCTTCATTTGATGGAACTTTAACATCGGAAAAGGAACTGTCATCTACTTCTGTCCCGAAGATTATACCATCAGATAGTGCCAAAAGTTTGAAGGCTCAAACTTCAATTAGGGAGGGGCCATCTAAGGAGAAAGCTAGTCATGTTCACCCAAAGCTTCCTGATTATGATATCTTGACCGCACAATTATATTCTCTCAGACAGAATCGCCAATGAATAGGCTCTTTTCGCAGTCTAATATGATGTATTATATTTTTACTCTTATTTTCGATATTTATGTTTATACAGGTTCCTTTTAAGGTTTATAGGGTTGTATAATATAACCTTTCCAACTCAGTCAAAATATTATCTGTTCATTGATTTGCTTTCATAAGCTTCTTTGATTTGGAGCTTGCTATAATGCAATAAAACTGTTGCTCTGAGACTGGGGAATCAAGAGTGGAATAAGTTTCTCGGGCTGAGTCTTTTGTGCTTTGGTCCTGTATTTTTCGCTTATGTTAGCATTCAATATCATCAATTTTTGTGGACGTGAATATGTGAGATAACTTGAATCATATGACTATACCCCGTAAACTCCGAAGTGTCATTGCCATTTGCACGAATGAAGTATCATTGAGATGATCAATTTTCCATCTCTCTCTCTCTCACACCAGCTCCAGAGCTGACCGGCTCAACTCCCAACATGGCATGCAAAGCCCGGGTGATGAAAAGGTTCTGTCGTTTCAATCACTTGAAGGACGTTATCGTAATCTAACAGACCAACTGAAATGGCATTTTGGATATTAAAAGTAAAGACATGTTCATTATGTAACTTGGACAGGTTTTGAAGGGTAGTAATAACAAATACTGGTCAACTGTTTGAAACAATTCTAATATCTTCCATTCAGCTGTCTTGTCCTTTTTTATTGTATTTTTTTTTTCCAGTTTTTGTCATTCATTTTCTCAATGGAGGATCTACCGCCACTTCTTGTCGTGGAAATCCTGAGTCGACTCACCGATTCCGCCGACCTTGCTCGGTGCCGACTCGTCTCCAAAACACTGAACTCCCTCTCTCACGAGGTCCGCTCTGTTAACCTCCTCTGCACCTTATCTCGATACCTTAAATCCCGCTCGCCTGAGACCAAGGCCCACGTCACTCCTTTCAAGGCAATCTTTAATAACCTTGTCCGCCAAGCTCGGTGTCTTAACTCAATCACGATCGGAGTCGATAAGTCGCTCAGAGATATCTCGTACGATGACGTGGATGACGAGTCGGATGATTTGTATTTGACCGATGTGGGGTTCGTGAAGGAGTGGTTGCCTAAGGTTTGTGGGGACCTAAGGAAGCTGTCGATTTTGGATTTTTTGATACAGTCATGCTGGAGGAAATCTGAAGTTTTGAGCTTGATTTCTTCGTGTTGTGAGTTCCTCGGCAATTGCAATTTCTTTCTTATTTTATCTTTGAATACAGGAGAATTAGTTTGAAATTGAGCTTAATAGATTGGGGGGTTTGATTTAATTTGGGAGTTAAAGTTATGAGAAATGGGATTGTGAAAGATGGTTAAGCGAAATGAATTAATCATCAGTTTTCTTTTGATTGCATTAAAGGCTGAAGCCTTTTCTCTTTTTTGTTAAGTTATTTATTGTATTGTATCTTATGCAATGGCCATTGCCTTTGTTTTGTGTCTGTAGGCAATGGTCTTATGGAACTAGAGCTGAAGAATGCTTGGCTTTCGGTTGATAGGTTGAAGCCAATGACTGGGGTAACAAATTTGAAACTTGAATTTATTAAACTTGAAGATGAGGACCTAACCAAACTTAATGATTGCTTTCCTTCTCTTCGAGTTCTGAATTTGGTTGGTGTTGGAGGACTTAAAGATCCCAAGATTCATCTCTTGCATCTTGAATCCTGCTTGTGGACGGTGTCAAATGCTCCACTTTCTTTGACTATCTTTGCTCCCAACCTCGTGAAACTCAGACTGAAATGTATTAAGCCAAAATCTCTTGTTCTTGATACCCCATTGTTGTCAGATTTGCATCTTTCTGTTGAGGAAGCCTATAATTTTAGAGCGAAAGAGTTTTGTAATTTGGAAAACCTTCAGCTTGAATCTTCAAGTCTTCATAGCCTCCTTGGCATGTTTCCATCTAGTAAATCAATTAAGACGCTGACAGTGGATTCTCTCAGATGGACTGAAGCTCTTGAAACAAGCAAATTTGGATTAGAAGCATTGTTTGATGTGTTTCCAAATGTAATGTCTCTTAATTTAGGCCCTGGGGCTTGGTCTGAAGCAGAGAGTTGTTTTTGGAAACGAGGTTTGGAGGATAGGAATGCAATGAAGGAGTTGAAAGAGATTGTGGCACATTTGGTTGTGTACGATATTGAAGTTACCCTCTCATTTATTTATTCAATCTTGGATAAATGCCCCAACTTATCCGACATGGCATTACTCCACCCTAAAGAAGATTCTGGAGCTGCTAATAGCCTCATCTCTAGGTGTACAACTTATCGTCCAAGAGTAAAATGGAGATGGGGAACGTGGAAGGAGGGATCAAAAGATACCTAGGTCTTTATTGGCATTTAATTTGGTAATCCTCCTTTCTAGAAAGGAAATAGGAATGCTTTATCTTTTATGCTGTCTGTGTGTTGTTTCTCTGGTTTAAGTTAATCTTCCCAAATAAAAGGGATGAAGTCTTTTCAGCAACCTCAAATGGTTAGAATAAGGATTTTGTTAGTAAATACACGTATAGGTGACTTGTATGAAGACATAAGTGACTACATGACCTGTACAAATGAATATGGTTGCTTGGAAAGTGAAAGCATATTGGATTACCTTTTTGCAGACATGTCAGGCCTTCTCCAAACTAAACTTCATAGTTGGTTTCTTACCATCTTCTTATGCATCTCTGTCCTGAATTCTACTGCAAACTCCACTGCTTTTGAGTGACTGAACAAGAGAGTTCACCACCAAGTACCCCCAGCATCTTGCCTTCCAGCAAAAGGAGAGGGGAAAAGGAGGAAAGAAAACCAGGCATCACCAAGCTGATACTTGGTTGTTATTTTGTAAATAGTATATTTTTGTGTTTTCTTTCAGGAATAGTTCTGCAGGTCGTATTTTTTCTGCAAAACAAAAATCCATCGATTAAGAATGTAAATATCATCCGTTTCCCAAATATGGTGCTGATGTACATTGCCTGAGCTTGTGGTTTATTTATATTTCAGTGAGGTTAATTGCTAGCCTGCTACGTCATATTTGTGTTGCTTTGATAAATGTTCATCCCGTAAGGAGCTACATGGGAAATAGAATTCAAAGGAATGTTACTCTATTGTCTTTGATAAAGACGGTTCTTTTCCCCTTTTGAAGTTCCTTTTCTTCTTGCAACGCACAACCCATGTCATTCTTTTAGCGAAAGCGGGGAGCTGATGCTTAGTTAATTTGGTGTTCTGTTTTAATTTGAAACTAATCCTATTTTCACCAAAATAAAAGACAAATGAGGGGCGCTCCGAGAATCGAACTCGGGACCTCTCGCACCCAAAGCGAGAATCATACCACTAGACCAAGCGCCCTCAGCGAAAAGTGATGACAAATCAAATTATCATGTCTTTCGATAGCAAGATTAATTAGGATTTTTGCCCGGAATATAGGAGCACAACTTTCTATATCGCAATAGTTAGGCGACCCTAAGACCCTGTTCGCCGCCGGCATCTATTGCTCCGTTGCGGTAACCTCTCCTCTCGGTCTTTCGAATGGTTCCTTTTTCTTTTTTTTTTTTTGTTTTCCTAAACTTTGATTTCAGTCTTTTTCCTTCTCTACGATCTTAAATTTGTTTCCCCTTTTCCACATTTTTGTTTCGGTTCGATCTGATCTCTATCCATTGCGTTTGTTCTCAGGCAAATCAAATGGCGACGGTTCCAGGGCAGTTGATTTGGGAGATCGTGAAGAAGAACAACTGCTTCTTGGTGAAGGAGTTCGGCCGAGGAAACGCTAGCGTCCAATTCAGTAAGGAGAGCAACAATCTCTACAATCTCAACTCTTACAAACACTCTGGGAACCCAATCCTCCACTTTGTCTTAATTGTTATCCCTAAAATCCCAAACTATTGAAGACATTTTTTTTTTAAATTGTTGCAGGTCTAGCAAACATGTAACTATTCAGTCTGGAGGGAAGGATCAGTCTGTGTTGCTTGCCACCTCAAAGACCAAGAAGCAGAACAAACCTGTAGTTTGCTTCATAAATCTGTTATGAGGAAGGAGTTTCCTAGGATGGCTAAGGCTGCTGTCAATCAGGTACTTTTACGATTTTGTTTTACAAGTTATGAACAGATGTGTAGTTTTAGCTTATATTCGAACCATTTGGGAAACAAGCATTGATTAGTCTCATGTTTGAATGTAATGCTCTTTGCTAATGTTCTTTTCTTCTGTTTCAATGATATGTTGGATGTGCAATGTTTAATGGAATGGTTATTGCCGGTTGAACAACTTCTATATTAGCAAGTTGCCTGCAACCATCTGTTGACAGTTTTATCTTAGAAGTGGTGATGAAAAGCTAACATGTAAGGAGACCCATGTTATGTTGGGTTCTTCAATGAAATGTATTTGTTACGCTTGGCTACCGAGTTTCAATCCTCGATCATGGATCCCTATTCTTTTAATTGATTGTCCGTTCTATTCTTTTTGTTTGATCAACTGTTGCAGCTGACAATAATTATTGATATCACGAAGTTTTCTTCTTTGTTAAATATCTTGCTCCTGCATTAGTCTTTTTTCTCTATTTCTTGTGTTGGTTGCGAATGCTACTCATTTCTCAATTGGGAAAACCCCTGCATTTATTCATTAGTTTTCGAGTTCTAATGTTGGCAATAGACTTGAATCTAAGTCGTGGAGTTCTTTCTGCCAAAAACCCAAAACAAAGGCTAATACACCTATCTATATCATGGATGAAAAGCTATCGAATATGAGCCTTTTCCTGACTGCTGCTTGTTCAATGGTTTCAGGTTGCAGATAATTACTACCGACCACATTTGAAGAAGGCGGCCCTTGCAAGACTTAGTACTGTTCGTAGGAGTCTTAAGGTAGCCAAATCTGGAGTCAAGAAGAGGAACAGGCAGGCTGTTAGGATCTCTCGGAGGAAGTGAGATATAGATATTTAGTGAAGGTGTCATTTTACTTGGATGAGTGTCGATTTTCTTTGGTTCCAAAAGTTTCGAACATTAAATGTTTCACTTCATGTTCAAGCTTTTGATGTAATGGGAGAATTTCACCTCTGCTAGAGATGTTAAGCCAAAATTTTGAGACATTTTCTGTGCATCTGGATTTTTTTTTTTTTTGGGGTACAAAAGAGGTCTTAGTTTGATGAAAGGGAAATGGGTTGCAAATATTAAAATTTGAATATCAGATTTGCACAATGCCATTTTTTAATATTGATTGCATTAAGGAAATTTTAATTACATTGTACGAGGGTGCATTTTGATTTTTAGTCATTGAGTTCTTTTGACAAAAACTCACGGATCATGTACAAGAACAATTTAAAATCAGCACGAGGAAGAATCTTACAGCCGTATACATTTGTAAATAGACATTTTCTTGTGGCATGATTGCTTAAATGAGGGATTATTTTTAGTTCTTTGGCTACTTTAATCCTTTTGTGTGTTAGAATTTTAGGGATGTCAAAACATTGAAGCCCCTTGATAGAATTTTAGGCATTTCAACCTGGTCCAAAGAAAGAACCTTGTTCCTCAATGCAAAAGCTTTTGAAAAACATTGCATGATAAAACGGATGCTCTCAATGGGTTAACAATGAGGCTCTGGTCGGCTTTTCGCTTTTGTTTTAAGCCCATTTCTTTTATGGGCCAACGATGCCTTACAGCCTAATCCTTTCAACTTTCCTTTTCTCCAACATCAAGGTGCGCTGAACGCTATCAGTCCCCTTCTCTTTTGAACTGCACTGGATTTACTATAAATAGCCTAACGTATCCCCAATTCGCACAACATAATTTCCCGCCTCTCACTCCATCATTTCCTGCTCTGCAAAACCCTAACCCTCCGGCAAATGGGGCAGAAGCAGCAATTACCCAATCCCGATCCACTCTCCGAGCCCAAGAAAAAGCGACGCGTCGGTTTCTCCAACGTCAGTCAGTCTACTCTTCTCTGATTTCATCGTTTTATGTTTTAGCTTTTCCGCCGAAATTACGTTTTCCATTTCGAACTTAAATTCCCCTTGCTTCGCAGTAAATTCTTTTTTCTATTTGCTGTCCGAAGAGTGTTCCGTGATTCAGCTCACTGATGTTTCTTTTTTTTTTTTCTGTATTTTTTTTGTTGGTTCTTGAAGCAGATGCTGGAGTTGAGCCCAATGACTGCATTAAGATTTATTTGGGTGAGTCGCTTTCTTTTTGAAAAAAATAAGTTGTTTTCCTCAACTTGTTTGAGTTTTTGTTTGTGTTAATTTTATGAGTGGTTTATCTTCTGCTGTTGGAACCTAAACTCTGTTTTTGGGTTTTGCTACACATTGATGGCAAAAAAAAGGAGAAAAAGAAAGTTGATTTTCGTGAATTGTCAATTGGATACTTAAAACTGTTTTAAGTAAGAACGAAGAAAATTTTTTGCCTTAGTCTCGATGAAAATGTTATTAACTTTGCTCTTGCCAGAGTTGAGGCAGTCATAATACACGACACGTCACCTGGAAAAATTTAGAATTGTCTTCCTTATATAAGTTAGTGAGGCTTGTTGCTACTTGCTATTACTAATTTTAAAGTGGCATTGCTGCATGACCTGTCAATACTAGAGTTGGCAGACTCAGTTCACTATTAAATTCATCATATATGGCATGGTCCTAGCTGGGCCATCATAGATTGCTTCTTGATTGTTGGCAAATGGTTGATTCCTAATGATACGCTGGCAACCCTATTAGGTCAGTTTTTAGTTTTGTATTTAATTTAGTCAGACTTTATTTCCACTCGAAATTCTGATATTTTTCATGTGAATTTTCTTCCGCATTACTTATTTGCTTAATTGATGGTAATTCAGTTTCTAGGAAAGAGGAAGTGGGAACTTCATATGGTTTCTGTATCAGTCCAGTTGATTTGAACACCTTTTTTGAAGAAGATGGGAAGATATATGGTTACCAATGGTTAAAGGTAGTTTGCATTCTAAGTTGCAGCATATTTGCCTTTAAACAATCTTTTATTTTCTCTGACAGTTTAGTTTTGATGTATTATTTCACTTCATTTTATGCAGATAACCATCTGGATTAGCAGCATATCATTTCATGCACATGCTGATATTACCTTCCAAGGCACATCTGATGTAAGTAGAATTTCTGCAACTCTGAACCACTAGTAGCGGTTTAATCTCATTTTGTATCATACATTGAATCAGTGAAGCATTTTCTTTGTCTTTGCATGGCGTTTTAATTATATCTGCTGTTGTTTATTTCAAGGTGGGCAAAGGGATTACAGACCTGAAATCTGCTCTTGAGGTATACATTAGCTATAATGTTGAGTCTTTACTTAATGTCTGATATCTTGAGGCCTTCTGATTAATTACATCTTCTTCCTATAGAAAATTTTTGGTGAGACTCTTTTGGAGAATAGAGATGATTTCCTGCAAACATTTTCAACCGAGAATAATTTCATTAGGTATTATGCGATGAAAATCTTATGCACATATAAAGATGTATTTCCCATTTCTCTTTGCAATGTTGGCTTTATATTTCCTTTGGTTGGTTGTTGTGAACTCTATATATTTACTTTTTTCAGTTCAGTTGTTTCAAATGGAGAGAAGTTGCGAAGTCAAGCCTCCATAGGCCATATAAGTCATTTTAATGGCAATTCAGAAGCAGCTTCTTATGGTCTGGAGGTACTTTTACTATCTTTGCATGCACTGAAAGAGGACGCTAGTGCTCCTTAATAGTTCAAACCACCATGGAAGGGAAAATATTTTAATAGATTAAGTTACCTTGATGTTAACTTCTGGTAAATTACATCACTATGAAATTAATAGTATTGAGTTGCATGCATGCATGAGCTATGGTTGATTTGCTATACTTCTTCTTAGGTTGTTCGCCTGGTGGTGAGTAATTTGGCTGCTGGACACCTTTATAGTCGCTTGGTACCTCTGGTTCTTCTTCTTGTTGATGGTAACTGTCACTTGTCACAGATATTAATAGCAGTATGTATTTCGTTCCTAATATAATCTAAATAATTCTATTTTCTTGATCAGGTAGCAATCCAATTGATGTAACTGATCCAAGCTGGGAGTTATATCTCTTGACTTAGAAGAAAATTGATCAGACAGAAAATACACAGCATTTAGTGCTTGGTTTGGCAGCTCTCTATTGCTTTTATCGATACCCTGATGGTTCACACTTGCAACTCAGCCAGGTTTAATCTCTTTCATTGTCATTATTCCCATTAGTAATTGAGGTAGACTGAATTAACCCCAAACTATTGCTCTCTTCAACAACCTTTGCATGTTGATATATTTTATTAATCACCATTAGCAGTTTTCATGAAGTTATTTTTTTTGTTGGCAGATTTTGGTATTGCCTCCTTACCAGCACCAGGGTTATGGCAGTTACCTTGTGGAGGTGCTGACCAATGTTGCAATATCTGAAAACGTTTATGACTTGACAATTGAAGAGCCTCTAGATTACTTCTAACATTTGTGCACCAGTTTTGATGTATAAGGACTGCTAGCTTTTGACCCAGTCCAGAGTGCTGTTAAATCAGCTGTCTTGCGTCTAAGCATGGGAAATTGTCCAAAAAAACCCATGTTCCTCGATTCTTGCCACCTCCAGATGTAGTTGAGGATGTCAGGAAAACTTTGAAAATCAACAAGAAACAGTTTCTTCAGTGTTGGGAGATTTTGATATATCTTGGCCTTGAACCTGTAGAGAAGCATGCAGAGGACTATGTAACAATCATTTGGAATAGGGTGAAGGCTGATATACTAGGAAAAGATTCTGAGACTGCAGGAAAATTATTGATTGAGGCCCTAAGTGCTCATAATGAGGAGATGTCATTTGTCATGTTCAGGTCTCAGAACTGTGAGGTTTGTGGTGTTCAAATGGATGAATATCAGACAAAAACTCAAAGACAGCAGCTGCAGCTGTTGGTTGATGAGAGAATTAAAGAGGTAAAGTTAATTGCACAAAAGGTGTCTCAGAAACATGTATGAAGTACCACTTTCTAGGCGTGATGCATTAACCAGGTAAGCATTACTGATAAGTTGTAGTGAAGTTGTAGGCTGCGGTAAATTGAGGCTTGTTTGTAAATTTTTGAGCAGTAGTTTAAGGTAAGCTTATCTTAGAATATTAGCTAACTTTATCGCCAATGTGATCATTTTAACCCTCACATTAATTTGAATATTCCCAATCTTGAAATAATTGTTGAATCAAAGCTTGTCCTATTCACTTCCCCTAATCGGAAGGTTGGACTTGGATCTGTTCAAAGCTTTTGAGTTCTGAGCAATCATCCAGGCCAGCGGAGCAGTTTTTATTTATTTCTTAGCTAGTATTGCCATTGAGCTCTAGTACTTAATGGCATTTATCAATATCACCTTCAGCTTCCTTCTTGGTCAGTTGGCCCGTAGAGATGGAATTTATTTCTCATTAAATTGTTGATTTTGAATTATGAATATTGACGGCATATCTGCTTGGTAGTTAATGTTTTTGAAACAGACAATGTTGCATTTCATGATAAACCGAGGCTAAGGCTTGGGCTGGCACCGCACCTCTGATCAATTTCTGCTTATATTTTTTTAAAGAAATTGACCATAAATGCTACGAATGCCCTACCAAACTGCAGAATTAAAGAATAAGTACTTTCTCCAATTACTGGATAAATCCAACAGCATAAGATTAACAAATAACTGGCGTTTAGCCTTTAGTTTCCTCTACCTCCTGCTAGTACCTGGAAGGTACATGTGTTACGGACTCAGAGCTTTAGCCGAGCAAATCTTGCAGTTTTAGGCTGATTCTTCCTTCAACTAGATCTCGCGGCCTGATCTTGATGTGAGCGTTCGGGTCTTGGGTGTGCACATCTTACGCAGGTGAAAATCCTAACTTTTATTGGTTGAGGAAAATAATAATGTATAGATTGCATAAAATGAAATATTATAGTAAATGATAAAAGAAAAAGCAAGAGCACAACACTTGAGTTTTGTAAAGATGGGAAATCTATATTTTACTATTTATAAACTACAAAAGATTGCCGTTTGAGTAAAGTCTAGATTTTGATTTCTTGAGGTGGAATATTTTATGTTCATCTCGTGGAGAAGAGATAAATGAATTGATGTATGTAATCTCTAATTTAATGGTTGAATTATAAAATAACAAATTATATTTTGTAATTAATCATTAAATTAAAAATTTTTTTTCTTACCCCCTTTCTTTCCTGGGAAAGAAATGAACAATGGTACTAAGATTGAGCACTGTAAAAGGAAGAGCAATTAGTGTAACCATAACCAAATCCATGCTCACAAAATGGAAAATTCAAAATTATAACAAGAAGTAAAATAGACAAAGATGGTTAAGGGAGCCAGTCTGGGAAAAAGGAAATTCAATTCAATAATGTTGAAAACCCAAAAAAATAAAAAATAAAATACACTGATTCTTTGGGTATTATACCAAGAATACCTAACCTTCTTTTGGCTCTTTCAAATACATATCTAATCCAAGGTAAGTATTGTTCTCTATTTTAATACAAACATGTAACATTATCTTATTACATATATAATCAATTATTATTCTCTATTTTAATACAAACATTTCACGTTTGATCAGATCCCTGTAGCCTTTCCTACCCTCTTAGACTTTCTAACAACGGCAGCGTAAGATATTGTGACAGGCTGACCGCATCAGGAAATGAATTCTAAAAAATTTAAAAGGCTTTGACTTTTCTTTTGTATTAAGGAGGCTTCAAACTGGTTTCTTCCGCGCAATGCAATGGAAAGTACAACGGGTTTTCAACATTGACCTGTAAAGGTCGAGCACTCCCCATATATATATATATATATGGAAGGAAAGAAGCTTCTCTTCAATTGTGTTTCCTGAATCAAGAGAAAGAAACAAGAAATGGGGTCGCAGCCAGCAGAGAAATCATCATCGTTCGCCAAGATGCAAAGCTTCAGGTCTCTGGAGCCGCTAAACGTGTCTCTCAACCAAGAGGTTGATCAACGGCCCTTTGGAGTTGACTATGGAAAGCTTGATAATGGTCTGTCTTATTATGTTCGCTGCAATCATAAGCCCAAAATGAGAGCTGCTCTAGCTCTAGCTGTAAAAGTCGGGTTAGTGTTTTACTCTCTCATCTTTTGGGGGGTTTTTAGCTCCTTTGATTTTATGCTGGAATGATTCTATTTTTGTAATAGTCTATGCTACTCGGGATCAATTTTGATGTTGTCGGAAACCTTTGGCTTTAACTAGACTGCATTCATGTATTCTTGTATGTTTCTTTTAGAACATAAAACAGGAAATATAGTCGTTGGAAGCCAAGCATTGCCCAAAGCCTGTTTTCATAGTAGAAAACACTTGCTATTACCCAGATAGTCCTATTTATCAAAACTGTCAACTTATTAGCTGAAATAGACTAGACAGCTAGTTGCCTTAATCGGATGCAGAGAAAAAAAAGGTCTTTGTGGCTCAAGAGCTATTTGTCAAGATAGTTTTTCTAGCCTTGAAAGTTGAAACTCTTTTAGGTGGGATCCGATCAATAGTTTCATTTTGGTAAATATCTGATTCATCAGGTCTCTAAATTTCTTTTATCAAATTCCTTGTGTGATTATTTTGATTGTTATGACTATATAAACTCTAAAGCATACAAGTTTCTGATATAAACTGTAAAAACGCTGATTTATTACATTCATGGCAGCTCCGTTGTAGAAGAGGAGGATGAGCGTGGAGTGGCTCACATAGTTGAGCATCTTGCTTTCTCTGCCACAAAGAAATACACAAATCATAATATTGTCAAATTTCTGGAAAGTATTGGAGCAGAATTTGGTCCTTGTCATAATGCGTATACATATTTCGATGAGACTGTATATGAGTTGGTTGTCCCTATTGACAAGCCCGAGTTGTTATCCACGGCCATTTTGGTCCTTGCAGAATTTAGTTCAGAGGTATCTCTTAACTTATTTTAGTTTGAAAATTTTCATAATGCCTTTTATTGTTTTGGTATAATTATTTGTGACATGTAGATTCGACTCTCAAAAGATGATTTGGAGAAAGAAAGAGGGGCAGTGATGGAAGAGTATAGAGGGGGTCGAAATGCTAGCGGGAGAATAGGTGATGCACATTGGGCTTTGATGATGGAAGGTTCAAAGGTACTGCTATTAACTTTGATCTATTTGCAAGTATTGCATCGATGAACAGAGAATGCCTTCAAGGATGTTCTCTTTTTGGCATTCTCATAGCATGATATAGCCACAATGATTTTTTTCCTTTTCCACCTAACCATGAAGAGATCTAATTATTTGATTTTCCGTTTTACTGCACCTTTTGTAATGCGAGAAATGGTGTTTAACAGATGTTCCAAAAAATGGAAGATTACTGATTGCCATAGCCTTTTATATCATTGGCGTAACAGGTTAGGGGAGGGTCAGTGGCCACTGGTGCTTTTTTCATTGTTTTCTCTGGCACCTGATTTTTCCTATAACCTACAGTCAAAATAAAATTTCACTTACATTTTAGAATTTGAGAGGCTCAAGTTTGAGAAAATAATTTCATGAATAACTTTTTATTTGGTTCATAACTCATCAATCCTAAGTTTTGGTGTTGTGTTATTTTATCTTATTTTTAGAACTTTGCTCAATTGCAGTATGCTGAACGTCTACCTATTGGATTGGAAAAAATAATACAAACGGTTTCTTCTGAAGCGTTGAAGCAATTTTATCAGAAGTGGTACCATTTGCAAAATATGGCAGTGATAGCTGTTGGAGATTTTCCTGAAACAAAGGTTGGTCATGGTTAATCTGCAATTCTCCTATTAGAGTTATAACTGTTTTAATCAATTGAATTTAACAATCTTTCTCTCTCTCACTCCAGAGTGTTGTTGAGTTGATAAGGACTCATTTTGGGCATAAAACTTCAAAGCCTGACCTTCCACCTGTACCACACTTTACAATTCCATCACACAAGGAGCCACGCTTTTCATACTTTGTGGAACCTGAAGCTGATGGGGTTAGTAAAATCTTAATAATAAGACTTGTTTGTGCACATACATGCACGCATTAAGGAGCACATTACCATAACAGCCAAACATGTTGATTTTCATATGGATTGTTGCCAATTTTAATATGTTTTCTTTTGGTTTTCCTTGGAAAGTCTTCAGTGATGGTAAGCTATAAGAAGCAAGCAGACCAACTAAAGACAATAGAAGACTACAGGGATATGCTTGTGGAGTCCATGTTTACAACTGCTCTAAACCAGAGGTTCTTTAAGATCTCTAAGAGAAAGGATCCGCCCTATTTCTCTTGTTCAGGTGCTACAGATAATCTTGTTCGCCAATCTAAGGCTTATATGATGACTTCATATTGTAAAGAAAAGGGGACGTTAGGGGCCCTAGAATCAATGCTTCTTGAGGTATGCCTTTAATATTTCCCCTTTTGATGTGTGTGTGTGTCTTTTTTTTTTTTTCATTCCTTCTTTTTCTTCTTTAGTCATTTTACTAATGCATTCTGTTACAGGTTTCAAGAGTACGACTACATGGATTTTCAGAACGTGAAATATCAGTTGTCCGTGCATTATTGCTGTCAAGTATAGAATCTGCATACTTGGAACGTGATCAAATGGAATCAACCAGCTTGAGACATGAATATGTAGAGGTCTGACACCATTTCCTGAAATTTAAGTTGCACTAACATGATCTGGAAAATTATTGTCTTCATCTTTTTGTTTGCAGCACTTCATCCATGATGTACCTGTTCTTGGGATTGAGCATGAAGCTCAGCTCCGAAAAACTATTCTTCCTTGTAAGTGAAATACTTAGAACATTTTTATATACATTTTTGCAATAAACCGTATCTCACATTATTTGTTGTTCCATTCATAATTTCATCTGCGCAGATATATCGGCATCAGAGGTATCTAAATATGCAGAAAAATTATGGACCTCATGTAGCTGTGTCATTAAAATAGTTGAACCTCAAGCTTCTGCAAAGATCAATGACCTGAAAAATGTTGTCATGAAGATCAACAAGCTTGAGAAGGAAGGTAGTATTATTCCTTGGGATGATGAAGATGTACCAGAAGAAATTGTCAATTCAAAGCCAAATGCAGGGTAAAGTTGGGCCCTTTGTACTGTTTTGTTGCACTATGCCATGCCTTTACAGTATAACTTTAAAAACTATATAATTTATTCTTTTTCTTCAAAATGTGATATTCTAATTTTATTTAAATAAAAGGATAATGGGTAAAATTGATTGAAAAGAAGATAATAGGTGGAAAACTAGGAGAATGACAGTGCTTGAAGGTAAAAATCATTATGTGTGTTTGAGAGAAGGAGGTTAATAAATAGGAAAGGGAGATCCCAGTTGCATAAGAAACCAACTCAGCCACTCCTATTATTAAGTGAAAAAGGTATAATAGAAGATACTTTTGTATATGTTGTCTAACTTGTTTTGAGATTTATTCCTTAAATAGTCATCATCTAACCATCCTTAGGCAAAAGAGAGGGAATCAGTGTTTAAGAAGTCTTAACTACAGTTCCACAAGCAATGTCTTAATGAGATAATATTTCAAATTGTATGAAGTTCTAAATGAATAAGATGATCTTTTACTTTTCTTTCAAGCAATGAATATATATTCTCTTTCCAAATAAGCTTTCATTCATCTCTAAATGAATTTTGTAATTTCATGTTGATGTGTTTATGGCCTCCTTTTACTTCATTTCTAGACAACTACAAAGTGCTAGATCTCAGTTAGGTATTTTGATTACGTGAACTTTAACCCTATTCTAATAATTTACTTCAGGAACATTGTACAGCAGCTTGAGTACTCAGATATTGGAGCTACCGAATTGATTCTATCAAATGGAATGCGAGTTTGCTATAAGTGTACAGACTTCTCTGATGATGAGGTACAATTCCTTTAGGCCTTACAGTACTTAGAAATCCTATCAGTTAGAATCCCACTTTGTTGCTGAGAAAAGAGTAAATATGAATATAATTCTAGTAAATTTGTACCATAAAAGGTTTTAACTATTGTTTGCTTAGAATTTAAGGCATAATAACCTCAGTTAAGCACTGGTTCATGTGAAGCATATAATTCTTAACTATTATGTGTTTCGACAGGTTCTATTTTCAGGGTTCTCCTATGGTGGTTTATCTGAACTCCCAGAAAACAATTACTTTTCATCTTTGATGGGATCAGAAATTGCAAGAGAAGTCGGTATGTTTGGTCATAGACCATCAGTGCTAATGGATATGCTGGCTGGTAAGAGAGTTAATGTTGGTGTAGATGTTAGGAAGTACATGAGAAGTTTTCATGGTGGTTGTTCGCCCTTGTACTTGGAAGCTGCCCTGCAGGTTTGTTCAACTGGATTTTACACATCTGCATTTTAGCACCCACCTAAATGATAACTTTTGCTGTAGTTTTTCTTTTGCATCTTCGATGATATCTAAATGAATGAGAACAATAGCTATTCTGTCTATTTTTTTGGTGCTCCTCTCTCTTCTCTCCAGAAAGAGTGGTGGTTTGGGCTGCATGAGATAATATGCATCATAAGAATTTCTTATTCGGCCTTCCTACCTCATTTGATGCAATTTTTACGGTAAAGTTCTTCCTAGGATTGGTAATCTCATGTAAACTAACATGGAAAATATGCCAATGTGTCTTATGTTAATTCATTGAGTGTAGTGCTGTTGCAATAGAAGGTGGTTATCTTGAATTTCTTTTCATAAATGCATCAAATACCTATACATAAAGTAGTAATTAAAGTTACTTCTTATATACAAATAGTGGAGTTTCTATTTATTCCATGTAGCCTATGGTACTTCTTATAATCACTTTTCAACTTTGATGATGCAATTGTATTTTCTTTGGGCTTCTTCTGCTTTCATATTTTAAAACATGCTTAACTGCTTCAGAGCATGCCAGTTTAACACCCCCCCCTCCCCATATTATGTCTCCTGATACTCCTGTTCTGGCAGCTTGTTTATCAGCTATTTACGACAGACGTAACACCAGTTGAAGAAATTGTCAAAAGAGTGATGCAAGTGGAAAAAGAAATGATTCTTGCTCAAGCAAGGGATCCTCTTACTGCATTTGCAAACCGAGTGACTGAAATCAACTATGGAAAGTCCTACTTTTTCAGGGTATGCACTATCACTTGTTTTTAAATACTACTAAGGATTTCAAATGTGTACGCCTCCTTGTGATTTAGATTTAATTTTTCTTGCAGCCTACAAGAATCAGCGACCTTAAGAAAGTTGATCCATTAAAGGCATGTCAATATTTCAACAGCTGTTTCAAGGATCCATCAACTTTTACTGTTGTGATAGTTGGGAATATTGATGCCACAGTTGCACTTCCTTTAATACTGCAGTATTTGGTTAGTTGGGATTCCTTTTCAAGCAACCCCAAGTCTACATACAATTTTTGTTGAGTTAGCTAGTCTTTTTCCTCTGCTTGCAGGGGGGAATACCAAAGCCTTCTGAACCTATTTTCCACTTTAATTCTGACTACGTCAAGGAATTGCCATTCACATATCCTACAACCATAACTAGGTAGGTGACTTTTATATTTGATAATGGTAACAAGAGAAGAGTTTGGTGGATTCAGTTGTACTGGTTGCTCAACTCAATTGTCCTCGGTGTTCAGAAGTCGATCTTTCTCTTTTCATTGCTTACGCACGTGCATGCATCACCAGGCCCATTTTTCATGTTAGAGTTTGCATGCTTTCTGTTGAAAATTTACTTCTAAAGCATTTGATGTGTTTGCAGAGAAGTGGTACACAGCCCCATGGTGGAAGCACAATGTTGTGTCCATATATTCATTCCCATAGAGCTGAAGAAAGGAACAATGGTTTGTCATATTTTTGGAATGGATCTATTAGAAGCTCACTCTGTGGAAGACCTCAGGCCTTTATTGACTTTTGTTTTATGATGCATCTTTCCATTGGAAAAACCAATCACAGGTAGAAGAGATTCGGTATGTCGGGTTCCTTAGCAAACTTCTAGAAAACAAAATACTGGAGCTTCTTCGTTTCAAGCATGGGCAGGTATGGGTGTCCCACAGATTTAACTGCTAACATCTTTTATATTCTGTGGCCTATTTTTTTGTCATAATATAAATGTTCTCTGTGCCCCAGATCTATGGTGCTAGTGTTAATGATTTCCTTGATGGTTATCTGCCATGTATAACCACTGACGTGCGTGGTGATATTAGCATTAATTTTTCTTGCGATCCAAAGATCTCCTCAAAGCTGGTAGGTATCCTAAAGTTGCACATTTTGCCTATTCACCTCTGAGTTTTAATCATCAAGAGGCCAACCATCTCAAATCCTTATTTATGCAATATTTCTTGATAGGTTGATCTTTCTTTGGATGAAATATTACGTCTTCAAGAAGAAGGGCCTTCAGATCAGGATGTTTCAACCATGCTGGAAATTGAGCAGAGAGCCCATGAAAATGGATTGCAGGTTAAATTTCTTTATGTTTTATTGTGTTTAACATCATTTTGGCTTGTGGATGCCAAAAATGAAGGATTGAATCCTATATGCACTTATCAACCTCACAGCTAAACCCTAAACTTCATCTTAGCTAGACCTGGTAATTCATGTTATTGTGTTGTGTTTTGTTTTAGACATGACATGAATAACTAAAACATGAACACGGCACGAATAACCTAAACACGAACATAACATGTTTGTTATACGTGTTCTATATGACATGACACCACTAATACTTTTAAAATTAATTTGTTTAATACAAGTAATACGACATGACACGATTAGTATGATTAGACATGAATAATACGATTAGACACGATTAATCTATTTAACACGATATAATTAACACGATTAAGCATGATTAAACGATAAATATGACTATTAACCTATTTATAATCTATTTAAACAAAAAATAATAATTTAAATTAGTACTAAAACAAAAAATTATTTAGGAAATAAGTATTTATAATCTATTTAAACATAAAATGATATGATAAATGCGATTATTAATTTGTTTAGGAAATAAGTATTTAAACAAATATTAGTTTCTATTAATATTAACATTAAACACAAAATATTAACATAATAAAAAAACTAAAATGTTGTACAACAATAACAATAACAAATTATGCCTTATAACACATAATGTTGGGGTCGGTTATATGAAAGGCTAAAAAAAAGGAATCATGTTAGGTCGTAAGTTTAAACCGTCTTACGCTATACATTTTTATCAAAAATAACTTTTTCATCTATTTCTTTAAGCCTCATATCATCTCTTATTACTTGCATCTATGTCTTTCATGGCCTACTTTAAAAGTTTTGGTCTAATAAAAAAACTAAAATGTCGTATATTAACATAATAAAACTCAACTAGTATGAAATCCAAAGCATTGATGCTTATATTACTATTAATCACTTGCTTTTCTTTCATGTAGACTTGGCAATTTTACATATGACATGATAATACAATATGAAAATGACACGAAAAAAATCATGTATAAATTTAGTGTAATCGTGTTTCGTATCTTAATTATGTCAACACGGTTAAAACATAAAATTATTCGTGTTGTGTTCATGTTAAATAATAATGACATGCATAAGACACGGTATTGTTCATAATATAAAAAAAATTAAAAAATTATTTTAATTTATTTAAAAAATAAATAATAATTGTGTTATTCGTATATAAATGTGTCGTATCGTATTAATTGGATATAAATTAATTTTAAATATATTAATCATGTTGTATCGCATGTAACACGTATAATAAATGTGTTTGATACAAAACATGACATGAATAGTGTTGTGACTTAAACCTGTTGACACGATTAGAACACAAAATAGAGTTATACTAAATATATATATACGATTTTTTTATGTTATTTTCGTATCCTGTTATCATGTCATATTTGAAATTATCAGGTCTAATCTTATTTGTCCTATCTATCTCCTTAGTATTTGTGTATTGGTCAAGGTTAAGAGAGACGAGAACAGATGAAAATAATTCATAGAGCACTTAATTCTTGGCGCTAATTTGCTAACTCTTCTCAGGAAAATGGTTACTGGCTGGACATGATTTTAGGCGGCTATCAGTCAAGGATCTATTCTGGTGATGTTGGCACTTCTTTTAAGGTTGGTGGCTCTGTTTGCATCTTTCTCGGATCCGTATACTGTAGTTCCATCTTATATTGCATCTAACTTTGATTGGGGGTTTTTAAACGGTTTCTAGTGGTAAAAGAAAAGTTCAAACATAAATTGAAGATAGCCCGGTAGCCTGGTTGCATGTTTTAACTGGATTTTAGATTTTTAGACTACGTGTATGAATAAAGGGAGATCTATTAAAATCCTCCTGTTTTCCTCATATTAGATGGGAAGTGTATGGTTTGAAAATATTCGAGTTTAACCAAGAAGAAAGCGAAATAGGATTTAGTCCAGAATGATATTTAATATGATCGTAAACTTTTTTTCTAATGATAAAACAGGTTAGAAACATTACTGGCATGATTTTTTTCTTTTAAACACTGTAAGTATCCAACTATGGTGGTTCTGATCTGTGGCTTGTTAGTTATCCCACACACACATGCATGTTATGTCGGAAATCCTACTCTTGACAGAAGCTAGCAGTTATTTGCAGTTCTGTAGTTGGAAGAAGCTGTTACTGAAATGATAGTGACTGTAAATATTGCAGTCAGAACAATTACTAATTTATTTAACCATATATTCTCCTTGAACAAATAGGAAAGAATTTGTTCTAATAGCATGTAATTGACTAGATGTTGTAGTTTAAACACAATGGTGAAAAGGGAAAACTCAAGCAGCGGCTTTGAAAAGCTGTCTTATTGACTTCTGGAGAATGCAAAAAGAGTATTTATTCTAATCATCATTGGAATTAAAACTTTTGGTTCTTTCTCTGGTGCAGATTCTAGATGAAGCGCGTTCCAAAGTTCGAGAATCACTAACACCATTGACAATGCAACTGGCATTACAAAGGATAGTGCCTTTCAAAAATCTGCACACAGTTGTGATTCTAAAGCCTCAATTATCTTGGTCGAAATGGCTCACATCTCATGGGAGAGATGCAAAGGTCAGTTATTATACTGTTTTACTGCTATTCTGATCTCATTCTGATTTTCAGAAATGAACCTAACAAGTTTGATTCTGTTGGTGTTGGCAGATTTTAGCAGGCATTGCTGGTTTGACCGTATTGGCTCTCAGTTTCCGAAAGTGTTCACAGAAATCCTAGGAAACTTTGTAACTTAGTTGGATCTTCCTTCACTGGTGTTGTATATATATATATGTTTTAAAATTTTTTGAAGTATCTTTTATAAAGAATAAAGATTTGAAATCGTGTAATTTGTATTTGTACTGGATAAATAATATTCAAAAGTATAAAATAAACTTTAAAATGAATTTATTTATTTATAAAAAAATATTTCAAATATCAATGAGAAAAAATTTGTTACTATTATAATATATCTTTAGTTCATTTTGAATTTTATAAATGCATCATATTGATTATCACAAAAGATACCATGAAATAAATATACTAGTTTTAGCCGATTCTGGCATTGAACATTTTCTTCTCCCGTTTTCGTCTGGAATCTACGGAGCGAGAGAGAGATAGAGATGGATTTGCTTCCAACAGATCGCTAAGAAGCACGGTTCAGGTCCTTAAAACTGGTAAACGTGTACTTAGACCAAGGGTTCCAACACCGACCCTTCGGAGTCGACTACGGCATACTCGACGATGGACTCGTTTACTATGTTCGTTCTAATTCTAAGCCCCGAATGACAGCCGCCCTCGCTCTCGCTGTTAAAGTCGGGTTCGTCGTCCTCTTTTCCTTTCATTTTTTCCTTTTTCCTTTTTTTTTTTTGAAAAAGAAAATAAAAATTAATTGACAAATTTAAGAGCTAACAAAACCCTAGCCTGTTTTTATTGATTTTAAAAATTTTTGTTGCTTAAGCCTAAATCATACGGTGTATCTTTTACAATATGATTGGATAAATATTAATAAAAATTTTTAAAAAAATACATGTAATTTTTATTTGAGTAATTAAAATAATAAAAAAAAATAAAATTTAACAATTATTATTTAGATAAAGAGTGAAAAATATAATTCATTATAATAATTTTTTTAATTATAATTTTTAATTACATATGATTTTAAAGTATTTTTGGATCATTATATATTTATTATTTTATTTAATCTCATAATTGTTACTATATCAATAATTTTTAATCAAGTAAAATAATAAGATGTTTTACAAATATATATTGATAGATTTTGAGCTAATTTGACATCTCATAAATTTAAAAAATATATCTATTCATATTTAATTATTTATTGAAATCAAATTATCAAAAAATTATAAAAAAATTTTATATTAAAAGAGATACGTGAAATTTACTTGAAAAAAAAGATAATTTTAAAAAATATTATAAGATAATTGTGATATATTTAGGTTTTTTTATTATGTTTTTAGTATTAATAAAAATATGAATATAATAATTTTTTTATAAAATTTTTTTTAATTTTTTTTTAATTTTGTTTTCAAATTGAGATATTAAAAAAATTAAATTTATAAGGAAAACTAAAAATTATTTAATTTTTATCTCTTTTCCTTTTATTAAATTAAAAATTTATTCAAACAAAAAAATTTATTTTTTTATATTTTTTAATTTTACTTTCTTTTATTTTCTCTCTCCTTAATCCAAACAAACTGTAAAGGACACTAAAAGACGAACAAATCATGATTTTGTCAAAGTTCCTTGAAAGCATTGGACCCGAATTGGGTGCTTGTCAGAATGCAGTAACTTCTGCTGATGAGAAGGTATATGAGTTGTTTGTTCCTATTGATAAGCCTGAGCTGTTGTCGCAAGCCATCTCGTCTTGGCAGAGTTCAATTCAGAGGTATATAAACATCTCAATTTTGTTGTTTGGGTGCTTTTTGGTAATGTTTCTTGTTTTATCTCCGACTTGTTCTGCAGATTTGAGTCTGGAAAGATGATTTGGAAAAAGAATGAGATTGATTTTTTTTTTCCTTTTCATTTTTAAGTTGCTAATTTTTTTTATGGTGTAACATGTGAGTCTTAAGAATGTCAAGACATCAAATCACAGAAATGAAAATCATAGTACTAATTAAAATCTGTTCTCCATGGTTACTTCACCCTTAACAATACCCACCATTCATAGATTTAAAAAATAATTGGTATAATTTATTTTTTAAATGGTAATTTTTTTACATGTCTTGACATATGTTTATTTTTTTTATTTTTAAAATTATAAGTCGATAAATTTTTTGTATTTGATTAAAATTTGTACTAATTATTTTAAATTATAAATCTTCCAAACAAAATATTTAAGTAAATAGAAGAATAAATAAAAAACAAAAAAAAAAGATAAGACATAATGCTTAAATTGGGCCGAAAAAGATTAATTCTTTTAACCCAAAACCCACACGATAAAAGCCCAAAACCCAACCACTGAAAACCCTAGATTCAGGAATCAATATACTTTGTTCCCTGAGCTCCCTTCTTTTCTGCCTCTCTTCTCGCGTGGCTTCTGCTTTCTTTCAAATCTTACCAGGTCTCTCTCTCTCTCTCTCTCCTTTTCCTTTCGTTTGGTGTCAGAGAAAACCCAACTTGAAACTAGAAGCGAAAAAGAAAACTATATTACGATTCTATGTTTCTGATTTACTTTTTTTTTTGTTTTAAATTAATTTCTATTGATTAAGAGTTGGTTTTGAAGTGACAAATGGATGGCTGAATGCAGGTAAGGGCTAAAGGCAGAGAGAGTGAAAATGGTTGATAAAACTAGGGGAAGAAAGGAAGAGGTGGTGACCAGAGAGTACACCATCAACCTTCACAAGCGCCTTCATGGCTGGTAATTTAACAATTCATTTCTTTTTATTAATGGATCCCTTTTTCTTTCTATTCTTAGTATTGTTCTCTTTGCTTGGTAGGTCTTTATTGGTTTGGTTGTCAATTATCTTCTTTCTTTGAAAGTCGTTTGCTTGATTTATCACTCTTTTCAATGTTTCGATTATATGTATCAATCCTTTGGTTAATTTGACCTTTTTTGGTATTCGTGTTGTTTGTGATAGCTATTGTAATCATGAATTTAATGGGCTAAGTAATGGTCTTTCGTGGGGATAAGAAATTGAACTGTAAAGTTGGTATTAATGAAAAAGAAACAGCTCAAGTTGGTGCCACTGCGTTTAAGGGTAATTTGTGCTTGGAAGTTGGGAGGAATGGGTTTTTATTATAGGAGAATAGTGACAAGTATTACATACTATAGTGTGATATTTTTGCTTTGGTAATAGCAATAACTTTAGGATGTGTTTGGTACACAAGGATGTGATAAAATAGGATAAGATAATATTATGAATATAATTAGATTAAATAATATCATTTTATCTTGTGTTTGATGTGTCCAAAGATTATAATAAGATAATTTATTTATTTATTGGTCAAAATTATCCTTTCTTAAAGTTTATATAATTTAAGTTATTAATGTAATTTTAAAGAATATAATAAGACATATAAGTTCAATCCTATGGATTAAAAATAATCATCTCTATTTTGGGAGGATTGAATCATCTTATTCCAAGAGGATGATTAATCCTACTTGTAATCTTATCTTTTCTTTAGATACAAATCAGATATAATATAGAATGATTATTATTTTATTCTATACATCATCTTATGTACCAAACATGATCTTACGGAGCAATCTTAACTATACTTCAGCCTTTGAATTGGGTGGAATAAGAAGTTATTTCTGCAGGAGGGCATCACTTTGTTTAGAAATAGGTTTAATCATGTTGAAATTGATGATTTCCGGCAAAAGGTTGAGTAACTTGTTTTTAACCATCTTCTTTGTACCCTTGGAAACAGCACATTCAAGAAGAAAGCTCCCAAGGCTATAAAGGAGATCAGGAAGTTTGCACAAAAAGCCATGGGGACCAAGGATGTGAGAGTTGATGTCAAGCTGAACAAGCACATCTGGAGCAGAGGGATCCGAAGTGTCCCAAGAAGGATTAGGGTTCGCATTGCTCGCAGGAGAAATGATGATGAAGATGCAAAGGAGGAGCTCTACTCTCTAGTAACTGTTGCTGAAATCCCCGCTGAAGGACTAAAGGGTTTGGGCACCAAGGTCATTGATGATGATGAGTAGTATTTTCTTGATCTCTAGTTTATGAGAACTTCCATTTTGTTCACCAGTTTTGGCTAGTGTTACAATTGTGACTTGTGAGACATACTATTTTCCTCGTATATTTGGTTTGGACTTTTAAGCATGGTGCTTTTTAGTTTTATAAAAAGATTCAAACGATGAATGGTTTGGAATTTACGTTAGACTTAACTAAACACTCCAAAATGATACAACGACTGTTTCTGCACTGTTCACACTTCATGGTTGACTTAACTAATAAACGCTCCAAAATGATTAAAAAAAACAAAACAAGAATCCTCCAATTCTGGTTTTTGTTCCAGTCTGTCCAGTGAGAATTACTGGTGAAGAGGTAGTTCTCTATGTAGTGCAGAGAAATGAAGATAAGTTCTCAGCTGCCAAACTATGGCATTGGACATTCTTTCTTCAACCCCCATGACCTAACAAAAGCTGCTTCTAATTCTAAATCCTGTTAGACAATCTGATACCGAGCGGAAACAGACTTCTAGCCAGCTTTAAAAGCATACATGTAGCTTCTGAGTTTTCTCACTTCTTCTGATGACTCAGAAAGGAGATGGTCCACGTAGAGACATACCCCAGATCCACTGCAAGTTTATTGTACAAGTATGAATTTGATATGCATTATGTATAGATAAAAAAGGCAGGAAAAATAGACCTTACCTCAAGGGCCCAACAGGAAGCCAGATAACATCCCAACGGAATTTTGGCATTCTACCATGCATATTAGCATTGCATCAGTAAGCAAATGACAGGTTATAAGATATTACAACATCCAGGTTGATGAATCAAAGAATAAACTTAAGCAAACAAAGATTTCAACAACATTTGAATTACAAAAGAAAATAAATTGAAAAGACTGCATTAGAAACCAATTTTACAAACTAACAAATACAAACTGCTTTGATTACATGTATTTCAATGCATAAAGAATCCAACAAAAGTGTTTCTGATTAAAAATGACTGCAATCCAATAGGTTTGAATGGAGTTGTCTGTGCATTACTTCATTTCATTCCCCTTAAACCACAACACTTTCCCCCTTTTTCACCCACAATTAAGCATCATAGATTGTTCTTAAAAATTTCCACGGCCAAATCAAGACATCAATATGGATAATGAAAATCAAATATATGGGCGCTAAAATTCTGAGACTATGATGTACCTCAGCATGTAATATAACCAGAAAACTGCAAGCATAAGGCCTAGAGAGCATGAGTACCAAATCCATCTTCTGTGATCCTTTGAATTATTGAATAGACCCATAATGGCCATTGAGCAAGCCAAAACAGCTAGCCAATCTAATAAAGGATAAACTTAGTAAATATACCATATCTAACAGTTAGAAACACCGCATCAGCCATGCTGAATGTAATAGGAGTGGAAAATATCTACTATGAATAGCAAATTAAAGGGAAAAAGAAAATATTGTAAAACAATATGGCTATATTTCATCATAAGAATAGCCAAAATCAGGACTTTTGGAATAAACTGTGTACTATTTTAGTAAAATAATTGACGTGTTACAGGCACAATCAGCCAATGAAGGAATGCAAATCAATGAGGATAAGCAAACAGTCAAACCTGCAGTTATTATTATCCATGAATCAACCTCTTCCATGAAGTAAGCATGGTACCGCTGTTAATCAAAGTGCTAAAAGTTACATTTGATGATTGGTGATAAGAAAAAAGAAATGACATACAATCCAATGAACTCTTAAAATTAATACAGTTTAAGAGCAAAGTGCATCATGGACCTTGCAAACCATCCAATTACATTAGCAATTCTATAATCATACCCAAGAAAATTTTCCAAGAATAATACGCTCTAAACCGTGATAAGATTTTTGGCCATAGTAAGTAATTGGGAACTATATATGGGTGATTCGTACCAGTTCCCATGGGAAAAAAGCCTGCTGATAGATGGAGTATAGAAGAAACGCCGAATAACAAAAGAGAAGTGCTGCAAACACGCTCTACATTCGAAAAACAGGATAATTAGAAAGTATATGTAATATGAAGAAATTAGAATTGCAAGTGAAGGGAAAGATGAAAGTTTCTTTTTTTCCTTATGAGATTATGAAGAAGCAAAGATATTACTTTCCATTGAAGACTTTGGTAAGCATGCATCCTTTCGAGCGATCGGACCAACTCCTCTTGTTCTGCCGATTTCAAAACATACCCAAAAAAGAAAAAGCTTTCTTTTTATCAGTATCGCTATTGTTAATCAAATAGGATGATAAATATATGGGCAAAAGAGAAAGAGAAGGACAGAGAGACCGTTGGTATCCATGGGACGAGAATCGTCGAGGGTTGGGAGAGTGAATTTGTCATCCTTAGAATTTCCAAATCGTCTCGCCAGTTTCCTCATTTTCAAACCAAATTCGCAAAATGAAACAACTATGGGTACAGCCGGTTACAGTTGAAAAGCCTAAAGATGTGGGGGCGTTGAATCTCGAAACTCAAACTGAAGAAGGAAACCATACGACGCCGTTTCCAGACCGCTTCGATTTCACTCAAGATTTAGTATTTGCTTGTGATTAATATACTTTTTTTTTTTTGTGCTAAGTAGGGCTTACTATTAAATGTTATTACAGTTACTGATACCTTTATTATTTTTTTAAATTAACCCTCCAACCCCCCTTAGCACAAATTTATGTTGGTCGATGATCAATATTATACTAATGTATTTATGAAGGAATGAATCAAAAGACATGAAGTAAAGCAGACAAGTCTTGTTACATAAGAAAATAACATTAACATCCACGTATAACAAACAAAAAATTGAAGCGCACGGGAAGAAATAGAGCAAGAATAAAGTACGTAACATATCACTAAAGGCTTGAGTAATAAGGCAATATACGAACATCCATGCGTATTTTTAAACTGAAAATCAAGACCATTTTCTCAGGTCATCTGGCAGAAACCAAATCAAAGATCAGCTCTCCCTGGATATATCTCCGGAAAGGAATAACATCTCTAATGTTAACAACGCCAGTGGCAAATAGAATCATTCGTTCAAAGCCTAAACCAAATCAAAGATCAGCTCTCCCTGGATATCTCGGGAAAGGAATAACATCTCTAATATTATCAATGCCAGTGGCAAATAGAATCATTCGTTCAAAGCCTAAACCAAATCCACAATGTTTAACTGTTCCATAGCGCCGCAGGTCAAGATACCACTCATATGGCTCCAGGGGCAGTCCCATCTCCATAATTCTGTAACGAATAGTAACCACAACCAGGTTCATTATTATGTTCAATGTCCTATGCTAATGAACAGTAGAATATCCAGTGCCAATGATATAACTAAGACAAAACTTAGCAGCACAAAACTCAAATACCATCATGATATGGACCAAGGAAATACTCATACCTTTCCCGAATAACCTCATAACGCTCTTCCCTTTGGCTTCCCCCAATCAGTTCTCCAACCTAAAATGTTCGAAAAATATACACTCACAATTGTGACGATGCAAAGACAGAGAGATTGTGAATAAATATGTAATGTACAGAATGAAAAAGCCCACCTTTGGCACAAGGACATCCATAGCAGCAACAGTTTTCAAGTCATCATTGAGTCTCATGTAGAATGCTTTAATTCCCTTTGGGTAGTTATATACAATAACGGGTTTCTGAAATTTAACCTCTGTCAAGTATCTGCAAGAAAAGCAAAACAAGATATTAGCATCCACAGTTCAAGCATGTGGATGAAAATAACAATACACACTTGCATACCTTTCATGCTCAGATGCTAAATCAATCCCCCACTCCACTTCATTCTCAAATTTCTTACCATCTCTCACAGCTTCCTCTAATAGCTCCACTGCTTTTGTGTATGATATTCGTACAAAGGGAGTTGAAGCAACCATTCTCAGCCGTTCAATGCAACCTTTATCATAATTTTTTGCCATGAATTCCATATCATCAAGGCATTGCTCAAGTAAATATTTACACATATACTTCACATAAGCCTCAGCGCAGTTCATGTCATCCTGCAAAAGTATCCAATCTTTTATTTAACTTCCACATGAATATTTTTTTAAACCACATAAATGAATGTAAAAGGGTATTATGAACTAGTGCCAGACATACCTGAAGATCTGCAAATGCTATTTCAGGCTCTACCATCCAAAATTCTGCCAAATGCCTTGAAGTGTGAGAGTGTTCAGCCCGAAAAGTTGGTCCAAAGGTGTATACATTACTAACAGCACAAGCATATGTTTCAACCTGTAGTTGGCCAGAAACTGTCAAAAAAGCTTGACGGGCAAAGAAATCTTGATTGTAGTCAATCTTGCCATCCTTTAGGGGGATGCCAGGTTTCAATTTAGATCTCTCCTCCAGCTTTAAGAGACTCTCCTTTGCTTTGTTAAGTTCCGCCACAGAAGCACCAATATCCTCCTTGCTTGCTTTAGCAGCTTTAAGTTGTTTAACAGCCTCTCCTCTCTCACTCACAAGTTGCCTAGCTGCTTCTATATCCGCCTCTGATGGAGGAGGGTTTTTAATCAGCTCCTTCTCCAACTTTTCAGCTTCACTAATCAGAGTTGTAACTTGAAACATTTCACCAGCACCTTCACAATCACTAGTGGTTATAATTGGAGTGTGCACATAAAGGAAATGATGCTCTTGGAAGAATGAGTGAGTAGCAAAAGCAAGTGCATTTCGAATTCGAGCAATGGCAGCAATCTGAATCCATAAATAACACAAGTAAAAAATTAACATATGTATTACACAAAATATCTTAGATATAATAAAGCAAGAAAACAGCAACATCAAATGATTCCTAAAGTTACTCAATTTTTCTTACCAAAAATTCATATTTGGTTTTGAATTGAACTGTGCACTGATGACTTGTCAGGAAAATCGAAACACCTAACCTTCTATATATATATATATATATATTAGTAGCATTAAAATTTTAAGCTTTTTTTCAGGGAAATACTATAGTTTTAGAACGTTCCAAAAAAGAGAGATGAGCGTTTAATTTGGGGTAGAGATTCATACCGTGTTGGTCCTAGATCGAAGATGAAGATGATCCCTCAAAAATTCGAGCGTGAGCTTCGTTTTTGGTATGGGGTACTTAGCAGGATCCACCTCGCCTATATGAACCACTTTTTCGACCCGAAGCTCAATCCTCTGCCTCGTTCCTTCAGGCGGCGACTTCAATATTCCATCAACCACCACGCACGTGCCGGTGGCCACCAGCTTGCTCAGAACAGCCACGCCGGCGTCCACAATCACTTGCAAGTTCGCCGGACACGAGCCGTCGTTCAGTTCCAAGAACGCGAAAGTTCCTTTTCCTTGCTCTCTCCCTGTCTTTACCCAACCACCGGCCCGAACTCGTTGCCCCGCGAGGCCAGCCCCGCCGTCGGATCGGCCCACGATAGACCGGATTAGGACTCGGTCAGAGAATGCGTGGTTCTGAATGGCGTCGTTCAAGTTCATTGCGGTGAGTTGGTCCACTGGCGGCGTCGCCTGATCTATTTCCGCCATTGGCTTCTCGAGCGTGACTGAAGTGAACAGGAAAAACGAGGACTTTATAACCAAAAAAAAATGAGGGCTTTTGGATTTAGAGACTTGGGATAAACCCTAAAAATATTTTATATGTGGTCAGGGATGAACTGTTGGAAGCCAATACTACATTCATTTTGATATACTCCAATGAGGGCTGCGCTTCCATGTTTGTTTTATACACGTGTAATTGTTTTATTGGATGAATTAATGAGTCTTGTGGAATCTTCGATTTTTTGAGGTCTGCAAGACTGCAACGGACGAAACGATATAAAGGATTCTAAAGCGCGTTGTTTTAAGGCGGAATCTTGAAAGAATATTTGGTTTAAGAAAATATTTTTTATTGTTATTTTATAAAAATAGTTTTTATTTCTTATTTTTATTTTTTAAAAATTATATTTAGTAAAAAACATAAAAAGTATTTTTTAAATAAATAAATAAAATATTTAATGATATTTGTTAATGACATCTAATTATAAATATAATATATATTTGTTAATTAATGAAATTAAAAAATATTTAAATATGATAACTTATAAAACACACAAAAAAATATTGTATATCTTTTATTTTCTTAATTAAAAACATTTTTTCATATTTTAATTTATTTTTATTTTTTATAATTTTATTTTTATTTTCAATTATCAAATACATTTTTACTTTTAAAAAAAAATAAAAATTAAAAATAACTTTATCTTTTAAAGCCAAACACTGCCTCAATTTATCCGGAAAGAAAAAACTGTTTTGATCAATTAATTTTTTTTTCATATTTCTTTTTGTGCGTAATTTTTTTTCATATTTTCCTTATTTTCTATTTTGATCATAGGTAAGTTTTAAAAGGAGGGATTTGAATTAGATTGGGCTTTAAAGACTGTCGGCAATAAATGGGCTTTACTTTTAACTGTTTTTTTAAGACTTTATAATGGCCCAAATTCAACTTTCAGGGTCCTAACCCGGCCCAAATTCTCCACACATTATATTACCAAAACCCTAAGCCTCGTGTTGCTGATTTCGTGCTCACCGCTGGAAGCGAACCAAAGAGGTAAACAACCAGCAGCTCAGCAACCAAAGAGCAGTCTTTTGACCATCCGACATGGGTAAATCTCCAAAGCTTCCTCACTTAGCTGTCTTTTCGTTTGCTTAGGGTGTTTTTCCTGGGTGTTTGATGCTGATCAATTTGAATCCCGTTGATTACTTCAGGTAAGGTTCACGGATCTTTAGCTCGTGCCGGTAAGGTTAGAGGCCAAACTCCTAAAGTGGCAAAGCAAGACAAGAAGAAGAAGCCCCGCGGCCGCGCTTACAAGAGGATGCAGTACAACCGCCGTTTTGTTACCGCAGGTGATTATTGTTCTCTCTCTTTTCATTCCTTTTTTTGTGGGGTTTTGATTTTCAACTTGGATTATCTGGTTCATTTTAGATCTTATCGAAGTTCTTTCACGGGTGAAAAAGAAACCCATATTTTATTATGGTTAACTTTGATTGGGAATTTTTTTTCTTCTAGAAATGGAATTCACTTTTGCTCTTGGAAGAAGTTTTGTTGTGAACTGAATTTCACTGAAACTAAATGAATGTAAAGAAATGTGAATGTTCATTAATGACAGTAATTTATTTTAATTTGGGGGTTTTTGCAGTGGTTGGATTTGGCAAAAAGAGGGGACCTAACTCATCTGAGAAGTAAGAGCTATGTAGTTGAACAAGGCAAGAATCCTAACAAGGCAAGAATCCTGTTGAAGCTTTGATGGATTAAGTCTTTAATTTTCTTTTTGTAATGTTTTATGATACTTATATTTAGCTACTGGTATCAAGGATTGAGTTGAACTTTAATTTTGTTTTAGGGATGATGTGATTTTGTTATCAATTATCTTACTTTTTGGTTTATCATGGTTTTCGTTTCTGCTTCGTCCTTGCTAAATTAATGTCATTTCATTGTTGAAAGTACATCTTTGTAGTCATGAGGAGAGAAAGGATTGAAAATATTACTATTAGATAACGTTAAAATAACATAATGAATGAGTCATTGTGGTTTAGAGTATTTGATTTCCAGTTTGATTCTTATTCTATATGTTGCCACAGTCACGAGGATGGATCTTTTTTAAATTTGATTATTGATGGTTGAGGTTAACCAGTTTCAGGGTTCTAGTGTGATTGTGGGTTGCCTTGAAATATATTCATTTTCTGAACCATTGATGAGGGATTATGCTTATTAGTTTTGCAATTGAAATATGATTTTGTTCAATTAGCTTATCCTCTTCTCTTAGGATGAGTAGGGCATGTGCCTCTTAATCGAATTTAAGGGTTCTAGAATTTTACTTCGGCCATTTCCATTCTATTTTCCATAGCCTATGGAAAACGGTTAACTTTTAAAAGAACATGGGATCATGGATGGTTTATGCTAGAACATTGTTCAACTATAGCCAACAAGGCGGAGCTATGCTAAAGAAGCTTTTCTAGTTCTGATTCTCTTTACTTGTTTTTTGAGTAGCCAATGTAAAATTTTTCACAAGATTGGTGAGTTGGCACCTAATTAAAAGAAAAAAAGAAGGTCACGGCACTTGGCACTTGGCACCAGATGAAAATATAAAATTCCTTCACTAATAGAAGATGGGCTGATTAAGATTCCTGAGAAGGAGCCAAATTTAGGAGGTAGCTATTGACAGCACCAAAATCAAATTAGTTCATAATAGTTTGGATGAGACATAGAACTAGATGCCTGCTTGACATCACAAAATATCTGCTCAGAGTTCATCACGATAACTTTCTTCTGGTTGTGGTGTTTGGATAGATTTTCCAATAGGTATGTCATCGCCAATGATGCATGCGGAACTGCACCTTTTGGAAAAATATCTTCATTTACTCTAAAGTAGGGTGAGTGTACTGGTTGAATTGGTCCTTGAGTCTCATTCTTACTTCCAAGAAATTAATAAGTCCTGGAATCGCCTCTGAAAAGAATGCAAAATCATCTGTGGTTGCGTTTCTTTGATATTCAGAGGGCCCAACGTATACCCTGCAACTTTTTTGAAACTAGGGTGGGTAATAGGTCGGGTGTCATAGGTCGAGACTTAAGCTCCAGACTCATGTGGCTCTAGGATCCGGGCATTCACTCTTTCGACGTCCTAAATCAGCCTGACTGTCACGGTTCACACCTTTGTGAGATATTATTTGCACTAACCCCTTTGGCTTCACGGTTTTGTCCTACAAAAGGCGGCTCACAAGGAAGAGATGGTGTGAACCCTTTTATATCCCAGTGACCTTTCTTTATGTCCGATGTGGGATTTAAGATTTCTCTTTAGGTCCATGACATTCTCCTCCATTCAATCTCGTGATGCCCTCGTCATAGAAGTTGACCATCTTGCCTACCTCCCTAATCTAGTGATGCCTTCGTCACAGAAGTTGGCCACCTTGCCTACCTCCCTCGAGGGGCTTGGCGTGGATCGAGCGGTTTAGGGTTGGTTTTGATACAATTTGTCATAAGCCGACACTTAAGCTCCAGGCTCGTGCGGTTCTAGGACTCGAGCATTCACTCTTCCAGTGACCTAGATCAGCCTGATGGTGTGGATCTTTTTATACCCTAGTGACTCATTTTTTGTTCAATGTGAGATTCATGACTCTTCATTAGGTCCATGACATCAGGTTAGAGCAGGTTTTTGCTCGTTTTGAACCCGATTCGATTTTATAATCATAAAATTTGAACCTAATTTGATCCGAAAATTTTTTTTATATTCGAATTTAACTTGACCCAATATTGTATAAATCGTACTCGATCTAATCTGATTCAAAATTAATAAAATATTATTTTTAAAATATATAAATAAAAAAATAAAATAATTAATTAAAAAATAATTTTATATAATATTAGGTTGGATTGAGTCAGGTTTGGTTAAAATTCGAACTTGATTCGATCTTGATTTTTTTTTAATACTACATAGACTTGAAATTTGATTTAAAAAAAAAAAAAAAAACTTATAAAGTTGGGTCGATCGGAACGACAGATTGAATTGCCAATCCTGTCTGAAACGCTGATGCAACTCTTTCTTGTTTGAGCCCATAGGGTAAGAGGACTTTTTATCGAAGATGACTTTTGCATTTCAACTTCGTATACTTGCATGTTTCATAATAACCTGAAATTTTGCTTCGTGAGCACTCTACAATGAAAATTCCATTCTCGATACATCTCTCTTTCTCAAGTGGAACCGAAAAGAAGTTAACAATGACTACTTGACAGGATCAAGAAAGAAGGTTGTTTCTGTTTTGGGTGAACTAATCGAGTCAAGTAATGGTAAACGGTAAATATATTTTCATAAGTGAGAATTTACTGTATTACTTTTTACCTAACTATCTAGAAAAAATATTAATAAGAAAAATAAAATTATCTCTATTTTTTTCAATAATTTTCTTCTACGTCACTCAAGAACCGAACGCAAAGCAGAAATTTTTTTTTTTTTGACAAAAAGCATAAAGCAGAATATTAAATATTCTTTATTCTTTCTTACCATTTGTTTCCACCCTTTTTTATCATTGATTTGGCTTATAATTAATTTACCAATTCTAAATCCCAAACATTTTCATACAGAGGATCATGACAGTGAGATACTGTGTTAATTCTTCCAGGTTAAAGTGAATCCAAAGGGTCCTACTTTTCTCAGGTCTCGTCATAAAAAAACCAAAAAAGAAAAAGTATCTATCTGTTCTATTAGAAATAAAATTACATTCAAATGGAGTGAAATTCCTCTTAGTCTCTTAAAGGTATTAAAAAAAAAAAAAAAGATCAAATAATCACATTTAAACTTTTGGTGAGACAATTTGGTAATAAAAGATTGCACCAAAGAAAAATTTTGGTTGTCATTACCCTTTCTATCCATTTTTCAAGTAAAATAAAAAAAGAAAAGAAGCTATGTAAGTGTCATAATTAAGGTTTGGGATTGGCTGTGTTTGTAGAATGGGTAAAAGCATTGAAAATCTTTATAAAGTTAGAATGAGTCCCCTTCAATCAAGAGTGTTAATTAGGTTACAAAAGATTGTTATTTTATTATAATTTTTTTTAATGAATAATTCTGATGTATCATCTCAACAGTGACTATTGACTAGTCAAACTTAGAATTAATAAAAATCATTACTTCTCACTCCAACGACAAAAAAAAATTTGAAATTTAACCATGACGAAATCTGTTAAAATTTTAAATTTAATAGTTAACTTTATTTATTTATATTATTATTTTTAATAATAAATTTTAAATTTTTATCATTTATAATTTTTTTATTTCTAAATTATGATTTTTAAAAAAATCAACCAAAACAAATTATATCGGATATATTCCAAATTAATTATATTACTTTTGTTTACTATTTTTATTCATAATTTGTATCTAAAATGAAAATGAAAAAGAAACCGACAGAAAAAACAAAAAAAAAGCAATTTTTTAGTTAAACTTAAATGCCAAGTTGGCAATTTCTTTTGGATAGTTTTATTTTATTTTACAGCATCGAAACGACGGCGTAGTCTCAAACGATAGAATGAATACCGTAGAGATGGGGCCCAATCTTGTCCATAAAATACCAAGTGAACGCGACACGGAAAGCCAATGACCTTAACGTCGTGAAGAGAGACGAAGCAAACGCAGAACTCCCTTCGAACACAACACGCTTAAGGAAAAAAATCCCCAAAAAAAATCCCCCTCCCACCCTTCTATTTTTCTCTCTCCGAGAAATTCCCAGATCTCTTTCCCTCTTTTTTTTATTTCTCTCAACTCCCCACATCCCTAATTTTTTAAATTTACAGGTTAGAACTTTTCCCCCTTGTTTTAATATTCTTTTTGACTTCTTATAACATTTGTTTTTCTTCTTGTTGATTCTTTTTTTCCATGTTTTCGAGTGATTGATTGTTTGATTATGTTTCTTTTGATCTGATTGTATTGGTGACTGTTGTTGAACAGAAGATCGGGGGTTTAATCGAGAGTTAATCATGTTTAACCGGCTTTTCGGGAAACCCAAGCAGGAAACAAATGCTCTAACCACGTTAGATAAGTTAAATGAGGTATATTCTCGATTTTCTAACTCTTTTATCCGCTTTAATTGGGAAATCAGCTATTTGCTTTAGATTTCTTTTGCTTTGTGCGAGCTCTGGAATTTGAAAATTGCCGGGTTGAATTTAGTACTCACAATTGGTTGTTGCTTTTCGGATTTGCTTGAAGGAACTGAGTTACTGGCTGACGGGTTTAAGGAATAATATGATAACCCCTTCTGTGGATTCTTATATTGTTTGATTACATTTTAGAAGGGTTGTTGTCAATCGCTGAAAAATAATGAACAGCTGAAGTTGAATAAATTTCATACAAGAAAAAAAAAAAAAAAGAATTAACTGGCTAATATATATGATGGAGTTTATTCTTGTAGTCAAGTAATCCATCTTCACAAAATCTGCTACTTGAGGAGGAGGGGGTGTTTGTTTACTTTGGTTGACAACTTGAAGGTGAAAATTTTGCAATAAATGTAATATTTTTCTGACGCAAAAAATCGATTAATGCATGGAATTTGTTTCTTATACTTCTAGCACAACTTATCTAGTATTGCCATTCAGATAAAGAGATAGGTTCTAAGTATCAAAGGAAAAAATATCTTTTATTGTGTATGCAAATTCCTTGCTGATCTCACTAAAATTTGACAGTATGATGGACTATGATCTTTTTATATAAGGTTAGAAGTTTGGTTGTATTGATTGTGTATTAGGGATGCTTTCAAACTCCACAATCTTAATCATAATCCAGATTCCAGCATTTTTTTGGTGTGGTGCTGCAAAATGCAAATTGCACTCTTTATTTGTTTCCACTGATTAAATTACATTGCTTTTCTTCTGCATTATGCTTAATGGAACCCTATTTTGATCTCCATCATGTAGACCCTTGATATGTTAGAGAAAAAGGAAAATGTACTTGTGAAAAAGGCTGCTGCAGAGGTTGAAAAGGCGAAGGAATTTGCCAAAGGGAGAAACAAGAGAGGTATGGTTGCAATGTATATGCACGTATAGTTATTGTTTTATCTAGTTTTCCATGATTTTCTCTGTTGAAAAAATATATCAAGTTTCGGACTAGCTGACTTTTGACTTTGTAAATGATAGTAGTTCTTATGTTTGGTTTCTTGATACTTCTATATAAATATGTAACAAAGGATATAAAACTCTGTCATGCTGCAGTATCATGTGATGACTTGTACTCATATCATATTTCTTTGGTATTTATATTAGAGACTTCTAATGGTTGTTTTCAGTAATAATCCCCCTCCCCCTCCCCTCCCCTCCCAATTTTTTTTTCATTTAAATTCCTAAAAGAAAGGAAAGAACATATTAGAGTGAAGCTACCACAAAAGAAATAAAAATAGCACTCAAATGTTTTACAGCATTGCAAGTGTCATCTTTAGGGTCTTTTGGTTTCCCAAGAACTGTGAGTTCTTAATGCTTTTTGGACAAAAATTGATGTTCTAATGCAGATTAACATTAACATTCTAAGATATGATTCTGAATTTCTGATGTTTAGTGCGCTCATGTCATTTGAACTTGACATTCAAAGATATTGTCCTTGTTTATCATCTGATTTATGACTTAATTAATCCATGTTGTGTACGTTGATTGTTTACTTATTGTTGCTATTCTAATGCAGCGGCTATACAGTGCTTGAAGAGGAAGAAACTATATGAACAGCAAATAGAACAGCTTGGAAACTTCCAGCTTCGTATACATGATCAAGTGAACTTGGAATTTTGTTTTTTTTTAGTGTTTTAATTGTGTCCTAAAAGCCTTTTTTGAGTTTTTTGCTGTTTCTGATGATGCTATTCTTATTGGTATATATCAACTTCTACAGATGATAATGTTAGAAGGTGCCAAAGCCACAACTGAGACTGTAGATGCATTGAGAACTGGAGCAGCTACAATGAAGGCAATGCAGAAAGCAACGTATGTAAACAAGATATTGTTACTGTCGGCCAAAAATTTACTTTTTGGGTTTTTCTTCCTTGTATTTGTCCCTTTGCATCGGCATTCACCATACTGCTGAAGTGTGCCAACTTGCTATTTCTTCTTTTTAAATTGGCACTTATTCTTGGGCCTTTATGAAGAACAAGCAGTGGCTAGTTCTCCCTGTTTTACTGAAAATGGCTTTCTTTACAGGAATATAGATGATGTTGACAAAACAATGGACGAGATCAATGAACAAACTGAGAACATGAAACAGATTCAAGAAGCACTGTCAACTCCTATTGGAGCTGCTGCTGATTTTGACGAGGTTAATACCTTTCTGATGTGCTCTCTTCATTTCTCTTTTTTTTTTTTTGTTGCTATTATCTATGTTTACACATATCGTGACTAGCATTTATACGCATCTAACAATGAATTGAAAACTTTTGATGCTGTAGGATGAATTGGAAGCGGAACTTGAAGAACTTGAAGGTGCTGACTTGGAAGAACAGCTTCTCCAGCCTGCAACAACAGCTCCTGCAGCTACAGTGCAGGTGCCGGCTGGCAGGCAACCAGCTCGGCCTGTTCCTCAAAAGCGCACAGCTGAGGAAGATGAACTTGCTGCATTGCAGGCAGAGATGGCACTTTAAGGTAATTCATTCTAGTTCAGTTCGTTATGCAGGAATTACAGATGGACCTTAAAACACGGCTAACTGATCTGATAGTTAGTTCACCGTTGCAGCATAATTGGACCCATTCTTTTGATGCTAATTATTTTTTTTTATTTTGCTCTGCAGGCATCTAGTAGAGAACTGATTTTGTTGCTGTTTGCAGGTCATGTTGCAAAACATGAAAGAGAGGCCATATCGTATTATTGAACCTTCTCCTTTAAATTTGTGTGCCTTGAATGTTTTACAGACAATGTACATAAAGATTGCATGAACTAAACGTTGTACTCTGCTTCCTGGAATCTGTTCCCTCTTTTTTCTCTTTTTGTTGTTCGTCCAATAAACACCCATTCTGCTTATGAGTCATTGTAGCTATCTTGACTACCTGTGTAATGTCAACTACTTGGAGACGGTAAATTATCTCGAAAAGACCATTTGGTGTTATTAGTTATCATACAGCCACGCAAATTTCTTCTTTTTTTGGAGGAATATTGAACAAAGAAGTTTGCAATTTGCGAAGAAACAGAGATAAAGGAGGAGAAAAATCTGAAGGAGAAGAAGAAAACAAAAATTTGGTTAGAAAAGAATTGAGTTCCAAATGAATGAACGGTAAAGCATACAAAAATTACAATCATGACTTGTTTTCCATTTTGTCATCTCTGTCAGTGAACGATATATGTGAGCACAGAAGCTACCAGCATTAAAACGTAGGCAATCCCCTGATCAACTGCTACCCTGCAAATCATATTTAAACCATGTCATGGCCCCCCAGAAACACCAAAAATTCTTTACCAAATACAATTTAAGCCAACTATAAGAAAAACCCAGACACCAAAGTATTCATTTAGATCCATGACTCAACAGAAACAGAGAGAGTGAGAGAACAAACCATCACTTGTAGGTGGAGGTGCAGGAGCGGGGCTTTGAGCATTGATGGAAGGTACAATCAGGGACAATACAAGTGCAAAAATGGCCATTACTGCAAACTGAACTCTTAAAATCTCCATCCTATCTTCAAACTACAATTCTAGCCTTTTTTTCTTTTTTGTTTCTTGGGTTTGTTCCTGCTAACGAACTTTTGATAACCCCTGCTTTCAAACTTTAGACATTAAGGGTAGGGGTTCAAAAAGAGGCCGAAACTCAGAATCTTAACGAAGAAACTGCCACTCTGGCTTGCAATGCCGTGAGGTAATGAACAAGGCTGTGATACCCCCACTTTTAGCTGTTGACTTGATTGGTGCCACCTGTACGATCAATGACGGCTGCACGATCAGACTCCCGGTATTGTAGAGCTGTGTTCCCTAGGCACGTCCAATGACTGATGATTCTTTTTTCACTTGGCCATATGCAAAAAAGATTTGAGTTTTGATAAAATATTTGCTTTCCTTATTAAGTAATTTGTTACGTTGATGCACGTCACTGGGTGGTTTTCAAAGTTCAAAGTGGATTTTGCCCTCATTTTGGACGTCGAAATCAACATGGAATGGACGAAACCCCAGACATGCCACCCCGATTTTGGCAGCATATTCACCGTATCATCTATTATGTATTGGACCTATGAGTTTGATAATACACCCACCAAATTGCAAGTAGATAAAAACATATATTCATTCCGACTTTTCTAATATCTTCTACAAATAATGAATTCGATCGCCATATAATTTTCATTTTAACAATTGTTTCCTTGCAAAGTCTAAATATTCTTACCTTATTATTGAACAGGAAAAAGATAAGTATAATATCAAGTGCAAATCAAAATGGATGTAGAGACTATATTTAATCCGAGCCTAAAGTCATTGGACCTGATCCAATAGAGTTTGGATTTAAGTTTATTGAGTCCGATTCAAGATCCAATTAGCAGGTTCAATTGACTTTTATTTTTATTTTTATTTTTATTATTTGTCTATTTATTAATATTTTTATTTTTATTTTTATTTTTTATCTATTAATATTTTTATTATTTATTTGCTTTTATTATTTATCTATTTCTTTTATTTATCTAATTATTTTTTGTTATCTATTAATATTTTTATTTTTTTTATTTTGATTAATTTTCGGTTAAGATTAAGATTATAATAAAAGGATTGGAATGAATTTGGCCGTGATTTGAGAATTGAAAGAGTTGGAATTGTATTCAAAAATTAAATCTAAATCTCAGAAATAGTTGGGATTGATCAAAAACTCTTCTGATCAATCCCTATAAATAGGTTCATAAATCACAGAGGAATCAAGGAGAAAAAAAAAAAAACAAAGAGGTGAAACAGAAGCAAAAAGTGTTTGAGGCAGTATAGGATTTTTAGAAGCTTTTTTTTTTTTAATTTTTGGAGTTCTTTTTTTGGAAAATTTTTGAAAATTTTTCAGAATCTGACGAAAATTTTCAGTAAATTTTGAATTTTCTGACCAGTTTTTCAGTCAAATTTGAAGTTTTCAACGGCTTTTTTCAGATTTCGGTAAGAATTCAACCGAAATCTGAAATCATTTAGAGAGAATGAGGAGAAGAGAAGGGAAGAAAGAGAAAAGGAGAAGGGAATTCTGAAAAAAAAAAAATCGATCTTCAGTCTTATATACCATCCCAAAACAACGTCGTTTTTGCATTATTAAACTCACAGGATCCGCGGGTTTTGTCAAGATTCAACCCGACTCATAGCGTACCCAAACCAGCGACCCATTTCTCCGCCAGGGTTCCAACCAAGCTAAGCCGAACCGAGATCTCGAGCTGCGCATCTGAGCCTTGATTTTTGGTCTTGAGTCGAACCATATCCCAAGCCTGAGCCAAGCCGTTTTTTTATTTTTGGTATTTTCTTATTTATTTTATTTAATTTATTTGTTTTGCTTGTTTTTTTTTTCATTTTATCAAAATAAAATAAAATAAAAAAATAAAATTTTGAGAATAAATATTAATTATCTAATGATAAAATTTATAAAAATTTTAAATGAAAATTTTTATAAAATTCTTAGGTGATAAATTTTGTCTAGATTTGTCCCAAATGGTAGAATAATATAGATAAAATTTTAATAACAATAATTAATATATATTTTCAAACAACAAAATTAAAAAGATAAAAAGCATAAAAATATAAAATTTTTGAAATTAAATACAAATTACTCAAGGATGAGATTCGTAGAAATTTCAAATTATAAATTTTTAAAAAATCTCTAGGTAAAAAATTTTCTCTAAATTTGACCCATATGGTGAATAATTTAGATGAAATTTCAATAAAAATAATTGTCATATTATGTTCTTTTCAAGAAAAAAAGAGAAAAAAAAATTTTTAAATAGACCTAAATTGTGGAATAATTAGATTTATTTTCAAAATAAAAATAAAAAAATAAATCTTTTTCCGACGATGAAACCTTTTTAAGAAATCAAATGGGATTCTTGAATACTCTTGAGGTGAGGAAAAATTTTTTTTAGAGTACTACCAGATTGATGAAGAATCTTAAAAATTGTTTTCAATGTTTAACATAAAATTTGAAGCCATTAGATTCTAAACCTTAGGATAAATTCGAAATAATATGTTACCATCCTTTGTGGGAATGCTATATCATTCTTCATATGTAAACGAACTCTCAAATCCTGTTTTGGTTCGTAAACTTGAATCTATTCTTTTAGGGACCTTTAGTAAGCTTAAGAGTTCCTTAAAATGATAGATTTCTTAGGTTACCAATCACACCTAATAAAAGATTGATGATAACTCCATTCATTTGTTAAATATAACTATAGATTTTTGAATCTATATGTTATGACAACGGAGAAAACACATTTGGAAATTTAAGAAACAATTGAGACTATAAAAAGTAAATCATCAAGAAAAGTGAATTTCTTGTTTCTACCGAAGTCAAATACCCGGAATTAAACAACTAATACACTATTTCCATGATCAACTTATAGTAATGTTTACTTCAATTAAGCCTTAGATGAACCTATTTTCACCTTGACGACTATTATGGTTTGAACATTCGATCAAGACAGTAGTCGTTAAGTTTCGAGAAAAAAAATGGTATTGCATATAGTGTGTCCACTTGAGAGAGAGATACTATGAATGGCATCACTTAAGGATTGCCTTCTAGCATCTGATCGCCAACTTCGTGGAGTGGAATGGCTAGTGACAACTCCACATAATCGAAATCATCTGTAATTCCTACCTGTAGTAAGATTCGGAAAGCAAAATCTTAGTGTACAATATAGAACCAAGTCTAACAAGAGGGCTAGCCTCGAAACAAGCATGTATTCAATAAATAAGGAAGACAGAGAGGTCATACTGTAAAATGTATTCTGGAATATGCACTTTAGTCTTATTAATGAGAAGTGGCCAAAACAGAGAAAAAAACTCTCTTTTTTAAATAAATTATTCAGTTTTATTGATTCTATGTCTAGAAACGTTAACAATATGATGTATTAAGGCAGCCATAGAGAAAGGTTTCTGTGTCGTGTGACTCCCCACAACAATCAAATTTCAACCAGAATTAATTGACTGTCAGAGACCCGGACTTGAGTATTTCCCACTGGATTTGAAATGAATAACAAGTTTGTGCACCCCAGAGAGACCGTTGAAGATAACACAAATAAAAGGGATACCCATTGCAAAGAGAGTGCTGGCGTTATTTGCATTTCATATGACAATTGACAAGTTTGTGCATATACTTAAGAGGAAATTAAGCAGTATACCTCCTTGTACATGTGCTCAAGCTGCTCTTTGGCTTCAGGAAAGTTGTTCGAGCACCACTGCCGCAGAGTAAAGATGTTGTCTGCAGAGGTTTGGACAATTAATTTTAAGAAATATTTTGAATATCAATCGAAATTAATCAAAATAGTCAACAACATTATGCATAACAGTACAAGTACAACTGTGCACATATATGTGCAGCACATAAAAGGGAAAAGGAAGAGGAAATCAATGTTATGCAAAAGGAAAGATAAAATGGACGAGCTCAATTGCTTTCTCTGCCAAGATTAAATAAAATTATTTGATGGGATCATGGGAGTTTATTGAACTACAGAAAACCCTCAAACGATGCAGACTCTCATGAACGGCAGGTGGCAGGTGTCTGAAAGAAAACAATCACTCGAGCGCCAAGGCAAAACAAGCACTAAACTCATTGCATCAAATGCAGCTGGATCATTGTCCATATACTGTCCCATCTCCTCCTGAAAATTTAGACCATAGATTGTTACAAACTCAAATAGGCCTCTATATGATTTTTTTTTTTTTACAGGAAGCAAAAGATATGAAGAATCCAAGCTTAAGCTCATTATATTTCAATTCTATAGCTTTTAGTTCAGCTAAGGCCCCCCCTCTTTCATCCTGGCAAATGCACAAAATGTTGAGATATTATACACTAACATTCATCACTAA